TTCTTCTTCTTCTGTGCACTTATCAAGGTCTTATTCTTTTTTTTCTGTGCACTATTCAAGGTCTTCTTTTTCTTCTTCTGTGCACTTATCACTGTCTTGTTCATCTTCTTCTGTGCACTTATCAAGGTCTTGTTCTTTATCTTCTGTGCACTTATCAAGGTCTTGTTCCTCTTCTTCTGTGCTCTTATCAAGGTCTTGTTCTTTTTCTTCTGTACACTTTTCAAGGACTTCTTCTTCTTCTGTGCACTTATCAAGGTCTTGTGCTTCTTCTTTTCTGCACTGATCAAGGTCTTATATAATTTTTTCTGTGCAGTTATCAAGGTATTGTTTTTCTTCTACTGTGCACTTATCAAGGTCTTGTTCTTCTTCTTCTGTGCACTTATCAAGGTCTTGCTCTACTTCTTCTGTGCTATTATCAAGACCTTGTTCTTTTCTTCTGTACACTTATTGAGGTCTTGTTCTTCTTCTTATGTGCACTTATCAAGGTCTTGTTCTACTTCCTCTGTTCACTTATCAAGGTTTGTTCTTGTTCTTTTGTGCACTCATCAAGGTCTTGTTGTTCTTCTTCTGTGCATTTATCAAGGTCTTGCTCTACTTCCTCTGTTCATTCATCAAGGCTTGTTCTACTTCCTCTATGCACTTATCAAGGTTTGTTCTTCTTCTATTGTGCACTCATCAAGCTCTTATTCTTTTTCTTCTGTGCACTTATCAAGGTCTTGTTCTTTTTCTTCTGTACACTTATCAAGGTCTTGATCTTCTTCTTCTGTGCACTTATCAAGGTCTTGTTCTACTTCTTCTGTACAATAATCAATGCCTTGTTCTTCTTCCTCTGTGCACTTATCAAGACCTTGTTCTTTTCTTCTGTGCATATATCAAGGACTTCTTTTCTTTTTCTGTGCACTTATCATGGTCTTGTCTTTTTCTTCGGTACACTTATCGAGATCTTGTTCTTTATCTTCTGTGCACTTATCAAGGTATTGTTCTTCCTTCTCTGTGGACTTATCAAGGTCTTCTTCTTATTCTTCTGTTCACTTATCAAGGTCTTGTACTTCTTCTTCTTTCCACTTAGCAAGGTCTTATTCTTTTTTTTCTGTGCACTTATCAAGGTCTTGTTTTTCTTCTTCTGTACACTTATCAAGGTCTGGTTTTCTTCTTCTGTGCACTATTCAAGGTCTTGTTCTACTTCTTCTGTGCACTTATCAAGCTATGGTTCTTCTTCTTCTGTGCACTTATCAAGACCTTGTTCTTCTTCTTCTGTAAACTTATCAAGGTCTTCTTCTTCCTCTTCTATGCACTTATCAAGATCTTGTACTTCTTCTTCTGTACACTTATCAAGGTCTTGTTCTTCTTCTTCTGTACACTTATCAAGGTCTGGTTTTCTTCTTCTGTGCACTGATCAAGGTCTTGTTCTTCTTCTTCTGTGTACTTATCAAGGTCTTGCTCTTCGTCTTCTGTGCACTTATCAAAGTCTTATTCTTTTTTTTCTGTGCACTATTCAAGGTGTTCTTTATCTTCTTCTGTGCACTTATCACTGTCTTGTTCATCTTCTTCTGTGCACTTATCAAGGTCTTGTTCTTCTTCTTCTGTGCACTTATCAAGGTCTTGTTCCTCTTCTTCTGTGCTCTTATCAAGGTCTTGTTATTTTTCTTCTGTACACTTTTCAAGGTCTTCCTCTTCTTCTGTGCACTTATCAAGGTCTTGTGCTTCTTCTTTTCTGCACTTATCAAGGTCTTATATACTTTTTTCTGTCCAGTTATCAAGGTATTGTTTTTCTTCTACTGTGCACTTATCAAGGTCTTGTCCTTTTCTTCTGTGCACTTATCAAGGTCTTGTTCTACTTCTTCTGTGCTATTATCAATGTCTTGTTCTTCTTCTTCTGTCCACTTATCAAGTCCTTGTTCTTTTCTTCTGTACACCTATCGAGGTCTTGTTCTTCTTCTTATGTGCACTTATGTGTCCTCTGTTCACTTATCAAGGTTTGTTCTTGTTCTTTTGTGCACTCATCAAGGTCCTGTTGTTCTTCTTCTGTGCACTTATCAAGGTCTTGCTCTACTTCCTCTGTTCATTTATCAAGGCTTGTTCTACTTCCTCTATGCACTTATCAAGGTTTGTTCTTCTTCTATTGTGCACTCATCAAGGTCTTGTTTTTTTTCTTCTGTGCACTTATCAAGGTCTTGTTCTTTCTCTTCTGTACACTTATCAAGGTCTTGTTCTTTTTCTTCTGTACACTTATCAAGGTCTTGTTCTTTTTCTTCTGTGCACTTATCAAGGTATTGTTCTTCTTCTTCTGTGCACTTATCAAGGTCTTGTTCTTCTTTTTTTGTTCTTTTATCAAGGTCCTATCCTTCTTCTTCTGTCCACTTATCAAGACCTTATTCTTTTCTTCTCTTTTCTTTCTTTTCTACTTTCTCTATGCACTTATCAAGGTCTTGTTCTGCTTCTGTGCACTCATCAAGGTCTTGTTCTTCTTCTTCTGTGCACTTATCAAGGTCTTGTTCTACTTCTTCTGTGCAATAATCAATGTCTTGTTCTTCTTCTTCTGTGCACTTATCAAGACCTTGTTCCTCTTCTTCTGTAAACTTATCAAGGTCTTCTTCTTCCTCTTCTACGCACTTATCAAGATCTTGTTCTTCTTCTTCTGTACACTTATCGAGGTCTTGTTCTTCTTCTTATGTGCACTTATCAAGGTCTTGTTCTACTTCCTCTGTGCACTTATCAAGGGTTGTTTTTGTTCTTTTGTGCACTCATCAAGGTCTTGTTGTTCTTCTTCTGTGCACTTATCAAGGTCTTGCTCTACTTCCTCTGTTCATTTATCAAGGCTTCTTCTACTTCCTCTATGCACTTATCAAGGTTTGTTCTTCTTCTATTGTGCACTCATCAAGGTCTTGTTTTTTTTCTTCTGTGCACTTATCAAGGTCTTGTTCTTTTCTTCTGTCCACTTATCAAGGCCTTATTCTTTTTTTTCTTTGCACTTATCAAGGTCTTGTTTTTTCTTCTGTGCACTTTTCAAGGTCTTGTCTTTTTCTTCTGTGCACTTATCAAGGTCTTATTCTTCTTTTTCTGTACACTTATCAAGGTCTTGTTCTTCTTCTTCTGTGCAGTTATCAAGTTCTTATTCTTCTTCTTCTGTGCACTTATCAAGGTCTTGTTCTTCTTTTTCTGTGCACTTATCAAGGTCTTGCTCTACTTCCTCTGTTCATTTATCAAGGCTTGTTCTACTTCCTCTATGCACTTATCAAGGTTTGTTCTTCTTCTATTGTGCACTCATCAAGGTCTTGTTCTTTTTCTTCTGTGCACTTATCAAGGTCTTGTTCTTTTTCTTCTGTACACTTATCAAGGTCTTGATCTTCTTCTTCTGTGCACTTATCAAGGTCTTGTTCTACTTCTTCTGTACAATAATCAATGGCTTGTTCTTCTTCCTCTGTGCACTTATCAAGACCTTGTTCTTTTCTTCTGTGCATATATCAAGGACTTCTTTTCTTTTTCTGTGCACTTATCATGGTCTTGTCTTTTTCTTCGGTACACTTATCGAGATCTTGTTCTTTATCTTCTGTGCACTTATCAAGGTATTGTTCTTCCTTCTCTGTGGACTTATCAAGGTCTTCTTCTTATTCTTCTGTTCACTTATCAAGGTCTTGTACTTCTTCTTCTTTCCACTTATCAAGGTCTTATTCTTTTTTTTCTGTGCACTTATCAAGGTCTTGTTTTTCTTCTTCTGTACACTTATCAAGGTCTGGTTTTTTTCTTCTGTGCACTATTCAAGGTCTTGTTCTACTTCTTCTGTGCACTTATCAAGCTATGGTTCTTCTTCTTCTGTGCACTTATCAAGACCTTGTTCTTCTTCTTCTGTAAACTTATCAAGGTCTTCTTCTTCCTCTTCTATGCACTTATCAAGATCTTGTACTTCTTCTTCTGTACACTTATCAAGGTCTTGTTCTTCTTCTTCTGTACACTTATCAAGGTCTGGTTTTCTTCTTCTGTGCACTGATGAAGGTCTTGTTCTTCTTCTTCTGTGTACTTATCAAGGTCTTGCTCTTCGTCTTCTGTGCACTTATCAAGGTCTTATTCTTTTTTTTCTGTGCACTATTCAAGGTGTTCTTTTTCTTCTTCTGTGCACTTATCACTGTCTTGTTCATCTTCTTCTGTGCACTTATCAAGGTCTTGTTCTTCTTCTTCTGTGCACTTATCAAGGTCTTGTTCCTCTTCTTCTGTGCTCTTATCAAGGTCTTGTTATTTTTCTTCTGTACACTTTTCAAGGTCTTCCTCTTCTTCTGTGCACTTATCAAGGTCTTGTGCTTCTTCTTTTCTGCACTTATCAAGGTCTTATATACTTTTTTCTGTCCAGTTATCAAGGTATTGTTTTTCTTCTACTGTGCACTTATCAAGGTCTTGTCCTTTTCTTCTGTGCACTTATCAAGGTCTTGTTCTACTTCTTCTGTGCTATTATCAATGTCTTGTTCTTCTTCTTCTGTCCACTTATCAAGTCCTTGTTCTTTTCTTCTGTACACCTATCGAGGTCTTGTTCTTCTTCTTATGTGCACTTATGTGTCCTCTGTTCACTTATCAAGGTTTGTTCTTGTTCTTTTGTGCACTCATCAAGGTCCTGTTGTTCTTCTTCTGTGCACTTATCAAGGTCTTGCTCTACTTCCTCTGTTCATTTATCAAGGCTTGTTCTACTTCCTCTATGCACTTATCAAGGTTTGTTCTTCTTCTATTGTGCACTCATCAAGGTCTTGTTTTTTTTCTTCTGTGCACTTATCAAGGTCTTGTTCTTTCTCTTCTGTACACTTATCAAGGTCTTGTTCTTTTTCTTCTGTACACTTATCAAGGTCTTGTTCTTTTTCTTCTGTGCACTTATCAAGGTATTGTTCTTCTTCTTCTGTGCACTTATCAAGGTCTTGTTCTTCTTTTTTTGTTCTTTTATCAAGGTCCTATCCTTCTTCTTCTGTCCACTTATCAAGACCTTATTCTTTTCTTCTCTTTTCTTTCTTTTCTACTTTCTCTATGCACTTATCAAGGTCTTGTTCTTCTTCTGTGCACTCATCAAGGTCTTGTTCTTCTTCTTCTGTGCACTTATCAAGGTCTTGTTCTACTTCTTCTGTGCAATAATCAATGTCTTGTTCTTCTTCTTCTGTGCACTTATCAAGACCTTGTTCCTCTTCTTCTGTAAACTTATCAAGGTCTTCTTCTTCCTCTTCTACGCACTTATCAAGATCTTGTTCTTCTTCTTCTGTACACTTATCGAGGTCTTGTTCTTCTTCTTATGTGCACTTATCAAGGTCTTGTTCTACTTCCTCTGTGCACTTATCAAGGGTTGTTTTTGTTCTTTTGTGCACTCATCAAGGTCTTGTTGTTCTTCTTCTGTGCACTTATCAAGGTCTTGCTCTACTTCCTCTGTTCATTTATCAAGGCTTCTTCTACTTCCTCTATGCACTTATCAAGGTTTGTTCTTCTTCTATTGTGCACTCATCAAGGTCTTGTTTTTTTTCTTCTGTGCACTTATCAAGGTCTTGTTCTTTTCTTCTGTCCACTTATCAAGGCCTTATTCTTTTTTTTCTTTGCACTTATCAAGGTCTTGTTTTTTCTTCTGTGCACTTATCAAGGTCTTGTCTTTTTCTTCTGTGCACTTATCAAGGTCTTATTCTTCTTTTTCTGTACACTTATCAAGGTCTTGTTCTTTTTCTTCTGTGCAGTTATCAAGTTCTTATTCTTCTTCTTCTGTGCACTTATCAAGGTCTTGTTCTTCTTTTTCTGTGCACTTATCAAGGTGTTATTCTTTTTTTCTGTGCACTTATCAAGGTCTTCTTTTTCTTCTTCTGTGCACTTATCACTGTCTTGTTCCTCCTCTTCTGTGCACTTATCAAGGTCTTGTTCTTCTACTTCTGTGCACTTATCAAGGTCTTGTTCCTCTTCTTCTGTGCACTTATCAAGGTCTTATATAATTTTTCCTGTTCAGTTATCAAGGTCTTGTTCTTCTTCTTTTGTGCACTTATCAAGGTCTTATATAATTTTTTCTGTGCAGTTATCAAGTTATTGTTTTTCTACTTCTGTGCACTTATCAAGGTCTTGTTCTTCTTCTTCTGTGCACTTATCAAGGTCATGTACTTATTCTTCTGTACACTTATCAAGGTCTTGCTCTACTTCCTCTGTTCATTTATCAAGACCTTGTTCCTCTTCTTCTGTAAACTTATCAAGGTCTTCTTCTTCCTCTTCTACGCACTTATCAAGATCTTGTTCTTCTTCTTCTGTACACTTATCAAGGTCTTGTTCTTTTTTTTCTGTGCACTTATCAAGGTCTTGTTCCTCTTCTTCTATGCACTTATCAAGGTCTTCTTCTTCTTCTGTGCACTCATCAAGGTCTTGTTCTTCTTCTTCTGTGCACTTATCAAGGTCTTGTTCTACTTCTTCTGTGCAATAATCAATGTCTTGTTCTTCTTCTTCTGTGCACTTATCAAGACCTTGTCCTTTTCTTCTGTGCACATATCAAGGACTTCTTTTCTTCTTCTGTGCACTTATCATGGTCTTGTCTTTTTCTTCGGTACACTTATCAAGGTCTTCTTCTTCTTCTGTGCACTTATCATGGTCTTGTCTTTTTCTTCGGTACACTTATCAAGATCTTGTTCTTTATCTTCTGTGCACTTATCAAGGTATTGTTCTTCCTTCTCTGTGCACTTATCAAGGTCTTCTTCTCATTCTTCTGTTCACTTATCAAGGTCTTTTACTTCTTCTTCTGTCCACTTATCAACGTTTTATTCTTTTTTTTCTGTGCACTTATCAAGGTCTTGTTTTTCTTCTTCTGTACACTTATCAAGGTCTGGTTTTCTTCTTCTGTGCACTATTCAAGGTCTTGTTCTACTTCTTCTGTGCACTTATCAAGCTATGGTTCTTCTTCTTCTGTGCACTTATCAAGACCTTGTTCTTCTTCTTCTGTGAACTTATCAAGGTCTTCTTCTTCCTCTTCTATGCACTTATCAAGATCTTGTTCTTCTTCTTCTGTACACTTATCAAGGTCTTGTTCTTCTTCTTCTGTACACTTATCAAGGTCTTGTTCTTTTTCTTATGTACACTTTTCAAGGTCTTCTTCTTCTTCTGTGCACTTATCAAGGTCTTGTGCTTCTTCTTTTCTGCTCTTATCAAGGTCTTATATAATTTTTTCTGTGCAGTTATCAAGGTATCGTTTTTCTTCTACTGTGCACTTATCAATGTCTTGTTCTTCTTCTTCTGTCCACTTATCAAGACCTTTTTCTTTTCTTCTGTACACTTATCGAGTTCTTGTTCTTCTTCTTATGTGCACTTATCAAGGTCTTGTTCTACTTCCTCTGTTCACTTATCAAGGTTTGTTCTTGTTCTTTTGTGCACTCATCAAGGTCTTGTTCTTCTTCTTCTGTGCACTTATCAAGGTCTTGCTCTACTTCCTCTGTGCACTTATCAAGGTCTTGTGCTTCTTCTTTTCTGCACTTATCAAGGTCTTATATAATTTTTTCTTAGCAGTTATCAAGGTATTGTTTTTCTTCTACTGTGCAGTTATCAAGGTCTTGTCCTTCTTTTTCTGTGCACTTATCAAGGTCTTGTTCTACTTCTTCTGTGCTATTATCAATGTCTTGTTCTTCTTCTTCTGTCCACTTATCAAGACCTGGTTCTTTTCTTCTGTACACTTATCGAGGTCTTGTTCTTCTTCTTATGTGCACTTATCAAGGTCTTGTTCTACTTCCTCTGTTCACTTATCAAGGTTTGTTCTTGTTCTTTTGTGCACTCATCAAGGTCTTGTTGTTCTTCTTCTGTGCACTTATCAAGGTCTTGCTCTACTTCCTCTGTTCATTTATCAAGGCTTGTTCTACTTCCTCTATGCACTTATCAAGGTTTGTTCTTCTTCTATTGTGCACTCATCAAGGTCTTGTTCTTTTCTTCTGTGCACTTATCAAGGTCTTGTTCTTTTTCTTCTGTCCACTTATCAAGGCCGAATTCTTTTTTTTCTTTGCACTTATCAAGGTCTTGTTTTTTCTTCTGTGCACTTATCAAGGTCTTGTCTTTTTCTTCTGTGCACTTATCAAGGTCTTATTCTTCTTTTTCTGTTCACTTATCAAGGTCCTATCCTTCTTCTTCTGTCCACTTATCAAGACCTTGTTCTTTTCTTCTGTACTCTTATCGAGGTCTTGTTCTTCTTCTTATGTGCACTTATCAAGGTCTTGTTCTACTTCCTCTGTGCACTTATCAAGGGTTGTTTTTGTTCTTTTGTGCACTCATCAAGGTCTTGTTGTTCTTCTTCTGTGCACTTATCAAGGTCTTGCGCTACTTCCTCTGTTCATTTATCAAGGCTTCTTCTACTTCCTCTATGCACTTATCAAGGTTTGTTCTTCTTCTATTGTGCACTCATCAATGTCTTGTTCTTTTCTTCTGTGCACTTATCAAGGTCTTGTTCTTTTTCTTCTGTCCACTTATCAAGGCCTTATTCTTTTTTTTCTTTGCACTTATCAAGGTCTTGTTTTTTCTTCTGTGCACTTATCAAGGTCTTGTCTTATTCTTCTGTGCACTTATCAAGGCCTTATTCTTCTTTTTCTGTACACATATCAAGGTCTTGTTCTTCTTCTTCTGTGCACTTATCAAGGTCTTGTTCTTCTTCTTTTGTGCACTTATCAAGGTCTTATATAATTTTTTCTGTGCAGTTATCAAGTTATTGTTTTTCTTCTTCTGTGCACTTATCAAGGTCTTGTTCTTCTTTTCTGTGCACTTATCAAGGTCATGTACTTCTTCTTCTGTACACTTATCAAGGTCTTGCTCTACTTCCTCTGTTCATTTATCAAGGCTTGTTCTACTTTCTCTATGCACTTATCAAGGTTTGTTCTTCTTCTATTGTGCACTCATCAAGGTCTTGTTCTTTTTCTTCTGTGCACTTATCAAGGTCTTGTTTTTTTTTCTTCTGTACACCTATCAAGGTGTTTTTCTTCTTTTTCTGTGCACTTATCAAGGTCTTGTTCTTCTTCTTTTGTGCACTTATCAAGGTCTTGTTGTGCTTCTGTGCACCTGATTTTGATAAAGACTTTTATAGCGTTTGGAAACTAGATGATCCACTATGAACAGTATCTTGATTTAATGACAAATCGGTAGTGCTTTCTCTACTTTCTGTGGTGTCATGGTCTACCGAAGCAGCCAAGCCGTCTGTGTCTTCTTCTTCTTCAGCAATGCTTTGAACAGAGCTTTCACCAGGTTTATTTAAAGTTGAATCACCTTCCTTGTCTCTTTTGTAAGCACCTACCTCAAACAATGTGCGAGAGGCCTTCTTTGCTTCTTTTTCTCGTATCTTTTTTTCCTGCCTTTTCTGAGCACCAGACTTGTGCCTGTAAGATGACATCGCAGGGGTTGATTGGATCGTGATCCCGTTTAGTGATTTTGATAAAGACTTTAATAGCGTTTGGATTTGTCTTGGTTCTTCGCATGTGCTTTCTCTCTGGTCTACACCGTGAATGGAAGATTTACTTTTACGTTTATAGGAAGTCCACACAAGGAATAACTAACACATCTGACCTAAACATGGGCTCTGACAAAGGTTGAAAAGTGGGGGGCCAAGGAAAAATTTAACACCCAAAACAAAAGATTTTGAAAAAAACTCTATTGTTTTGCGAAAAATGGGGGGCCAAGGCCCCCCTGACCCCCCTCCTTCGTTGGGGGCCTGCTAAAAGTAGATATATGTAAGTGCAATCGAATTTTTCGGCTTCCGGAGAAGTATATTATGATCGTATCGGCAATGTTTTAATTATAAACCATAACAAGAAAAGGCCCTCGTCATAGACCAGCTTGTTGATCCCATGTTGAAAGATTAAATTTCGAATATCAATCGGGTCATGGGCCCGCCCTGCCAATGCTGCTAATTGAAAACTCATAGCCAAAAATACATACCTTATTTTCTACGGGTCCCTCAAGGCCCCGGGCCCCCTGGTAACTACCCTGGCTACCCCCCTTCCCCCCCCTCTCGACGGTCCTGCTCAAATGAGTACGGCTAGGTGATCTCAAATTAGTACGGTTAGGCAGGTCTCGTGTAAACAGAACGCCTAAGTGAACTCAAATGGATATGGATCTTTTTGGAACCGGTCTCGTGTAAACAGGGTCTTACTCTCTACCCCTTTATAACATTCTCCCCCACTTATTTGTTCTCCATTCAATTCTTCGTAGACTCCCCCTGATCTTATTGGTATAGGCTGTTGACTCGATATTGCTCCTCCGTTGCTTGTATCTTTGCAACCTTTGCTTCAGTCTTTTCTGTCCACTTCTGCCAACTGCCAAAAATGTTAATACCCTGTTTTACTCCATTGATTTATTCTTCCATTATTCTTTGCCACCATGACCATTTTTAGTTCTCTTTAGAGAAGGATCTTACTACCTGTACAATGGTTGTCTCAATGAAATTGTTGTTGGTTTCAACTGTGCCCTCAGTCTTATTGACTTAATTACCCTGTTCACTTATTAAGAAACTGTATTGAATCTTTCTGTCTTTCTGTTAAAATGTTTTCTATATTACGACACATTGTTGAAACAAACATTTTTCATTCGATTCAAAATTTTCTTTTAACTCAATCTCCATATCAAAAAACATTCCCAGGGGAGTCACTCGAACCTTTTATAAACGGGGAGGTCAATCCGCAGTTATCAAAATCCACCCAAAATTATCAAAAACAAATTTAATAAGCCCAAAATTATCAGCTAAATGTGTGGATAGCCAAACAAATTACAATACAAAATATTTTTGATGAGCACATAAGTGACCACTAGTCACAGTACATTCATTTTTTATAAGAAACAAAGGTCGATTCAAAACTCACTGTTTCTTAAGAGTTTTTTAATTATGATGCCATGAATGATGTTATGAAATGTTCGTGACCTTTTTTTCACGTCAAGAGATTCGCTTCCGTTCTGATGCTGTATCTATGTACATAGATGTGGGAAGTATATTTTTATTCCTTGTGTCTTAAGTTCTAGGGCAAAAGGGCAATCATGTTCTTGGATTTTGCGAAATTCCGTTGTTCTCGGTTCTATCACGATTTAATAGTTTCTTAATTTTTTTGCTTCGAGTACTGAATTTTCTTATTTTTTTCTGATTGTCCAGTACTCGTTTCTTATAGCCTGTTTCTTATAAAAAATTGAGTGTAATTTAGACTATATAGTAATAATTATCAGTTTCTGTTCTTTTATTCATGTTTTTGACATTATTATGTGTTAGTTGAACCCATAAGTACCAGAAAGGTACATTGTTAAATCAGATACCAAAAAGTATCAGATCACAAGGAAAATTCTTACCCAAAATTATCGAATGGACCTTGCTGTATACAAAAAGTTCAACTGAACCCTGGGAAAACATCGCTGGTAACTTCATCTTCTCCGACATGTATGTTATTATTATCTTGTCACCACATGAACCAAAGGATATTTCCACTATAAAGTTATTACATTGGTCTACAGTTTTTGGTATGATAAAATATGACAAGAACTTACATAGGAAACAATATCATAAAAACTTAACAAAAATCAACACCAAATTTCCCGTTATCGAAATTTCTCTGCACCTCCTAAACGTGTTGTAATTTTGATTTCTCAAGCTCAATCCTGTTTGTCAGACGAAAAAGCTTTCAGTAATATGTTGTGAAATGTTTGTTTTTTCAAAGCCATTTTCAAGTTCTGTACCGCAAAAAAATTCTTCAATCCTGTTTATTGGTTCTTAGCTTTTTGCCTAGTTGAAACCCAATGCCTTATCCGATTCGATGTTTTCTCTCCCTGATTTCCAAAGACGAATGAAAGCATATCTCATTGTATGTTTCTTAACATTTAGCACAATCTTTTAGAACTGAATACAACAAAAAAACCATTTTGTTGACATTTGTCAATGTCTTTTGATAAATAATTAATGCTGTAATCTTTGTTGCCATGGAATCTCACCGATAGGAGGCAGCGATAAGAACTCCATTAGGCCAGTTGCAAAATTAGGTTGCTTGTTAATGACGAAGTCGTCAACGAACTGTGTTGAAAATTACTGTCAAAGAATTAGCTCTACCAATATTTTTCTCACACAAAAGACGCAGAAAAGCCTAGTCGTGAAAAGGGGAATTCGAATTTTGGACCATTATCAAAAGAACACTCTGAGTGATCAATATTGCATTGCGTGGATATTATTTGTATCAAAATTCGCGATTTTGTTATGGAACGCCTTAACTGAAACTTTGATGTTCTAACACAGTGTCCAATATTAGCCTTGAGAGTGATTTTGTGAGGCAGGATTTTAAAGTCTCCTGGTGTTCTAAACAGAGGTCTTGCTTTTGTTTATTTACTAAAAACCAAAACGTTGCTATGTGAGGGGTCGCTGTTGACAAATCAGTGCCTCACCTTTAAGTTTCTGTCGCCTTCAAGTTTCTGTCACCGAACGCTCTGACAAATTGAAATGCCTACGTCCAGCAAAGCAAAAGACATCCTCAGCAGTTTCTACAAATCTAGTGCAAATGAATATGATGACTATGGCGAAGATTTTGAAGAATCGGCAGATAATTCCGACGGTGAAACGTTCGGGAACGGGAAACTGGAAACGAAACCCTTAGCTGGAAAAAAATCGGATTCTTTTGAAAGGGACATGACTGAGACAACTCAGGAAACATTTAATTTCAGAAAGAGAAAGGAACAGAGCTTTGCATCGAGCACTGGCTATACCGCACGAGGAAATACACGTAGTCAACCACTAACAGCCCGAGATAAGCAGTCAGCAGCCGGTTATGGAAGACATAGAAAGGCACGAACAGTAGCAGGTTCCAGTCAAGGAAAAGGTTAGTATCTTCCATTGTTTATAATTTCATTGTAAACAAGGATAAGAAATTTGATTGTTAATAAGCTATTTTTTTAAAGAATTGTTCACAAACAATGATAGTCAGGGATGAAATGAGCAATGAGAGAAAAATAATAAAGACTTAAGAAAGAAAAGAGACTAAGAAAGGAAAAATTTGTTATCAAAAAGGAAATACTCACCAGTGCATGACATTGAAAGGGGGAGTAGTGACCATCTTTGGTAAATAATTAGGTGCTAAGTTTACATGATACGCAGCCATGTAGCTGTGGAAATTGGCTGGGGTTGTCAAACTCGAGCAAGAATCATACGTTGAGGAGGCAGGCTTTTAATAGAAAAAATTCATAACAATGAATGACTTGTTTATTTGAAGTATCAAGCTTACAAAGAGCTATGAGTTAAGAATAGAACACACACAAAATTCTAAAACAAATTTTGAGATTTCTGTAGCCACTTAATTGAAAACTCCTCAAAAGATATCTCACAAGGCTTTTTCCATAGAAAATGTGAACAAAAAAGCATGCTGACGAAAAGTTGTGCTATGTCGCCTTCTTGGTTCATCAATGTATACATCATAGACAATATGACATCCAGCCCTTGCTGAACTATAACTACACACCAATGCAATTCTGTGGATGCTGTTCACTATAATTTGAGAGAAGCTACTTCAGAACTTTCCAGCATAAACTCACATACCTTTCCAATTGCTTGCTCTTACACTGGCTGAGAATACATACTTAAAAACTATTCAATTGCTTTTCAAATTCCCCTTGTCAATCAGTACATTTCAGAGATTTGATTGTAAATGCCTCCCTGGTGTCTCCAAAGCTGCCCTTTGTGGAAAATGTTGCAAAAAAACAATAACAAATGTAAAACTTGGCTATTTTTTGGCATGAACAAGGTTGGGGCTGAAGTTACAACTCTGTTCCTAGCATAGTTCTTTTCAAATGACTATGTTAACAGGAGGCTAGCTGACTTCTCTCTATTCTTATGCATCAAGCTATAATCATCGCAATATGAATATTGCGTATTTTGAAACATTGCTAATTTCACAAGTAGTCAAGTCTATAAATCCAAAGAGCAGATGATAGAGTTTCTTAATTTTTCAATAACACAGGGTCCCTTTCAAAAGCAATTATCTTACAAAATTATAATTTTGCCAAAAATTCATTTTGAGTAATTGTAGCCAGAGGGGGCAAGTTGTGGTCAAAATTTTCATTTGGAGGGGCACAGCCTTATGTCCCACTGCTAGGTGGCTGTATCAATGTTTGATTGGCTAACATGACATCTTTCAAATGATTGCACTATGAAAAATGAAAGCAACGAAAAGCACTATCATCAAAGCCACTGATTCAGCCATGTACAAGGCTTTAAAACACCATGTCTGTTAAGCTGCCATAAAGTTAAATTCAAAAAGTATTTGATAAATACCAAGAAGTAATTATAAATTATTTTGCAATCATTTGAAGAAACCTAGATTCAAAACATTGTCAGTTGTTCATAGACTCTGAGGTCTGTAAATTGCCATTCGACGTCCGTGACTTCTGTATCAACCATTCCATCTAGCCATCTTTCAACACAGTATATCAACTGTAGAATATGTATCTACCCTCCTGGTAGAGCTGCAAATAATTTGAAATCGTTGACCTTTGAACTGCAATTAAAAATCTGGTCAAAGCAATGAAGCCTCAAACCTAAAATAGGCTTCCTTGAATGTTGTATCAAATCAGAATTGATATAAATTTGATAAGTAAGGCAAAACTATTTAATTTTTTAAAAGACATTTCCAATAAAACAGAGTCCTTTGCTTGAAGGGAACATGTTTGATATTTAATTAGATATTTATATGCATATGATTTGTCACCTCAGGAATCTAAAAATTGCGATTAGTAGAAGCTATTTGTTAAGTGATAGATTCACTAACTAGGTGTTTATAGCTCATTTAGCCTCTTCTAGAATCTCTGCTAGATTGCTATGTAAATAGTTGCAAGTCTTTGCTAACATGTTTGAAAAAATGTTTGTGTTAATCTGATTGCTTCATTCCAACACTTTAATTAACAGACATTTGACAGCTCACAAAAGCAAAATATATATTAATATGCTTCATCTGAAACATAAATCACATATTTCATGTTAACCCTCAGCATTCAAAGAACTGAATTGTCTTAGAGGACTATTGAATGTAGTAACAAGGGTTTGATCAATAAATGATGATGTTTTGAATGCTGTGTTAAGAACATCACGGTAAAACTTCAGACTTCTAAACCACATGTCATACTCTAAGCCAAAATTGCCAATCAGATATGCTATGCCAAGAAAAATCAGAGATAAGTCTAAAGAAATCACCTTAAATTTGCAAAAGTAATCAAGTCAAGTGACCTTACACTTAATTGAAGGTTCACTTTTTATTGCTATGTTTTCAGTTTTGTTTTAGTTTAAGTGATACTATGAAAGTGCAGTTTGTTGTTGTTGTGAAAGACAATGACTTCAACCATTCTTTGTCTTATTACAATATGCATTTTCATGCATGCTATTGAGTTTCCTATTGAGTTTGCTCCCTTTTGTTTACGTTACCTTGTTTACGTTACTTTTGACTTGAGATGAAATTTTGTTGAATAAGGCCTCAAATGTGCTTATCTAAGAATTTGGTTTTCCTCAGTTTAATTTTCTCTCATTACAGTTGTATAGCTACTGCAGCTCTGCTATTCATTTTTTGCTTATCTAATACAATATCCTGCACTTGGCAAGGTGCTGTTTATATCAATGAAAGTTAAAACCATAATTTATCAACCAAGAAAGATTATAAAGAGCTTGATCTAATTGATCAGACTCATACCAATCATTGTCATATCTTGTCTAACAATGTCCTTTTATTTTATCAAATCACTTAATGATGTTATACATCTTTAAAAATTGATTATTGATCTCAAATAATGACTTTTTATGGTATCAATAATGCATTTATTTTGTTTTAGGCTTAACAAGGATGGCATATGACAAACCAAAAAGTGACAGAGTTGTTGTCAAAAGAGTAATGTCTGCAAACCGTAACAAAGTTAATGCCCTTCAGAATTTAGTTATGGAACTAGAAAGTGAAATTGAGCAGCTACGACAAGAAAATCGTGATTTGAAAAGAGAGTCACGCATTCATGAAAAAACTATCAGGAAATATGACAATGAGGAGGCTGAAGTTCCATTCTTGATTCAAAAACACAATTCTGAGGTAATAAAATCATGACCCCATGTTTTGCACCAAGGGAGTTTCAAACCATCACTTTTAATTGGTGTCATCATAATTGGGCTTTTTGACATCTTTTCATAGGATATCAACCCATTTGTCATCCATCATTTGCAGCACTATGACTGTGTTTATCCCTTGAATTTCCTCTAAAAGATCTTTAATATCTCCCGTTACTGAGCTTTAGGTACTTGTAATTGATGTTTTCCTGGGCTTTCTGCTGCAGTAATCTAAGAATGCGATTATTTACAAGGAACACATTGAAGGACTTGTGTTTCCCTCAAATGTGAAATTTTTATGGCGTTTCAGTATGTCTGCATATTTCTGGATAAAGGAATCTTTTTCAGAAAAAGATTGAGGTTTCCTAGGCCTTTAATGCATTTTGCTGACCATATATTAACATTCGGAAGATTTATGGCATGTAATTTTGAAAGGAGCTGGTATGTACCAATGTGCGAGGATGGCTCAGTGGCTAGAGTTGCTGACTACATACCCAAAGGTCCATGGTTCGAGTCACTGGCATGACCAAACATTCATAGTCGCTAGCTCTCTGTATTTCCAGGCGTAGGAATCACGAGGTGTGGTCACGTCGAGAGGAAGGACCAGGACACTGCTCGTTAAGCATAGATTCTCAGTGTCCTAAAAACTATCTTCGCATGCTAGGCAGAAACCAATACAATATGTACTAATGTTATAGCAATAATGTTGCTATTTCTCAAAGTCATGAAAGTCGACCACTTTTTACTTTACATTTAATCTTTGTTAATCCCAGGTCAGAGTTCTACGAGAGAAATTAAAGAAACAAAGAAATTCGATGGACAGATCACAGGAGGAAGTCAGGAAAAAGGACATCGAGATCCAAAGGTTAAGGGATAAAATCAAAAAGTATGAAGATATCATCAGAGACAAGCGCCTTGATGAAAGGGAGGCTTTGCAACAGAAAGTTTTTAGTCTGGAAGAGAGACTGGCAGAAAAAGAGGCAAAGATAATGGTATGAATTTAGAAGTGCATATTACGGTCTAAATTTAAAAAAACTCTGCTTGAATAAGCCAGTTCATTTATTAGTGAATTTACTCCTGTCCTATTCTGCTCCTGTTAAAATTTGCATTACCTCATGAAGGCAGTGATATATGCAAGCATCCATGAACATACGACTTGTAGGACGGCATTGTTAAGGAATATGCATGGTGGTCCCTTCTTTTTCATTAGCTTTTCAAAGAGCTATTATTGAATGTCATGCGTTCAATGAGTGCTGAAGCTAGGTATACCCAGGTGCTTAAAGTGGCGATTCTTGTCCACAATAGGTCGCCTTTCGGGAATAATGTAGATTTCAAGTGGCCACAATCCTGCATGTTTAAAGGTCTTCTGAGTCTAAAGGAAGATTTCTGGCGTATTGACATTATTTTACTTGCTACTTTCATTGGCTACGATATCAAAGTAGCCATTCAAGCAATTCAATTGAATGCAATACCGTCCTGCATGTCGCTGGTGCTTGCATACCGGGGTGTAGTGCTATCACAATAACAAGGGGGCGCTTTTGCAAAATTTTGCACAAAACCATTGCTAAAGTAGAAATTAGCTACTTTTTGGTATTAACAAGGGGATGAATCCTCTGAGCCTCCTAGCTTTACATCCCTGCTTGGTTTTCATGTTTCATTACCCCCAAATTCATTTTCTTACTTTTGGAAAGGGGCTTATGGGAAAGATGGAGTTTTTTGGAAGTTTTTATACTTAGCGTTCGGTTTAAGCAGGTCATTGCTAAGCGTGAATCAAGCCCGTTGCTGCAGTGGTAAGAATTCATTTGTATGGTTTGGTCTTTACAAAATAAACAACAGATTTGCAACTGAGGCGTGGTTTTGAGCTCCTCCTATGTAGAGTGATATTTTATTCTAATGTGGTCAAGTGGTGAGCGAATGTCTGATACAGGCACATAAAACTTTAAACCATTAATAAAAGTTTTGTTTCATTTGTGGTTTTTGGTGAATAATCGCCTTCTGCTTTGAAACAGTTCTTCTTTGCTTTAGGAACTTGACAAGGTCGTGAAACTGAATGAGAAAGCACGCTCAAGAGAGTTGAAAGAGAAAAATGACAAGTATAAAAGAGCTTTGGAGGAACTGAAACGATTGGAAATGATGCAGAAGGATCTTCAAAATCGGTTCAAGGTAAAGATGATTGTTTTCAAATTATGAATCTTCAAGGCAAAGAATTAAGTAAATGGAATTTAGTTTGCTTGCTTCGCTTTTAACCAACAGCTGCTTAAGATCAGCTTGGTTTATTAAAATTGAATTTGAATTTTGCAGCATAAACTCGTGATTGAACTTCATGACAACCGAAAACCTCTATAACTTTGTAGATGATAATGCAATATGGGCTGTATATAAAGGAGAAGGTAAAAAGATAAATGCCCAAGTCAAAATAGCCTTTTACATGATTTACTGTAAAAGAGCACTATTGCTGAGATCTTTTATACTTAGTTACCTTAAATAAATCGCGTTTATGACGCAATGTAGCTGAAAATCTGGCAAACACACTGAGAATATCCATAAAAGGGCACTGAAAGTAGCTTACAATGATTTCGAATCAAGCTTTGAACATATTCTATCAAAAGCAAAGGATGTTAGCATACATCAAAAGAACCTCTAACTACTAGCAACAGAAACATTCAAAAGAGTAAAAAAGTTGAGTCCAGTATTTATGAAAGAAATACTTTTCGAAACCAGCTGTTTTTTTAAAAATAACGAACACTGGTTCTTATTACCCAGAACAATGCCCTATAGATGCAATGAATTGTTGGATTCTTTACCAACAGACATAGTCGTTAGTCGCAGTTTTCATTTGTTTTTAATTTTTATTCAAGTTATTCCATTTTTATCCAATTCATTTCAAATTATCCACTTTTTTAAAATACAACAACTAGCTAATTCTGCCTTTGTCTTTAATCGTGCGTCATTTCTCCATATTTTCGCCCAGTCTCTTTCTTTATAGTGCCTAATTGGTTCATTAAACAGCATTCAATCAAACATATTTTTCGTGGTAGTCCTAAAAGAAGTTTAAATAGATTTCTCTATTTTAGAGGCATTGATTTCTCGTTGCATGACCGCTAGGTTTAAAAAAGTTACAATTTTCACTCATAGCCTTCATTTTGCTTTTCTGTCGGTGACTAAAACAGCTTTTTCATTCTTAGGAAAAAGAAAAGGAACTTGAAGTCCAAAACATATATTCTCAAAGAATACCAATAAAGAAAAGGATGAACAAGACACAGCCTTTGCCGAGCTCTAGAGCAGACGGTGACCTCACTTCAGTGAGAAGTAGAAAGTCCTCGAGTCCAACATTGCGTGTCGACGAAACGATTACTGACAGTGAAAAAGCGAGAGAAGATTCGAACGGTGCAAACTCGCAGGGAAATGGAGACTCGCAAATAGAAACAATGGTTAGCGCTTTAAGAAAGCAAGAGGAAGACCTAAATGAAATTCTTGAAGAGGAACGGAGCCGGCGAAAATTAGATGAAGACAGAAGGAGATTGTTGGAAATGGAAGAGAAAATACGAGTTAAAGAAGAGGAAATTAGAAAAGTGCAGAAAGAGAGACAAGATGATTTAAGAGCAGCGCAGAAACAGATTGATGCTGAAAAACAACTAGATTTGGAGCGGCTGAGGGACGAGGAAAAAAGAAGGGAGGAAAGAGAGAGACGCGAGGTCGAAGAAATAAGAAACAGAAAAGAGAAAGATTTAGAAGTAATTAAAGGATTAGAAAAGGAACTATCAAATGAAAAAAGTAGCATGTATAAATTGACCGAAGATGTAGGGGCAAATTTAATTAACAGGCTTGATGATCAACGGGAGCGTAAAAATTCACTTATGCAGAAGAATGACGATATAGAGGCGAAGGAGCAGAAGAAGGAAAATCTCTTGGCAAGACTCAAGGCTATTGATACTGGAAGAAATCTTGGAGATCATTCAGAAAGTACGGGAGCCGTGCCCAGACTACCGAGACCGGAAGAAAGCGGCAAGACAGGCAAGGTAAAAGGCAAACCAATATTTTTAGAAAGTAGTCGCGGAAACGATGAGACAGAAGCTAGTCCTGTTAAGCATCCACCTTTGGATTTTCGGTTCCCAGATAACAAGAGAAGAGGCAGTAAGGAGTACAGCTTTAAAAAGACAGATGAGAATCTTCACAAAGGAATTCCATCTCAATCAGATTTAACTGAAGGCATTGGTGGCACAAAGAGAGAAAAAAGTGATTTGATGTTTGGCGAGTATAATCCAACTATAGGGTCAGCTGGCAAAGACAGAACATCAAGATTTAGAAAAGAAGTTGCAAAGAAAAATGACAATGACGACCTATTATCCTTTGAAACTTCGACAAAAAAGAAGAATAATTCTGAAAATTATCTTTTTTTTGACACTAAGAAACCAACTGAACAAAAATTTCCCTCCAAGGAAGAAACACCTGCTTCACAAGCGGATACCAAGAGCAATTCATTTGAAGGCGGCAGATATTCAAATGCAGGGGTAACCGAAATTGAACGAAAATTTAGTGGAAAAGGAAAAACCAGTTCACCAGGTTCAAGTAAAGCGCCATTTGGTGCATATGTTCCAACTTTTGGAAACCAAAATAATGGAGCAGCAGACATTTTATCATCCTCGGACCCTTTTGCTGAAGATGGACCAAAGTATGGTCGCCGGAGAGGACAACAGAAGAAATCTATTCTTGGTGACGAAGTGTCCTTTACTGCAAGTAGTGAATCGAGATCAGATTCCGGAGTAAAGTCACTGCCTAACGGAGAAAATGAGAGAAAGGAACAATCTATTACGACCACTGCATTAAAAGCAGTTAACAGCTTTGTAGATGATGATATTGAGGAAATGGTGTTGATATAGTACTGTTAGACACTATGTGTATTATACAACAAACAAATTAAACTTAACAAAGTTTGCAGAAAACTTCTTTACCCAATTCAGTTTTCGTTAAAGTTTATGATTGCATAGTACACTTTCTGAAATGCAATTAAGGGTTAAGGTAATCTATTTGAAATATTTACTTGCTTCATAGCCTGTAACGATACGGGTCATTGCAACATTGTGTTCTGATCGCATTTTGTATAGTTATGCAAATATCAGTTTTAAGGAGTTGCTATTCTGCTATTAACGCAGCAATATCTTAAACATCTATGTATCAGAAGGAAAAATAGTTTGGATAGAAGGATAGATAGGATCATTTAACCAGTATGTGGCAAATATAGAGCTTGCGTTTTTAACTTATAGCATTACGTCGGTGCATTTTTTCAGTGATGCACCAAACCATGATTTAAAATAAAGGACACAAGGGCACATAGTACCCTAACTATGAAAATTTAATTCTTGCAAATTTATTTCCGGTATAAGATTTTCAGAGGTCCTCGCTCCTGTCAAGACTTCCATACCAGCCTAACTGTGCTATATGTCGCCATTTCAATATAAGTCATCATCAAATAAAACATCTATGAGCGTATAGTATGTGCACGGCGAATTGTTTTCTTTTGGTAGACCAAATCCTTTTTATCAGAAAACTAATATTGTTTTGGTGCACCAACAAAGAACGTAAGAATGTGCTTTTAGGTTGGCTCTAGAATGATATATATCAGACATGAATTACAAAAGTGGAAGTCTAAAAACATGGCATCCAAAAACAAGCATTTTGAGGTAAACAAATTTATTCAATATAATTATTCTCATAAACCAAACAGTCTATTCACACTGGCAAAATACGCCATCTTCTTAAAGAAAATCTCTTGGAGGCCTTCCAGCTTCCTTGTCTTGGCGGTGCTAAAATGATAAATATGGGATAAAAGATTTAGAATAGAATATCAAAAGAGAGAAACACATTTACAAACACATTCAATGTTAATGGCAATAATACACAAAGTAGATCCACAAAAAATTGACACAGAGTTTGTGGGCCAAAGCAATCGAAAGCTTTTTTTAATGATTGTTTTTTCAACAGCCACTCTTGAATAGGTGTCTCTTTGGAGCAATTCTATTTGTAACAATGTGTAAACATAGGCAAAAAAGCAGTTAAGGTCCCGGATTCACAGTGTTTCTGAGAATTTTCATTATCATATTTTTCCATTACTAGTTTACATTTTCAATGAATTTTTTTCAATCCCCCAGGGAACCGTCATGTGCTGAGAACCTAGCAACATAAAGGTCTGTTATTCCAAGAAATTGCCAATACCACCAAAACAAATAAATACCACCAAGCCAACCCTATACAACCAAACCAATACAACCAAAATTAAACTAATACAACCAAACCAATAGAACGAAACCAAGCCTGTAGACTGTAACCAAACCAATAGAACAAAAACGTGTATGTCACAGGAACATACATGTATTTATTTTAGCGAAACTAACAGATTAAGCGTAAAAGATTTTGAGAGCTGACAGTTTCGCACCGGTCCTTAAAAAGCGACTTAAAGTCATGCTATATCTAAGTAGGGGATCTCCTGTATACTTTTATTAACATTATAGCCAGTTATAAGAAACCACAGTTGTAAATAAATTAGTTAAAGCTGCGACAAACAAGTGCATGCTTCAGACGAAATAAAGGATGTCTCTGGGATCTGGGGTGAAAACTCAAGTGCTTGATTTCTCAATCTTTTGGTGATCTGAGAGTTTAGTTTCAAGTTTCTCATAAGAAAATACGGGGCAAAGACGACGAAGAAAGTAATATGACATGTATCGTAAGTTTCCCATTTTATTGTTAGTCCAAATCTGTTTCACAATCGGAAGAATCTGGTTCTGAATCAGTTAGTTTAAAAGTGCTTCGTTTCTTCTTCACGTGACTTGTTAAGTAGTTAACGAGTTTACAGGAGAAGATTACTTCCTGAAAGATTATTATATTATTTTAAAGTGAAAACATAGGGGATCAAGTTCCTATCAATATTTTAGTTTTGTTTCAAGAGGTGTCATGAAATAAAAGGAAGACCAAGGCGGGCGGTTAACGTGCAAACTGACATTGAGGTGAGGCAAGCCTGGAGGAGCGCACGGGCGATCGCCCGCCTCAAACGGCCAGGTCTGCAAACCCGTAAACTGGAACCAAACCAATAGAACGAGGCCAAAGCAAACAAACCCTAATCAACCCAGAACAAACCAACTCAAACCATCCCAACTCAACCCAAACCAAACAAGAGCACATTTTGTTCTAGACCAATCAGCGAGTTTGTTTACAAAATGTCATTAGCCAATCACCTGCCTCCATTTCGAGCTTGATTTTTCAATATTTCAAACCAAAACACAGTTGCTGTGGAGAAAAACCTACCCCCATACTTTTGCCCGGGAAAAAATTTACGTTTTTCTACGAAAGAAGATTTTTGAAACTTACTTTCTAGAGTAATTTTTTTGGTACGAATCTAGGAGCCCTAAGCAGGAACACAAACGGTTGGTAAAATATCTGCAGTGAAACATTACCTATTTTCTACCTCGGCCCTACCGCCAAAAGTTCCCACCCCCTAATTTATTTCTTATGAAGTTTTTGTTAATTAAACAAGGAATTTTTTTTAAGATTTAAGTTACCTGATATTTTGTACAAATAAATCACCCAGCCATCACCTGGGAATATTGTATTTTCCAAACAAAACTAGGCTTTATGATTGCCTAGGCTTTATGATTGAATTTGTTCCTCATTTTTTGCAGTCTTAAAGTAACTATGGTTAGAGAAAAGGGGCTACACCCAACAAATATAGCAGATGCACCTTTAAAAATGATAAAAACTGGTATCTTTTTAATATTTCATAGGTGCATGGTTTCCAGGTACGTATCATTTTTGGCGACTTGGGTTTATGATTGGGGATATCATTCACAAGATTGGGCCCCCTTATGATAATTTTCTCCCTGCCCTTTCCTAGGAGCCACAACGCCCCTGTTGCTTACATTATACGTAGTACGGGCCCCTTTTCTGTATATAGCAACCCGAGAGATTTGCTGCCAGTCCGCCTCTGACCTAAACCATCCCAACCCAAATCAACCCAAACCAAACTAAATCAAACCAACCCATCCCAACCCAAACCAACCCGAAACAAACCAAACCAAAGCAAGCCAACCCATCCCGACCCAACCCAAAGCAAACCAGCCCAAATAAACCCAAACCAAACCATTCCAACTCAACCCAATCCAAACCAAACCAAACCAAACCAAACCAAACCAAACCAAACCAAACCAAACCAAACCAAACCAAACCAAACCAAACCAAACCAAACCAACCCAAATAAACCCAATCCAAACCAAACCATCCCAACTCAACCCAAACCATCCCAACTCAACCCAACTCAACCCAAACTAAACCAAACCAAACCAAGCCAAAACAAACCAATATAACCAGACCAAACAAAACCTAGCCCAACCAAAACCAACCCAAACAAAACAAATTCAAACCAATACCACTAAACCAAACCAATACAAACAGATAAACCAAATCAAACAGATACAACCAATACCAGACAAACCAAACCAACCCAAACCAAACCAAACGAATACAACCAAACCAAACCCATACAACAAAAACTGTTGCTGCCAAAAGCCTTCAGCTTGGATACATCAAAAAAATAATTCATACATAATTAATATTTTTTCCTATGCACTCTTTACTAACACTTTTCACTTTGTTCGAAAATAACGCTTAAACAAATTTTTTTATTTATTTCTGGCAAGAGACTTCATCAAAAGTGTGCAATTTGAAAATCTAATTATTTTTGCCATTTTTAAACTCTTTAATTTTTCTTATACTTTCAATGCATACCTTTATTTTAGGGCTCACAGCTTGCTTTTCTATTTTTACAATTCTATAAAAACTTAAGATCAAATGTCTAGTACAAAAAAGATGATCCAATTCACTATTTTGAAAGTAAGCACATACCAGGTCCCATTTAAGGGCATAGTAGAAAGCACCTGGCACAATGATACCCCAGATGACTCCATATAACACTGTTTTTGGTCTAAGCTTGAAGTATAGATGGGTTGTCTCTCTCATCTTTGCCCATCTTTCAATAGCAGGGTCTCTCTGAAAAAAACATAGTTATAACAAGTAAATAGCCATCACATCCCAACCTGTGGCATTCTAATAGCAATCTATTAAGAATGGTCAGTGGAAGTATCATTCCATATCAAATCACTTCACCCAATTAAACCATGGTCTTAAAACTTCTTAAATTGTTGACTAAGCTTCTCTTGTTCAAAGCCTAGATTATTTCTCTCCATTGCATCATCATTACATTATCCCAATACATCCTTACTCAGCACATTTGTTTGTATATAAGTATGTCAATTTCAGTGGCGTAGCTAGCCAAATAGCAGTGGTCATGCCCTCCCCTCAAATTTGAAAAAATATGGGTGTGGCCAAATTCTGCCACGCCCAATTTTTGAGTTGATGAGTTTTTTTGAGAACTTTATTTTTGAGAACTTTTGAGAACTAATTGAGTTGATGAGAACTTTAATTATAAAAATTTATAACTTATAACTATAAAAAATTTTTTTGATGAACCTTTGGAATGAGCTTTTCTTATTATATAGGAATCATCTTGTTACACCATGAAATGACTTTTGTATCTTATAGCTGTGACACTGTTTTGGTTTGTTGCTAATTTATACAGACAGAGATCTGACAATTTCGAAACAAAAGACATTAAAAGCATTAGCTTAGTATAGTATATAAACTTGGCTTAAACAAAAAATTGTGTTATTCTCCTAATTTCTCGCAATTTGCAGGCTGAAATACATTAGAGATTTAAGCTAAAATTTGTAAATGAAACAATAAATCACGTGAAACTGAATGGGAGCTTTTTGGTCATCTTTTCCACAAATAGTCTTATTATCAATCTATTGAAGGTATTTTAAAGCCATCATGATTAACTAACAACCCCAATAGAACTGATAGATGAATAAAAAAAATGGGCAAATGAATATGCAATGTAAAAATTTTTGCAAAGTTAAACTTAATAGAAAAAGTACTTGCAAAATAAGTTTAGCTTAACAAAAACATTGATGTATACTTGTGGTAAATATCCACATGATTGGATTGTCCTTACTAAATCTAGCAAACAAGGGTTTTAAAAGAAATAATTTGATCTTGTAAAATTTCAAATACATAAAAAAGCAATAATAAAGAAATAAAACTGTTTAACTAACAAGGTCAGTAACATAGTTGACTTGTCTCTGGTCATTTTATTTAAACAGCTATAAGTAGTAAAAAGGTACTTTCAACTATAAGTGAAGTCAGTAGAGCTTTGAGTTTGACTTTAATTGTGTGTAAAAACAGTGTTATTGCATGTGATAATAAACAAAAAATTGAAGAATAGCTTTAAGCAAGTTTTGGCATTCCCTTTCCATTAACTACAACCTTATTGTCATAATCATAATATGGTAACAATGCTTTTAAAGGGCTTAACAGTTTCTGAATATGCTGCTAAATGTCTGGAAAGTTTAAGCTCTCAAATCTGTTGGTTTGGAAAATAACCTGCTATCTCCTCCATCCATCTCCAGTGAACAGCACCAAGATTTGGCATTCATTAAATCAAGAAGATTCTCTGCAAATGTTCAACTCGTAACAATTGATTACTGAAAAGGCTGAGAGTTTGGTTTGGTTGCATAAAATGATCCTGCTCGCTGATTTTATGTCCAAAAGGGCCTTTCGTGCCTTTCACTTCCCCATATAGTGCAACACCATTCAGGCTGAAAAATCCTGCCATTGCCATAAAATGCTTTGGAGAATAACATGAGTCATGGCTGCTTGGCAATAAGCTTTTGCTTGCATTTTACTTACAGAGAATTACCTCCCAGCTCGTGGATCTAGGCACAGCGCCGCCATTGATGCCTTGCATTCGCGTTCACGAAATAACACAGGACCACAGGACAGTTCTGATGATTAAAATGATGGTCATGCCCTCTCTAAATGGCATGACTAGCCTTTGTTCTCTCCTGCGTCACTCCTATTGTTAGGCATGACCAAACATAGGGAACCAGCGTTATGGGCATGACTAAAACACAGGGTTTGGTCATGCTCATAGTTATGGGCATGACTAAATTGGAGACCCTCTGTTTTAGTCATGCCCGACAATAGAAGAGCGCCTTTGGAGGGCTCCATACTCTTGCGTGGAACCATAGGGCTCCAAAGGCGAATGGCCTGATCTATTACATAAGGAGAATAGGACTTTAATCTTACGAAAATAGATTATTTTGAAAAATGCTTTCTCTGGAAAAAGATGGTCATGCCCCGCATGACAAGCATGACCGCTAGCTATGCCACCGGTCAATTTGTATGTGATTTTACTTCAGGTACATTGAAGACACACAAATTTTTTTTGCGAATGTGGCGATGGTAGATGCGAACTATGTTCGGCGGCCAGTTGAGGGAGAGAACCTTGGAAAATGAGCAGTTAGAAACCTCGCTTGCATATCAACGGCTATGATTGTTGTTGGAAAGCTGTGGAGACATTTGCTTGCAGAAGAGCAGCAACATACATGCCAACACTCCTGCAAACTGTGGGAGTCTCCCGATATTTTTGCTCAATAATGATGCATTTCGTTCATTCATTAGATTGCCAAAAAGTGCTCACCCTTAACTAAGCGCCAACTATCTCCACCTTAACATGTAATAACTCAAAACATTTGCCAAAACAAGTTTCTGAGACTCTGCATTACAGTAGCAGGGAAGGCATAATGTTGCATAAGGTAAAACCAGGAAGAAGTCAATACCATCATTTTCCGCCAGTGAATATTCATTTTAAGAATAAAATTTTACTATCAAAATCTGTTCCAAAGAATGCAATTTCCGGCGAGCTTGAAGCATTAAGATTATACAAAATTTACCCTTTTGCAGCAACCATGGTGTCGCCTCAGGTAGTAACTTTATTTTACCTTTGTCTTAATGTTGAAATTTTTTTCTAGTTCAATAAAATATTATGCATGCAATATAATAGGGCAAATAACTCGATAGCTCATTGGAGTTCTTTTTATTTGCCCTAAGCTTTATCAATTATAAGCATGTTTAATCATGTAGCTTGTAATAAAAAGCTTGAATTTATTATAATTGAATTGAATTGAGTAGCAGTTACACAGTAGCGCCGAAATTCAGCCGGGGCAACGACCAAACATTTCCCTTCCTTCTTAAAGAACTCACTCATTTTGAAACCTTAACTTGACAGGTCTGAGCAATAAGCATTTCTTTGTCATATGCCTTTGATACTCATATAGGCCTAAAAAGGAGGTTCAACGTCCTAAAGTTATAAGCTGTCTGGACTAAACTTGCTTCCTTTTTTTGACAAACGGCACCAAAATTAATAACTTAACGAGATCGAAGTGATTAAAGACAGCCTGGTAAAGGAAATAAGCTACTTACAAGAAGGATTCCGTGATCTTCTGGGCGTTTCTTCGGAGGCCGTGGCAGGGAAAATTTGAACATGGACCTCAACGCCATTTTGTAATATCATAAATGTGTACAGGGAACCAAGAAGGTACTAATTATTGGGATGGGATCTAAACAGACAGAAGATTGATTGCAGGGATGTAGTGGTGGTGGGAGGGCTCAGGGGGGCGCAGCCCTCCTTGTTTGATTTTCGAAAAAAGTGGAGCGACTCAGCCCCCCTCATCGTCTGTTTTTTGATACAGCCAAAAATCATGTAACGCAAAGAAAGATGTAAAGAATTGTCACTTCACAACAGGTCAGCCCTTGACAACTAAACCAGAAAAGGAAAAAGGGAAACAACAGACATGTTTAAATGCACTGTAAGCTTAATGTGAATGAAAATGTACACAAAGTTTGAGATTTATAGATATAAAATTATTGAGTAATTTCTTATTGAGTACGTTTAGTTGCAGTTTTGAATAGAGAGTTGGTTTTAAATTTTGCATTTTGAAATGGGGTTAATTGCTATTATTCTAGTCTGCCTTCCCTACTTTTAATATTCCATGTACTGCGCTCATTTTTATAGGAACTATACTTTTTTGTTAACACTCGATGTTCTATGTCTGCAAACTATGAAAATTTTCTAAGTCCACCGTATACAGTAAACCCCCTCATATAAGAACCTACTTTTTTGAGGTTCAGGCTGAAGTATGTTCTTATTGGAAAGGTATTTGCATCAATTTCAGGGTAAGAAGGTTTTTATTCGAAAGATCCCATGTTTAAAACTTTATGATTTATTACCAAGATATGCATTCAACCCTGTTTGTTTCCCTTTGGCAATGTTATTAATGCAACATTACAAAGATATTTACAGGAAGACATTTGAGTGCACTGGCTGTCTTATGACAGTGGATTGATCTGGAGATGATCTCATATGTCCTCAGGAATTGAAAATTCTAATGCTTTTATTTCATTTTCAACATTTCAAATTTTGCTATATATAATTATTTTAAAAAGTCAAAGTGATTTTAAAGTTCTCTTTCGTTAAAGTGTATAAAATGCTGAAAATGCACAACTGAAAATTTTTTATATCGATTGTGATTTTACCTCATCTTCAAAAATTTGGGAGTAAATAAGGACCATTCAAAACTCTATTTTTTTGCCCTTGGAATAAGAACCTATTATATTTCATCACACTGAAACAGGTTCTTTATTACAAGGTGCATAATTTTGGAAGAACAGCCTCTAGGTTCTTAATTTTGTAGGTTCTTATATGCGGGCATTTACTGTAACAGTTCTGTGTGGCATTTTTAGTAGCACTGGCCATTAGCTGTTAAAATCTCTTCTGTTTTGTTAACACGAGAGAAAATGTGTCAATTCAAATCCAGCCAATGCAGGCGCGGATCTAGGCCGGTTGTACAGGTTTCAAAAAACCAGTCAAATTCTAAGAGCTATGTTTCTCCGTAAATCTTGAATTTTTTATCTAAATTTCAATTGCAACAATTGCTGAATTTCTCCCTGACTGACTACAGTCGTTCTGCTTACATACTGAATTGAACCCCCACAAGATTCCTACAAAGTTCCCAGCTTCAGAGGCGGACTGGCAGCGAATCTGTCGGGTTGCTATATTCAGAAGCCCGTACTATCCGAGCTACAAACCCAAAAGTTTTGTTACTAGCCATACCTCAAAACAAATCATTAGAATTAATTATTATCACCACAAAAAGCAATTCCGGGCGCATGTGCTAAGCGGCGAAGTAGGGGCAATAGCAATACAACAGTCCATCAGTGCTATGAGTTTGTCTTGTCATATGACACAACACTTGACAGTGGCGGATCCAGACTACCGCCATTACCGCTCGAGCGGTAGTCAGATTATTCAAAAAATTATAGAAACAAGGATCATTATCATGTTTATCCTACTTCTTTAATTAAACCATATTTAATTATTGAAAATATTTGATCGCGCTGCAAACCAAGCCTTTCTTCCTAGGAACATGCCTGAAATTTCCACAGAGACAGAAATATTTTTTAATCCTTATCGCTATGGAAATTGCGTGCCACATGTTTGCAAATATAAGGCTAGCATGGGGGGATCATGAAATCATGGCTTGCTAACTAGGGGGGTTGAGTCGGTAGTCAGCCTGCCTTAACCAATCACATCGTCAGAAATCACTGCCAACCTGGGGGGATGCATACAAATTTTGTTGACAACCAATGAACAACCGAGTTGACTACCGCTCAGATGGGGGGTTGAGTAGTACTGCCGCTCAACACGGCTCAAACGTTACAGAAAGATGGAGGGATGCCTACATATTCTGCAAGTGGGCAAACTGTAACTTCAAAGCCGATGTGACCCATTATTTTGTACAACACACAACTATTCGTAGGAATATATTTTAAAAGAATATTAAGACTCAAATATTCTAAAATTTAAGAAGGCATCAGGATTAAAAGTCAGGCCCACAATATTCGCAAAAAATATGATTCTTTGTTTAACAAAAGTTGCTCTCAATAATTGCAGATTTTATCCAGCTTTTTAAACTTGTAATTTCCAACAGGTCTGATTTTCATAAGTAATTGTCCGACTAAATGCGAGTTTTAGGCGACACTTCAAAATTCTGCCAAATGTATCTTTTTTTATAATTCTATGGTGTTCCTCGTCTAAATTCCGTAAATTTTTTCAGAATGTCCATCCTCAGAATATTGAATAAGATTATTTATTTCTTCCCAAGCTTGTTGTAAGGATACATGAAATTTCAGTAAAGCACCGCTTGTCTCTTGAAATGGTCTACATAAGAAATTAAAGAAAGCAATAATCATTTTAGAAAACCGGGTGTGACCAAGAAATGGGTGTGGTCAACCCTCTATCTCATTTCGGCGGTAGTCAGATTTTTGGCTGGATCCGCCACTGCTTGAGATCAGTTTGTTTTGCAGTCCTACCTACACTCTAAAGAATCGTAACTGATTTACCGATACTTCAACAAAACAAAATTAAAAGTTCTTGCTCTAAATAAAATCCATTAAAATATCAGTTTTCTTTGAAGCGCGGGCGAAGAGCACGCGTACGTACTGATTTATTACGTGTTTATAGTCTTACAGGAAGTTTTTCTCTTCACTTGAAAGAATCATCAGTGATTCAAGGTGTGGCTGACCAATGGTTGCTCTAAGTCTACTCTTTATGCAGGCCCGTCGGAACTGGGGAGGGGCTGGGGGGCTGGAGTAATTGTAAGATTGTAGTATATTTCCTTTATAACAGTGTACTAACTGAGAAGGAATACAATGGGCAGCCCCCCCCCCCCCCCAATATGAATTTCGTTCCGACGGCACTGTTATAGGCTTACTGAACATTCGTTCACATGAAACTTGCGTGCAGCTCAGCGTCATAACAACTTTATAGCAACGTAAAGAGCAGGATACGACGAGACATGCATGTTGTACACATGCAATGTAGTCCAAGGACATTTGGCAGGCACTGTAGTTTCAAAGATAATATTTTTGTTCTGTAGGCGCCATCCTAGGCGGGGTTGTTTTAGAGGCCCGATCCATGACCCTAAATTTTTTTATTTGTAATTTGTGTTTGTCTAGACTAGATAAGCTCTGGGAGCTGTTCTGATAATGTAAGCAATATTAAAATGTTTTCTTTCTAAGAATTTTATCTTCATTTCTGTGACTTGTATTCTCTTGAACATAGATATCTTTGAAATTAACAGAGTTATTTTCTCGAATTTATCTACGGAGGGCCCGGTTATTATGAAGTTGAGAGGGCCCGGGTTGCATCTCTGCCAGTCCGCCACTGCCCAGCTTCCTAATTCATCTTTATCTCAAAGTATCCAAGGAATTCAAAATCGAGGAAATCAGCAGCCACTCGATGTGACAGTTTGGAGTATGCTATCTATGCGCCAAAATTGAAACAAGTGGCTATTAGTGAAAACCGGTGCCTATATGTTTCTCGGTGGCTAAAAAGCATATTCGATATCGATATCCATAGCTCGAAAGTGTGAACGCTTTGAAACAAAATAATACAAAATGAAATGCAGATGCAAATAAGAATCTGAGATTTTGTATTGAGGGAATAGACTTTCTTTCTCGGAGAAATTCATGAAAATCAGAACCAACCATGGTGGTGGCTTTCACTGAACCCCTGAGCAATTTAAACATTTTGCCCCCTCATTTGCGATGAAGTTCCCCCACCCTTTCCATGGTGTAGATGTTCTGATCTAAGCTGTAACATTATTGCATATTTGGGACATGCTTGCTATGGATGATTGCATATTTGGGACCTGCTGAAACAATTTTCTCTGATGTTTTCTCTTTGCATATCCAAAGCTTATATGGCGCATCAGAGATTCTTTGCGATGGTCTGCATAAACATTTAGAAGCCAGTACTTGCTGTTGTTTTCACGACTGGGGCCTTGTTTTCATAAGCGACGAATGCTGTTGCAGCTAACCCGTGTTTACTTCCCATAATTTTAAGTCCTCTCAGGCTGAGGAAAACCTGTCGAGATTCATCGTGCGCTGTTTTCTCGATCAGCGATTTCCCTACCCTGTTAGAACACCATAATTTATAGAAGCTTTTAAAAAACCTGTTTTCGAGATAAAAGACTACGAAAGATGTTTAAAAACAAATTTCCGAATTCTTTTGATGCCAATTCGGGCAATGTTTAGTAGCCAGTAAACGCCATATCTATATGTAAACATAGGCCTGTGGCCACTTTTTACCCAATATCTCCCCCCAGTCTCTTTATTCAAATAAGCGTGCGGATATCGAAAAGGTGCAAAACTTGAATTCACCACGCATGTTAGGCAAGCGCGAGTTGAGCAAAGTTCAGTTGGGTGGTCAAATGAACTGAGTGAACATCGCTCAACAACACCTTGATCGCCGTCAAACATCTCTGAACAGAACTGAGCAGGGCTGAGCAAGTGGTCAAACGAACTGAACTTTTCACTGAGCAAGGATGAGCAGACACTGAGCGTTGCTCAGTGAAATGTTCAGTTTTTTTGACAAGCCCGGCCAAACACTCTCTACATTTCACTCGACAACGCTCGACATTTTGTCGAATCAAATGTCGAGAGCGTTTGGCCAACTTGTCGGGTGTTGTTGAGCCTCGTCGAGCGTTGTCGAGACAAATTTGATCAATTGTCGAGTTTAAAATTGTCGAGTGGTAACACTCGACATTTCTATTGTTTCAGGTGTTGTCGAAGGTTGTCGAGTGCTTTTGGCCAGGCTCTCAACATTCTGCTCGACTTTTGCGAATCAACGCATGTATAATGTTTAAGCATAATTAACATAATTAGCATAATTAATATAGGAAATGCTGTCAATGTATTTTGAGACTTGATTGAAGAATGGATTAGAATCAAGAACATATTTTCTATGGTCTATATCTATGACGATATACAGAACACAATAGCATGCGCAATTTGCAGTATCTGAATTTTGCCCGCTAAAGTTGTGTTTATTTTGTTTCGTGATATCTTCGGATTTCTGTTTTTTGCTTCGATAATTTGAAAATGGAAAGTTGCAGTCAATTTGACCTCATTTACGATGAACGTTCAGATGTCTACAAAGAAGGAAAGGTCAATGCTAGCTCTTCAAGCAGCGACGAAGGCCTTGATGACGATAAAGCCAAGGAAATATTAATGATGCTAGCAGAAAAAATAAGACTCGCAAACGAAAGCCACTAAGTCAACGGAACAAAGAGGCGGAAAGAAAGAGAAAAAATCTGCTCCCCAACAAAAAAGTGGACACATTTACGAAAACAAGCCTTGTCTTTGGAATATCACCGACAATCCACGACAGATCGGAAATCGTCGTTTAGCCAACTATTGAGAGAGGGTCGGTCTAGGGGCGTAGCCCTTAGGAAAATTTTGCGTTGTTACGCCCTAAAGACTTTCAGAAATGGAGGCAACACCCATAAAAATACATTCAAATCAAGGCTACAGTCAAATTTCATTTTCGAAATTTGTTCTGACGACCATCTACATGGCTTGATAAAACTTTTGGATATAACTCCTCTGAACATACTGTTTTTTTCTTTCTTTATTAAAAGTTGGTACAATCTGTAGTTTTTTTAAAGCTAAACAAAGCCAACTAATTTACCAACGCTCAATATGATTTAAATCAAATTTAACTGATATTGCATACATTTTCCTTGCAAAAATCAAAAGTACAATTGAATGATGAAAATTCTGAGATTTTCTCTTGAAAATTTATAAGTTGTAAAGTTGGGGAGTACTTATTTCGTTTGGAACTGAAATTCATATTTGGCTAGATCTGTATAACAAAGATATTGCTGAGAGCAAAATGAATTATATCACTCTATTATTGTTTCTTCTGAAGCGAGGCAATTTGGCTTTAAAAAGGCTTCAAAAACTTGCTTTTGAAACTTCAGATTGCACCAGGGTTCCCGTAAGGATCTCATAAGGAACTCAAATCGCTAAAAATCTTTCAGAAGCTTTTAATACGGGCTCATAAAAATACACGTGCATTCTAGCACTGCTTACCAAATTCAAACAAAGTCTTCAGGATATTTTTTACCGATTTCAACTAACTAGTGGGGATTCAAAAGGGCCCACTAGGACAAGCCAAAAGGCCCATTAGGATAAATTTCCAACCAGTCGGTACGTTAAGGCGTTGAATAGGAATATAGGGCTGCCGGCCGCAGGTTTGAGCAGGGGCGTGGGGGGGGGGGGCAGAAGGAACTAAAAGGGCACGAATATTTTTATTCGAAACATTAGTAAGTGTCAAAAATGGTACAGATCTCATGGTAATTTAGACATTTATAAAAATATTGAAACACGCTGGGCATAGTAAGAACTATCTTCACTTAAAGTAGATAGATGGCTATGTACTCCATTTAGGGACCACGCACTCTTGATCATAATTAATTGTATAGCTTGTCAATGACCACGCACTCTTGATCATAATTAATACGCTACACTTATAAGAGGTTACCCTTTGCTCATTTCGTACAGCACCTAAGCAATTCAAGGGCACCTTTTGGTTATGCAGTTGGCAAAAACAGCAACTCGATGAGCTACAAGGGGGCAGGTAATCTGAATTTTGGAAAAAATGTTCTCACCGAAATTTACACCGAAATTTCGAAAAAGATGACCAAACTTTTCTCCCCCAAAAATAAACCGACCGAAATTTTTTGGTATTGGGTTATTTGGTACTTAATTTAGTTCTAAAGATGTTTTGCTAATTCTTTGTGGCTCCGACGACGTTTTATAAGAACTCTTGATAGGGGTTTTGTTCTTTAATTTGACTTGATGTTGTGAATTTCTCTTTTGAATAGAAAGTGCCCTCTGAACATGAAATATGTGCAGCGCATCCATGTTTATACGTAGAAATCACACTTTAGTGCACGTGCAAAAGTTGTCAACAAAATTTGGTTGTTTTTAAATATCCGGGCACTATTCTAAATGTGCGTAGAGTGAAAAAATGCAAATGAAAGGCATATCTCGAATTCCGGTGGAGGTGCGTTCGCAAGTTCTCAAACACAAGGAGTATGTTGGAATTGTGTTAGTAAGGTATTTTGAAGAAAATCAAAGAGGACGCTGTACTCTTGACGCACCGGAGATGTTGGTTTCTGCAGAGCTTTCAAGCACGTTTGGGCAATTGAGTAAATTCTATTTTGTTGACAATGCGTCCTTTCTAGTACAAACATCCTGCTTACAATGATGTTTACGTGCAAAATCCAACTTAAAGGATTTCATGACGAAAAACAGCTAAATCAAAGCTCTTGATAAAGGAACAAGTACACGAAGAAACGAGATTCAACCTATTTGTGTGGCACAGTGATGAGCGTGGAGAACCCGTCGCATAACGAGAATGGTCATAGGACATCAAAGAGGTTCTGCGCCAGTAGCACAAGTTCTGTGGATAGGCGCCACTTCTTAAATGTCCCTTCAAAAAAGGATATTTTTTGCAGGTGTCCAGATGTCAGGATATTGTTTCTAGGCGGCCGTAATGTCGGCAAAACAGGTATGAATAATACGTTTTCCACCCAGTAAATCTAGCACGCCGACCAACGAGTATACACTCCTTTTTATAAGAAAAATTTTATAAGTACAGGAGCCTCAAAATTTCCCCAAAGTTAAGCACAAATTAAGAGCAAGCTGAGGTTGAGGTACTGTTAAAAGCAATTCTGAACAACGCTTTATCTCAAAAATGAGGATTTTTAGCCATCTGTTGATGCTTTTTCGGTGAATATTCAAACTTGACGGCAAATGAAGGTTATCTTACTCATTTTGTTGGCAAATGAGGCCTGAACATCTTCCTAGAACGAAAAAGGTAACAAGCGCAGTGCTTACATCCTATTAATTTAAGAACAAATTAAGAACAGTCAACCTGAATTTATATTTACTGGTTCTTATGGAAGTGTAACGTGCGACTCACGTTTCTAAAATGGCAAATTTGTTCATTTTGGCAAATTTTCTTGACTTCTGGACTTTTGCCCCCTCCGATCTGGATCATTGTCTCAAGGATGTCCTGTCACAAACTCTATCAAGAGATTATATTATAAATACGTTTATATAGTTCTTTTACACGTTGACACGAAGTGTGTGTCCCTTTAATTTGTACTCAGCTTTCCTCTTTTCGGTACGTATGTTTAATCGCAGCAAATTGCAACTACTCTCTTTATAAGAAGATGGCAATGAGAAACCAATACTTGAACCCCACAAATATGAAATTACGTTAATGGCATAGTCTAAGAAATATCTGGTAGCAATTTTGTAAAAAGTTGTTATTAGGTACACTTTTGCCTCGGTGGATGTAAAAAAGAGGATTTATTACAAATTTTTTGTACACGCATCCCTACATTGGGTGTTATTGTACTTTCATGCAATGTTTTTAATTTTTGCCAACAAATTCGATACAATTTAAATGCACACTGTACGCTAGTTTAAAAGTTGGGGCTGAACCAAGGGCTCAGGGGCATGTCTTAAAAATGTTTTTGGAACCACGCCCTGGAGAACGACGGGAAATGTCCCTTTCAAATGAGACCTGAGAGAAGATTTCACTTACAATGAAAAGAGATATAATCAGCATGGCGATAATTAAACATCAGGCTAACTAAGTTAGAAGATACGACTTATTCAGTAAACGAGATAGAACACAGAGAATATGTAAGCGGGCTTCAAGTCAAGAAGAACCGCTACTACTCAAGAGCCGTTAGATTTATCTTGGGCTGCGCTGTCTGTTTTTATTTCGAAGAAAATCATTAGTAATTTCCACAATGACTGCTCATTTTCCATAAAAACATAATGATTGCTCATTATTTATGAAGCTTGTTTCATATTCGAACGAAACCAGGTTTGTAGCCGTCAAGCCAATGAGGAAGATTTTTCTGCACGTGCACTTGATGCTGGGTTAACGTGCCGAAGCTTGCAAACTGTTATCACTTCGCCTATGAATTTTTTAGAATAATATGTCAACCAATTAAAATCCAATTTAATGTACACTTATTGTTTTATAAGAATACTTATAGTTTTTTTAAGCATCCTTATTTTTTCAAATCTGATATGGTTTCAGGGAAACATCACTCGCCCTCGAATAGAAACCATGCTTTTTGAAAAGGACGATATATGTCAGCCCTGTTGTTCTCTGTTATGATCATCGCAAAACCGACAGCTACAGGGAAATGAGGCACAACAAAAATATGCGAGCTGCGATGCTAGGCAGCAGTTACAATATTCTTCAAAATTGGATGATTCTGATATTTTAAAAACAATATTCTTATAAAAAAGGCTGCATTTATATTTCTCGTTTCAGCTTTGCTTGTTCGATTTTTAACAAAGAGATTCATTGGGGAATACGACAACTCGGCAGGTATCTCAAGTTCTCCTAGTCAGATTTTTCAAAATGAATGTTTATAGTCACTTTTTTATAAGAAACAACGGTCTACGTTGGGTATTACTGTTCTTAACAACTCTGGGTTCAATAGATTGTTTTGCGATTATATACTTTAACCCTATCTCTAGACTGCAATTGTGCTCTGTCACTTTCGAAAGGCTCCCGCTTCCAGTCGATTGTCCTCGAGTCCCAATGTTTTCAAAAACCTTCAAAGACAACCTATTGGTATTCGCTTGTTCACCAAGTAAGTCTATTTGCATTGGACGTTGCAATCAACTGTTCAATGCTCAAAAACTAGGCCGGCCCAAAAGGACTGCAGTTTCACCTCCACTATACCTTTCACAGTTTGACCAATAGGCTGCCGATTCTAGCTTGCATTGCCATTGAAAGTCGTACCATTATTTCAATATATTTTCTAGTTTAAGTTCAGAGTATAACATCCTTATTCTCATGTGTGGTAAACTTAAATTCATTCGTGTCTTCAAAATTACCAAATTGTTTTCAAGATGCAAGCTACATGAAGCAAATATCCATCAATACGCAAGATATAACTTTGGAACTGCTGGACCCCCAGTCACAGGTAAACAAATCTTGGCTTTAAAAACTAGCTACTGCATAAAAATAACAAGCAGCCAGGCATTAATCTCGAAGTAGATAAACACTTTTCAAAATGTAACCAAATTTTATAAACTTGTATATAGCCCAATTTTGTCATTTAGGATTCAAGGAAAAATATTCGTGGTAAAATAGATTGGGCTGATGGAATAGTTCTCGTCTACTCTGTCACAAGCAAGAACAGTTTCAAAGAAGTTAATATATTAAAAGACATTATAGATACTACTTGTACACAGAAAAGGAAACCAATTGTGCTGATTGCAAATAAGATCGACTTGAGACACAACAGGACTGTATCGAGCAGCGAAGGGCAGTTGCTAGCAAAGCGCTGGGGGTGCTCCTTCCTCGAGTGCTCCGCAGCTGTATACTCCAGCGGTTATCAAACAATTTGCGAAGCGATTGTTGGACTTTGCCAAGAAGTGCTAAGATCCAATGCAGTTAGCCGGGAGATGGGAAGGCTCGGAAGACGTCGGGCCTCGTTATCACCAAGACCATTCCGGGATGCAATATTCAAGATGTTTGGAACGACAAAAGACGATATCCTAGCATGCAAGCAGTCTGACTTGTAGGGGATCGAGCGTTCACAATACGTTGTATGAGAATACGTTTTATGAGAATACGTTGTATGAGAATACGTTGTATGAGAATACGTTGTATGAGAATACGTTGTATGAGAATAAGTTGTATGAGAATACGTTGTACGATAATATGTTGTATGAGAATACGTTGTATGAGAATACGTTGTACGATGATATGTTGTATGAGAATACGTTGTATGAGAATACGTTGTATGAGAATACGTTGTATGAGAATACGTTGTATGAGAATAAGTTGTATGAGAATACGTTGTACGATAATATGTTGTATGAGAATACGTTGTATGAGAATACGTTGTACGATGATATGTTGTATGAGAATACGTTGTATGAGAATACGTTGTATGAGAATACGTTGTATGAGAATACGTTGTATGAGAATAAGTTGTATGAGAATACGTTGTACGATAATATGTTGTATGAGAATACGTTGTATGAGAATACGTTGTACGATGATATGTTGTATGAGAATACGTTGTATGAGAATACGTTGTATGAGAATACGTTGTATGAGAATACGTTGTATGAGAATAAGTTGTATGAGAATACGTTGTACGATAATATGTTGTATGAGAATACGTTGTATGAGAATACGTTGTACGATGATATGTTGTATGAGAATACGTTGTATGAGAATACGTTGTATGAGAATACGTTGTATGAGAATACGTTGTATGAGAATAAGTTGTATGAGAATAAGTTGTATGAGAATACGTTGTATGAGAATAAGTTGTATGAGAATAAGTTGTATGAGAATACGTTGGGCCGTTTCTTACCAGCGTTTAGGTTGTAAACAGGTAACGATAAAACGACATAGAAAATAAAAAAATGGTTCAATTATAAGATTGTGATTAAAGAGCAAACAAGAATTGAACAAGCGTTTTCTATGATTATTATACTTTATCTCAAACAGAATAATCGCAATTAACAATCTGGCTTTAAACATTTTTACATGTAAGAAAGTGAAGGTAGCGAGTCGACAGTTAAGACTTATCAAAATCTCTATACAAAAGTAAAAGATTCCTCAAAACAATTTATCTAAAAATTAAAGCAGTCACTTGAACATTCGATTTATTTGCACTTATTTACATTCGCAACATAATTTCCACTCTTTTTCATAAGCAATTATTTTCACAACAGACAAATTTGACAAACTTTTACTAGAACTTTATTTCAATGTCTAAGCCTCCTGAGTAGGCATATACTGTCCTACGGACGGGTACGAGAACGTCTGTGGAATATAAGAGTCATACCGGGGGTCATAGACATTGTTCTGCACCAAAGTAGTTATATCTTCAGGTTCCGGAAGAACAGTAGCCAGCTGTTGCTCATAGGCACATTTTGCAACTTTGCAGGCGATGTTGAAGGAGACTTGCTGAATTTTTGACAAGGCAGGATAAAGTCGGCCGAATTTCAGGTCATCTTCTGTCACTTGATCAGCTAGGGCCTGAATAGAAATTGAAATTATTGAAGCATCACCAAGCAAGAATATAAAGGCTTGTAAATCCAAGAATAGAGAATATTTAAATTTTGAAAAGGAAAAATGTTGCGTTTGAATTACGAGACTAGAACATTTCAGGCATGGGAATTTGGATCGAACACGTTAATTCCAAATGCAACATTTTAAGATAAGATTAAGGTAAGATTACGAATGATAATCTGATTGCGTCAGGGATGTAAAGGTAAACTCTGGTAATGAGAGAACAAACCTGTGCAGCAGTGAGGAACATTTCTTCTGTCATGTGTCTTGTTGCAGATGAGATAACACCAAGGGCTAGGCCAGGGAATATATACGCATTATTACCTTGGCCTGGGATGAATCTCCGACCGTCGGCTAAACTCACTGGGTCAAAAGGACTGCCGCTAGCAAACAGACAGCGACCCTGCGAAAGAAGTAACAATGCATTTAACATACCCATTTGCAATCAGTTTTGGAAATTTAGAAAGGCTTAGTATATTATTTATTTAGAAAGGCTTATAATCTAAAATTAAGTCACTTGATTTTGACCGAATCATTCGTCAAAATAAATCAATAACCATTAAAACATGATGAAAACACTAATCAAAACTGATTCTTTCTCAAAGCTAAGATATTGTGTTATATCACCACCAGAAGGCCAAACAATATTAGGGCGAGGCGATTGGCAGGCGATTGACATATTTTTGGCGCGGATTGGCAGCTCAATTCATTTCAATCGAACCTGAACAAAAGCAGCGCGAAACAAAGTGCGCAAAAGTGTTGTTGCTGTTTGCTTCCATTTCCTCCGTTTCTGCAGCGATTTATTGGCGGGTATTAACACTGACAGCAAATTGTAGCCCAAACTTTTAAGTTTTCTTTTGATATTCGTTTATACATGTATTTAAGATAGCAAAAGACCCAAACATTGATTAGGTTTTGTGGATAGAACAAGGGCTGTTAAATTTCACGAAGAAGGTTACAGTATGAATATTGCACAGCAAAATCAACTTGTAGATAAACAAGATAAAAAACACAAAGAGATACAATGACCACGACGCACAATGACCTTTCATGTAGACGACAGCAAAATTAGCGACGGATCCAAATCTCACAGCCCGTGTTAACTAAGCTAAAATGACTGAAATTCTCATCCAAACAAACTTTTTGGTGTCCCTCTATTCAATGACAGACAATGATTGATTTATGTATGAACAAGAAAAGGAGACGAATACCTCCCCAAAAGATTACATAGCTATGAAGCATGGAAGACATCGAACGGTATTTTGAGGAATTATTCGGGAGGTCGCAGGAGGTAACGGGAAGCTGGGGAACCCCTGTCCCCTGTAATTCCTGTAGAAGGCGTTCAAGTTTTGAAAAAGCAATATTTAAGCAAAATAATGTACCTCTTACATTGAATAAAGATTCCTTCCTACTGAATTGCGAGTAAAGTAAGACCAATTGCTTAGTGTTTCCTCTTGGGTCTAAGTTCGACCCAAATAAAATAGAAAAATTTGCTCTAATGTCACGTGACCAGAAATGGATGTTTACATTCTCAGCCAGTGGCCTGAGACATTCGTACGAGTTCCTTGTCGCCAAAAATTAGTTCATTTACAATCTTAATGCCGCGTTTTTGTTGTTTTGGAGGCAAAGTGACAAATTGAAGAAAAACGGGGAACTTTTAATCACTCAATGTAAGAAAGCTTCAAACCTCAGTCCAATTGTATGCTTGCTCGGCAGTGCATTCTGACATGGATGTTGGGTTGCTCAGCGCAAAAATGAGCGGACGTTTATTGAACGCAGCCATGTCTTTGACTATAGTTTCTGTGAAGGCACCAGGCACAGCAGCAACACCTAGAGTTGCAAAGAGCAACATATTATTAAAATAGTTTAATCAACAGATTACTGCACATTAGAAAGCTTATCATGGATTAAAAACCTTTTAATGATATACCAAGAGAAAAATGATTAAAACAAATGACGCAAAATATTACCTATGATTGATGTGGGCTTGATCCTTTTTACTGCCTCTCCAAAATCAGTTATATGCTCATATTCATGAGCAAATGGAACTTTTTGTTCTGTGATACCACCAGTCGGTCGATCCTTCAAAAGAATTCATGCTTGTGTACTAAAACACATGAGTAAAAAGCGTTAGATCGAAAACTCTTAGCTGGAAATTTTTAGCTATATATGCCTGGTTGTTGCAAGAAATAGGCCTTGCAAGAATGACAGCGCACAAATATATAAGAACATAACATCAAGTAAATTTACAAAATACAGGTAAACAGAGTTGCATTGCAGTTTACATTTTACAACCTTCCAACAGCTTACAATGTTGCCCAAAACAATGAAGAGCTTGCATCAGATCATAGTCAATTGACTAAGCTATAGAAATAAATGTCTATTTACTTTTCTATTGACTATCAGAGGTTACCTTACCTTGACAACAAGCCCCCGAGAATCTAGCATCCAGACTTTTTTTGCAGCATCAGACTTTGAAGTTCCTTCCTTTTCCATAGCCAGAATCAACAAATTAGCAATCCCTATAGCAGCCTAGTCGGGAAGAAAAAAGGGTTTAGTGGGCCGGGATGCGCTAAGCCAGAGAGTTGGCGTAGAAAGAAAAGTTTAACATAGAAGCTCATCATGGGAACAGATAGTCTGTTGTCTCTTTGAACCAGCCGGGGAAACATTAAGAAAACTAGTTTGTATACATATGAAATATCCTCTAGCAATGACAGAAACTCGGCAATGGAAAAGACTTGCAATCTAAACGATGCTATATAAAATAGCAAACGATGGGTGGCTGCCTTTCATGTTGAAAGATAAAGGGGGCGAACAATTTCGACGTGTGACACTATCACCGTAGCAATTTTAACAAACCTCCCCAGCACCAAGGAACATAAATGTGTGTTCTGACAATTTGCTATTGGTCACTTGCAAGCTGGCCAGGATTCCTGCCACACACACTGCTGCGGTACCTTGAAAATAGAAACGTTCAGCAATGAAGTCAGCCACTGCAGTAAACCTCAATTAACGTTGCGATTCCGGGACGCAGTTGCGATTCCTAGCTAGGTTTAACAAGTTCTTGAAGAAACTGTCAAATCTAAATGGCAAAGGACCGACTTTGGATCCATATTTACATGAAATGCTCCATTATTTTCTAACCCTTTTCAAGTCATTAAAACCAATCCTTCAATATCGTTGAATACAGATCATACGATGAATTTTATTTTCCTTTGCTTCTGATAGAGTGAGAAACTAGCTTCATTCATAACAAACCTATCGCGATAAATTCAGTCAAAGGAGACCTATATTCTAGTTATAAATTTTGTAAACTATTAGAATTTTCCGCTAACCCAGTTTTAAAACAATCTTATTGCGAGTATTTGGAAACAATGAATTTAAGCAAAAACAATTAAACAGGAAAAAGAATTTTAAAACGACAGCGACAGTGTTATTGAAACAACACTTAAAAAAGAAGCTGGCATGTTAGATAGTATATTAATAAGGAAGGAGTAAAATTCTAAAAATGACACTATTTTTAACGATATAATTTCGGTCACAGCGTGCAATAAATGTCTTCAGATTTAACACGTGCATCTATCTTATCATTGCCAATTGCCAAATGCATGATCTTTGTTCCAAACGACGAGCAATTTTACGTTTTCGTTCCTTTTGTGTACAAAGAATAAGTACACTGTGTGGTGATTTTATCATACAACATGTAGAAAAAACGAATTTCGTACAAACATCTATGCAAAGTCTAGTTCCTAATAGTTCTATGGGACATTAACATCTCAAAATTGGTAGCTAACCTTGAATGTCGTCGTTGAATGTGCATATCTTGCTTCGGTAATGCTCTAGAAACCTAAACGCATTGTGGTTACCAAAGTCTTCGAACTGTATCAGGGTACTTTGTCCAAACCTAAAAGAAAAATAAAAATGATGAAGAGGAAAGTAGAGGCAGAGACATTCAATACATTCAGTGCAGTTCTCTCGTAAAACACTGGACAATTACAAAGGGCTACAAAATGCATTCCCAGAGGTGGATGGAAATCTGCCAATGAGAAAAGGACAACGTTTAATTTTGGACTTTGTTTAATACACCACGACATACCATCTTGAACTTTGGCTTGATCAGACTTTTTTAAGAACATTTTAGGCAGTTTACGTTAGGTGTACATTTCTAGATTATGCTACAATTTCTAGAAATGGAATTTCGGGTTTTCAATTCCGCTATTGTGTAGACGAATGGGATTCGTTTTCAATTTTTCGTATTCAATGGTTGGGAGAAATTACCTGACCAGTGTTTTACAATGGGAGAACATTTGATTTGGATTGAATTTTAGTTGAACTGTAGCAGATTCTTAAAAGGGCAAGGATCCATCTGATTCAAATGTGATTACCATATAAACAAAGGAATCAATTAATTTGGTCACCACACAAACTGTTAATTCTAGATTGAAGTAAAATACTCTGAAATAATATTGATTGAGATTTTGTAGGTATGCCAGGTTTACAAGATTCAACGTTCCATATTTTTTCAACTTATACTTTTTAATACTGACAGCTCTTTCTTTTCAAGAGGTTTAGCAATAAGCTTGGAATTTTCCAAGACTAAAGTACCATAGTTTACTTATTTCCCGTTCCTGAAAGAAAAATAAATTTTTCAATACTTTTATAAAAATGATGTGCCGCAATTAAATTATTTAGCACTTTGCTAGGAATTTCAATTCTAGATCATAAAAAAATCCCTTATCAAAGTTATTTTTTTACTATTGTGGAGAAAAATTTTTCAATACCTGATTGGCTGTCCAGAGCAGGGGCATAAATTGCGGGAGTGTGAGGGGGGAGAGCCCCAGCTTTGGCTAAATTGTTCGTTTGTAGGTAGTTTTTAGTGCTTTTGTCAGTACATTTCGTCATTTGGTAGCAAATTTTCTTGTTTTTGGAGTACATTTTGCTCCCCCCTCAATCTGACAAATGCAATTCCACCTCTGGTTCAGACAGAAAAAATTGTTCACATTTAGTTTGCAAATGATCTGCCATTTCTTCTAACATCTGTGCCACATAACATTTGTTCAGATATCGGTGTGATTCAGCTAATATCGCACAAAGAGGTAATTGTCAAACAATGTCAGGATTAACATTGTGTAAACACCTAGCATTTTTCCAAACAAGAAGTTCAAATATTGACCCAAATGTTAGATTATTTTTTTCCTCTTTTTATTCGAAATAAAATGGTACAAACACATCATACAAAACTATGCCTAACAAAAGCTACAATACTATATTAAAAGGACGGCGAGGAGGAGCAATATATCGTGACTGCCCCCTAGCACTAGACATATACGTACATTACAAATTTTTATCAAAAAATGATTTATAAATAAACAAACACACAAGTAATAGAGATGAGATTTAAAGGTGTTTGTTCCTGAATTATTTAAACCGTTAGGAGGCCTGGATATACTCCAGGTCGCCAGAATAATTTTTGCATTTAAATCAAATAGTAACTATTAGTGACGATAAAGGATGACTTTTAGCAACTTTATTTTTGAAAAATTTATTTTTTTCTTTAAAATATTTACAGAGCTGGCTAGCCTAATCTCAGGGTCGACCCTTTCCCATTCCGATACGCAGCTCTGAAATCTAGAGTTCTTGTTGCGCGTCGGCGAAAATCATAACTAGATATTTACAGATGAGGAATGGCGTAATCTGTGATGTGGGATTTTATATATGACGTCACCATAATCTAGATATGGTCGAACATTCGGTTTGAACAATTCCTCTAGGGTATGTCGCGGTATTTGGATTCCGTGCTTAGATTTTTAAAATGAAAGCTTTGATGTGACTAGCAAAGAAAAATTTGAAGTCCATCATAATGCCAAGGAGGTTAAGCTCCGGCACGCTTTTTACAGGGATAATATTGAAGAATATGGATGGGTGATTCACGGGAAATCCCTCTTTAGAGACAATCACCTCGGCTTCTTGCTTAGTAGGACCTGGATTGAAGGACATGCTCCATTTACAGACAGGACTTGGTAAACTGTTTAGTCACATCGGATGAAAAGCAGATTGGTTTTGGTTTAGTTAATGTCATCTAAAGGCTTAAAAAGGGTATCAAATATGAGCTTTTCAAGAATTTTACCGAATATTGGAAAGAGAGAAATAACAAGATAGCTAGATATCCTGCAAAGGCCTTAGTAGTTTTGTGCAGTAATAAAATTAAAAAAAAACGCAAAAGTGAAATATTTGTGACAACGCCCTTTAGCTGAGAACGGTGTCTAAAAAACACATGAATCTCAATACGACAGGGCCACAATGACGTACAAAATGATGAATGGTCTTTGCCCTGACAGCCTTAGAGGTAAATTTATCACTAGATCAGAGATATCCAGATTTTCGACAAGAAATCAGCTTGATATTGACATCCCAAGGCAAAATTTGGAATTCTCAAAGGGAAGTTTCTTTCACTCTGGGGCTAAAACATGGAATGAGATTCCAAGAAACATCAGAATGAGCCCCACAATTTCCATGTTTAAAAGAAACTTGGAGGGATTCCTACAAAGTTAATAAGTTCCCAAAACAAAACACCATCCCTAGGTAGAACAGCAACATCTTTATTTAATATATATTAAAGAATTAATTTGTAGTAGAAGTAGTTTATTTATATTATAGCTGATAGGGAATTTGTGTATAAAGATTTTAAAATGAATGAAAAATGAAAGTGTTTGGTTTGACATCAAGAAAAAAAGGAAAAAGAATCCACAATAAATTCAAATCGTGTTCTCTTGAAAATAATTTTGCCTTATTATAATCGACATAGCATTCTACCCACCTTTCCCTCAAGGCTTCAATTAATTCATCAATAAGTTGATCATATTTCTCTGATTGCTCTCTTTTCTGTCTGAGACCTATATACATCGGATCTTTTAGTAATTTCTAAAAAAGAAAAAGCAGATTTTCTAATAACAACGTAAGCCAAATTGACGGAGCACCTAAGCAAAGCTTCAATATATTCACAAAGATTTCCGAATCTCTGATACAATGTTGCTAAAATTCCATAACCATGTGCCAGTAAGATTCTCACTGGCAAGCCTCTCCATAAAAATTTTAGCATGCTCATCGCGCGCCTCGAAGCAACAGTTTTCATCGAAACGCTCGATTCATAGCTTCTAGTTTAAATCGCACGGAAAAGCGGTAATATCAGTACTATTGATTTTAAAGCTTCTCCGTTTGATTTAATGTTTGTGGCGCTTAAAGAATTTATAACTATTGCCTTTCAAGTGTTATAGACACCCACAAAAAACTTTTATCATTTTGGTCCCAACATGAATTCATAACATTACTGTATTGAACAGGCGCACCAAGACTATTAATATGTTTCGATCTAAAAATCACTTCCTGCAATGATAACAGTGGTGATGCCGATTCAAAGTGGTTATTTCATCACACTCCACTGACACAATCAGTTTTCAAGTGTTTAACATGCATATCGTATCATGTGATTCCGTAAATGATGAATGCTGTTAATTGAAATGATTCCCGGAGCAACAAGAGAATGTTTCTGATTAAAACATAATCTTCAATGCCTATGGATGAGGTGCGCGATATCCCTTCTTTTTGAGATGCATGTGCGTGACAAAATTCACATCTAGTTTCGCCTAGGTGCATGAATAGACGCGGGCCCGCAATCACACTCCTTGATATGAGAGGCTTGCACTGGAGCAGAAGGCATAAACATTGTTTAATCATACAACAAAAATTCTCTGGTAGACACGGAGAGAAACTTAGTCACAGCATTGTGAAAATAAGAAGGCAGTTAAATCCTGCAGTTTACAACAATGTTTGAAGCAAAAACAATCAACAATGCATTGCTGATATGGATGCAACAACTTACCTCATTATTTGTGCCAACATCAATCATTATAGGCAAACAGATACTTGGATCAATTCCTGCACAAGCAGTGTACAAAGACAGCTTCCCTATTGGTATTCCCATTCCATTGCACCCAAGATCCCCAAGACCAAGAATCCTCTCACCATCTGTCATAACGATAGCCTGCAACAAAGATTTGTAAAAAAGTGCTTGTGAAAAGAGGCTTAGTATCCTATTTCGGTGTGAAAAGAAGTGAATGCCAAAGACTGAAGAACATAGTGCATGAAAATAATATATACCTTAACATTGCTGACTGGCCAGTTTGCAACAATGGACCGGATATTACCAAGATCATGAATTGTGACAAATAAACCTCTGAAAATAATTAAAAGCATATTAGCATATCATGAAAGCACAAAAACATCAGAGCTTAACAGGTTTACTTTCTTCAACAAAACAGAACAAGGGAAGATTAAATGGCATAAACCTGAATGAAACAAAAAGGAAAGAGCTGATGAAATAAACAGAATGTTTCAAAGTTGCAGAGGTGCAGGCTACAAGGACAGACCAGCCAACCTGAACTTAGATAAAATAGGGAGATATCAAGATTTTTAAAGAAAAATAGGGAGAATTTTAAAAAATTTATGTGCAAAATCCACCAGTTATGTTTGGTTAAACAAATTCCTTACTTGAAAATGTGAGCTATCCCTTTATTCTGCTATTGATTTTTGGTCAATTAGCAATTTCTGATCAATTTTTTGGGTCCTTGAAGAGCATGAATCATTACATATACCTAACAGAGAAATTTTTACACAAATGCAAATATATAGGGTGTGGTCCCGGGTGTGGTCCTGGGTGTGGCTTCTAGAAGTTCCCTACAGCATAGCGACCTTCTACACTTTTAAGGGCGGTGCTTCAGGCATACGTGGCTGTCAGTCTTATTTTTTCTAACAAAGCTAAACAGCTGTTCTGCCTGCTATATGGTATTACCAGAATTATCTTTCAATTATTTGGCAGCAACTCCAATCACTTTGATTTTTATACAGATATATCCATTTTATTCTTGTGTTACCAAAGGCTGTTACCTCCCTTTAGACCACACAATGAATAACTTGTGAAGTTTTTGTAAAAAGGTTTTAGTTTCTGGAAGAAAAAACTGGTTCTCTTATCACTACCACAGCAATTTGCAAAAAATTGCAAAGAGGAAATCATCAAAAATCAAGAGGATGCTTTCAAATTGGGAGAAATAGATAAGATATTGGGAGAGAGGGAGAGATAGATAGAAATCGAGAGTTTCCCAGAAAACTGAATTCTGAATTAGAATCAAGCAAGTCTCACTCAGAAAAATCTACTCTTTTAACAAAACTATGACTGCCTCAACATGTGGCAACATTGCTAAATGACTAGTTGCATATCAACATGAAATTCCTGTTGGGGCAATTAATTTTCATATTTGATAAGAATTCTGAATAATTTTTTAAAAGGATGTTTAGCAAAATCAACCAAACATTTTTAATAAATACACTTTAAAAGCTTTTACATGAAATTAACCAAAGTACACAAATATTACCTTGGGTCTCTGAATATCATCCCATACTCTTGACATGCCTGGCCTACTGTAGGTGTGTACACAATCGGCATCAGCTCATCAGTGTGCTCCATCAGACACCTATAAAAAAGTCGCTCATTTCGTGCCTGGAGCGCACATAACTGTATATACCTTTGCATGTCAGTCTTATTACTCCTGATCTCATCCATCACCCTTTGCATTTGCAGCTCTTGGGTATTGACGGCAGGTGGAAGCAGCCCATGAATACCAAGTATCTGTCTTTCCTCAATGGTAAAGCCAGTACTCTGAAGTTTAGATGGAAGTATTTTATCAAAAGGCAGCCAAAATACATGTTGTTTATTCAGAAAAGTGTAGCAAAGCCATGACAACATTAGGAATCATTCATACAGAGGTAAAGACATGTCAACTTCATTATATTAGATAGATGAACACCACTTTTTGATTTGTTTGGGTCTAGAAAGAAATGCATAGGGCTCCAGTAAGCAAATCTTGATGCTTGAAAAAAGAAGAGTCTTTCAATATGTCTATGGCTAACAACCTGTTTTCTCCTCTCACTAGTTTTAAAACTTTTTTGATTTACTTTAAAAAGTTTGTCAATAAGCTACCGGCCATGCATGTGAAGGGGACCATTTTCTGACACACAAAAACACTCTACAATTACTTGCATTATAAAAAGCTTCTTTTACAAAATATAGCATTTAGTCTTTTATTGATCCCTACTAACTCTCAGTCTTATTAGGCCTAAAAGCTGTTATAGGCATACACAATGGAAAAAACATTCTCATCATCTTTAATTGCCTCTTTTGCTATAAATTGAATTTGAAAATTTTGTTCCTGTTTTGAAATATAGAGGGTGCCTGTGTTGAAGTATGTGAATGAAATGGAGTGTTAAAATAATGGGAATAGAAAACAGGGCTACACAGAGCCACTGCAAAAATGTAATCTATCAAAATGGTCATTAGTTTTCAACCGCTTACGATGTTTGCATTCATATAAAAAGTGAGTGATATCTTAAATCCACATAACCAGTAAGAAGCTAAACTTGCTTGCTATGCAAGTTTTTTAGCCATAGGCTTGGAATGGCAGGGGGCAAAGACTCTTTTGTTAATAACTAAAGGTGAACAATTTCTACATGTTTGTTTTATCCTGCAATGAGAGCTCCCTCATCCTTATTTCTTCATCCTTATCCTTATTCTCATCCTTATTTCTTGATCCTTATCCTTATTCTCATCCCTATTTCTTCATCCTTATCCTTATTCTCATCCTTATTTCTTCATAGCACTGCACTCCAGTTCAGAACTTTGAAACTTGTCAAGAGACCTTGCATCAATCTTTAACAAAAACTACCAGAATATGAAATGTGGCACCATGAAAGTTCAACTTCAACTAATTCATGATAGGCACTGGGCACTAGGCTTAAAAACCTTTTTAGTTCTCTCAGTGTCATGGGAAACTTACTACAAATTTGATTGGGCTAGAGCATGTGTCAAACTCAAGGCCTGCCGGCCACATCTGGCCCAGCAGGCAATTATATCTGGCCCCTGTGAGATAATCTTATATTATTGTGCTTATATAGTGCGTTCAATAAATTTTATCCTGTTTGACCCACAGCCTAAATTGTGTTTTGGATTTTTGCCCCCTGTACAATAGAGTTGGATAACAATGGGCTAGAGCATTATTGTATTCATCAATCTTTAACTTTCAATTCAATTCATTTCATATTCAAATTCAAGCTTTTAATTACAATATACTTATAATAAAGTTGTATATTAAATCAGTAAGGCTTAGGACACTTGAAAAAAACTCAGAAAAGCTATCGATGAATTATATTAAGAGAAACATAACATAACATAACAACAACAGAATAAAAAAGGAAAACAATAAAAAGGAAAGAAAGAAAAGAAAGAAAACTAAGCAATAATGAATTTAGAAAAGTATGATAAAACTAAGGATTAAGATACCTGCTAGTTAATTTTTTTAAAATCAAAGTGAAAATTAAAATTAAACAAAAAAGAAACGAAAAAAAAACAAAATACAAATTCTCATTGATAATGGGATAGAACATGGACTTTATATCTTTTATTAATATATCTTTTGTTAATATGTATTAGAAAAATTGTAAATATGTTGCTGAATGATAAGAATTTAAATTAGACATACGAAGACATACCTAGTAAATGAAATTAAATCAAGATAGCATGAACAGAAACTGTTTTAAGTTTGAAGAGACAAACCTTAGTAAGTCTTGGGTCTCTCATAATGTCAGCTCCTCTCACAGTAGGAATTTTTCTTACTTTTTTATGATTATCGCCTGGGTGGTCAAGAATGAAATGTTCCGCCATTTCTGAGTGGTAAAAGAGAAACAGTTACAAATTTTGCGAGCTTCTCGCGCTTCAACCGAGGGGTAACCCGAGCTACAACCATCTCAAAGAATGGGTACAGATGTAGCTTAGAAGATACCCCAAAAAGGTACTGCTATTCTACTATGTCTTATATTTACAAAGAGAAACCTAGAGAAATTAGCTACCCACCATTTTTGCTGGCCTGGAAGAAAGCTGCACAAGAGGTTACTTGCCGCCAGCCATGAACTCTTTCTGAAGGTATCTGTCCCTTTTTTACAGGAAAAATCAACTTCCAGACATGACTTCCTGCGTTGATCTGTAATCTTGCGCCTTTAAAAGTTAGGTTTCTGAGCATGATAAAGCCAGTTTCTTGCCCTCTCTAGAAAATTAATGTGCCAGCTGCTTCACAGGGAAACTTCCCGTCAAGTTGGAAAATATTTTGCGAAAATAGACTGCCAACCTTTTATTCCGGACGTTTCTGTTCACTCGCTACGCTATTCGAACCAAAAAACAATCAGCCGAGCAAATGGGTGGGGTTCAAATTTCTCCAAACTCTGCACAGACGTGCACCTTGAAACTCTCTGCCAGGAAATGTTTTTGATAACAGTTTGTTGTTGTTGTTGTTGTTGGTTTGTTTATGACGTCTTATGTATGCAATCGAGTGCCTAACAGTGGCGGCCTGGGCCCCCCCCCCCCAGCTGACATTTTTATAGGGGCCCCAAAGCTTGTATAGGGCGTCGAAAACTCATAAAAAGTTTGATACGACCGACTTGTCTGGTTATTAGGTCTCTAGGAGGCCAGCAAAGACCAAAATTACGCCATAAAATTCAAAACTTTATTGGGGCGCACGCCCCCATACCCCCTAGAACATTCTCACTTCAAGGGCACGTCTTTGTGCCCCTTCAGTACTCTATTATCCAGACAAAACATTTGTACAGTTCGCAGGGGCGAAAAAATTAATCAATTTTTTAGAGGATTGTCAGGAAACTTACGTACACTGGGTGGATGACCTTTGAAATTCAAACCACTATTGTGAAACCATTAGGCGTCATTCCACGATTAAAACTCAATCAAACAAAACCATAAACTGTCAGCAACTATTCTAATTTTGAGAAAAATGTCTTTTCAAAATATCAAAAAAGCATATTTTTCATTAGACAATCGCTAAATTCAATCAGTTCAGTTCAGTTCAGTTTAATTTTGAAATCAAAAACTTTTGCACCAGGTAATTTTTAAACGCCACATTGACAAGATCAACATTTAGGTGTTTGAGATGCCTTGAATTTATCGAAAAGTGACACTTTTATAGACGTTCTTTAATTTTTTGAATACTGGCGGGTCACTCTTCACGACTATTTATCACACAATTTTTGGTATTTTCATTCAATGAGGAGATGAAATGCTGTTTTGAACATATTGCTGTAATGTTTGTTCCCTAAACAACATCGCAATTGGCTGGAAGACATGGAGTTAAAGGCTACTGACATGTTTTATCAATTGTATTCTGTTGCAACATGCTACGAAATGGTATATTAGGCCTTTTGCAACATGCTACGAAATGGTATATTAGGCCTTTTGCAGAACGAAAAACGTGCGACCAAAACTTTTAAGAAATATTTTAATACGAGTCAGAAAAATTAACAGTTTGGGCAACCAAGCAAAAAGTAAGTATTTCCAAGTTCGCCTCCTAAAATCGTACAGGTTTGTGCAAAGTGAAACCTTTTTTGTTGCAAATATATATCAGGTTCTCCTATCGACAAAGCTCAGTTTTCATGTTTTTGCAGTGTTGGATAGGGCTTGAAAATAAGAAGAATCAAAGGATATATTTGCATTTTTAATTTTCATTACTTTAACTTGATAAATTTACCATGATTTCCCACCCAAACGGTGGTGCAATACTTTTGCTCACCTAGTGTAGTTAAATTCTTTTGTGTGGATAACACAGCAGTGCACACAGACTGTGCTTAGGGTTTCCGGACTCATGCCCCCCTTCCAGGGAAAGTTTTGATTTTCGATGTGTCTCTTTGGCTCTGCTGGCCTTTAGAGACTTGCTCATGTGTGAGTCAGTAGATTTTGTCTCATTGCTTCATTTCTCATGAAACGACCGATTTGTCTCGACGACGATTATTTCAGATTGTAAATATTGAATTGTAATTAGGGTAATTTCTTTTTTATAATAATTTCTATCTAGAAATTATCTATCGTCTCCTCCACAGTTTAGATATGCCCTTGCAGTAGTACGAATGCCTTACGGATTTAACATAAAATAGACTTTGGGAAAGTCTACTAAATACCTAATTTACACGAAAATAGCGCGGTACACCAAATTTGAATTCAAGTAATTCAGCAACATATTTACAATTTATTGAATATAAGTTAACCAAAGATATATCTACAAAAGATGCAAAGGTTGATCCATGCAATATGATTTATCTAATACAATTTTGCTTCTGGTGCAAGCTACTTTTTTGAGGCTTTCAACAGGAATTTCATTAGGTTTTTGGAAGAAATTGGTAAATATACATGGAAAATGTCTAAAAAATGTTTTTCTGATCATACTGCGGAACAAATTAATGCGATCGCAAATGAGTGCGAATTATGAGATTGGATTTCAAAATGTGTGGTAGGCCTAATGAGCGCGAGTCAATGAAATTCAAATATTCAATTGGTATTTAATCAACGCGAATTTTTAATGTCAGCAAAACCTTTTTATTAAAATAACTTCAAATTCAGTACGGAGAAAACAAGAAAAGTAAATAAAAACTTCAAGTCAAGGTGGATTAGTGATTCAAATTAAGGAATCAGTCACGTGGGAAGAGCCTGAAAAATTGGTTGAGTATCCCCTGACCGGAGAGTATGTTGATGATTTGAAGAGTACTAGGGATTGAGGAAGTTTAAATTGATTACGAAGATGTGGAAGTTCAGGCAGAAAAAGTTGATAATGAGAACATTCGAATGTTATGAAAAGTTTTTTTAGTTTCCCTTGTACCTTGATTAAAACATGATCAATAGAAAGGAAGAGAAAATGTTTTATATTTAATAGAACTTATGAAAAGAACCCATTCCGGCCCTTCCGTTTTGGAAGATTTCTACTTTTCTCATGTAATTGCAAAATCTGGCTATTTTCAGTAGTTTTGAAACGTTTATTTAACGCTAGACATTTCATAACGGATGAGAAATTTATGCAGACATGAAATTAACGGGGTTTCAATTAACGCGAGATTTTTCAATTCGTGTTAATGTACCGTGCTGTTTTCATGCAATAAAGGAATCCCAAGGGACACTTTTCCAGAAGGTGATTGGGGTACGCTGAGAAGCTTTTTACACTCTGACCGTTTTCCATAAAAAATATGCTTAAAGCATACCCTGTCACAAAAAAGAAAAGCAAAATTTATGGCACAGTTATGCCGAAATATACCTGAGAAGAAATAGAATCTGTACTGTACCTAACGCGCGTTGTTTGTGGGATAAGATAATTGAAAGAATTTCTATCTTCTGCTTCCGCTTCTGAATACCAAATCCCAAACAATATCCCTAACTTTGATACCCTGTCCAAGAGTTTTGATCGATTCATGATACCCTGTCCCATAACTTTCATTGGAAAAGTACACCCTGTTCCGCGGCATATCCCGTCAGGTCACGTAAGGGAGAGTCCCCTGGACTCTCAAAGTAGGCTAACTAACAAGAAGTAGACCCCATATCTGTGATATAATATGGCGTCTACTTTAAAACCTTAAGTCAACGGGAAATGAAAGAAACTTTGGATGCACACAACGTGTTGTGAAATATGTTACACGTCATTATGAAGATGGGATTTTAGTTTATTTCTAAGTTAAAATTTAGAGGGAAGATTTTTAATTCCCACTGGTAGTTCTCTCCAAAGCTTTACCTCCAAATAACGAATGGAATCTAGACCATATTTAGTGGTACGTCTGTTAGCCAAAAGCAAATCATCACGTCTTGATTGCTTAGTTTCATTTGAATGGACGACTTAAACAGGAAATAGTCATAAAATCAGGTCGTTGTTAACATTTCTGTATTCGTATGTATGTCAAGTATCTGCCCGCATACAGTTTTACTATACTTCAGAAATTATATGAGCAGAGAATTGCAAATTGCACATTAAGGAAACAGTATGAAAAATTTTCTTATCTTAAAATGATTCCACAAGTTCCAGCTAATTTTTGACAATACGGATAATCCACGCTCTATCTCATTTACATAATCTATCTCATTAGAAGTCATAAAAGAATAATCTTTTGTGCATCAATCTTTCATATAATGTACTGAGTAGCAACAGCGGATTAACAAGTCTGTGATCTCTGGGTATCCCTTTCTGAACAGAGGAAATACTTTCCTTTTTTTGAAGAATAACTGATTCACAAGGCCAGAATATGAGACATGATTTGTGAATTTGCAGTCATGTAATTAGTATACTACCAATTAGTGTAGACGAGTAAAATACCGAGAGACCTAATAGGTGTATACGAATCAAGATATTATAGAGGCTGTAGGTGTAGACGAATCAAAATACTGAGGGACCTAATAGATGTATACGAGTTAAAATATTACAGGGGCTAATAGATGTTGACGAATCTCAAAGTACTGAAGGGACAAATAGGTGTAGACGAATCGAAATACTAAAGGGGAAATAGATGTAGAGAAATTAATGTTAGTAAAATTAGATGGCGCATTTCCATTTTTAATTTAGTCTTATTTACATAATTGAAATTTCAATTTTTATATGACATTATCGATTTTATTCCGGACCCTATTTTCATGTTTTGTGCACGTTTTGTGGCAAAATAACTTTTGGTAATAACGGGTTCTGCTCCCTTAAACTTCGTTAGTTTCTCCATTCCTGAATTTTTTCACAATGGAATATATTATTTTCTCCATCAGCTTTAGAATTTAACTATAGATCCAGAGTTTTTTTGTCTTTAATTTTTTTTCTTTTATTGAACATTATTGATTGGCTCATGTAGGTCAATAAGGGAAGTGACATCTGTAAGAAATTAATTTAATAATGTAAATCAAGCAAAACTTTGAAATGACATCGATGACAGCCTTCTTAAGCTCAGCAATCAGTCTAAAAACTGATGTCCTTCATACACGCTCAGTATTTGACTGAAAGCATTTGGATTCGATCCACAACTGGGTATATATATATCTTAGCATAGAGTTTTCGATCTATTTTCTGACGTTTAAACTCTGAAGGGTGTCAGGCGAAAAGCTTTAGTTTACTCAAATGTTTGCTTTTTTCAAAGCCATTTTCAAGTTTTGTACCACCAAAAGGTAACTAACAACCGTATTTTTTTCTGCATTTGTTGTCAAGAAAAGGCGAAGATACCGAAAAGCGGACAAATATCTTTTATAAATCATTCGCCCTCTGAAATCTACTCTTAGGTTAGATTATACATTCCATAGTAATTTGTCCTATCTCCACGAATCTAAAACTTTTACTTTGTTGTTAACATGCACCTGCGTTAAGGCATCATAGCGGCGCCAGCTTAAAACAGGAGAGTCTGCACCAACGAACAGAAAACCCATCAGTTGAGAACTGACAAAGTTGAACATGTTAACTTCTTCAGTCACATACTGACGGTCAATAATAAATCAATCTTTGAAAAACAGACAATCAGTTTTTGACACAAATTTGTCAGTAAAAAACTGGTCGTGTTTTTCAAACTTAATATTTATTAACCTTCTAGAATTGAACAGTATTTGAGCTACAGTGTTAAGTCCGCTTTCAACTACTTTCCTGGAAACAGAGACTTGAAATCCAAGGGTACAAGTCAAATGACGAAGGGTACAAGTCTTACATCATTTTTGCGAAATGCTTTCGATTTTAACATTATATAAAATTACGTCATTAGTTCAAAATATCACAATATTGGTAACATTTTGAAGTCTTCTAGCTCATCTTCCTACTATCAAGCCATGGAATGAAATTGAAAGCACCACATGCATTCGCTGTCTAGGAATACATGTAAATAACTGCATCTTTGGCTTAAGTTCTTAACAGTTTCGAGCAAAATCGGAACCAGCAAATATTGCTATCCAAATAACATGGTCAAGATGTCGCCACCAGCAAGTGGTATCTAGAGCCTGGCCAAGTTTTGTAAACTTTTCCTCACTTTTGTAGAACAACAAATTCAGAAGACTGAAGGAAATACCAGCATAAAGTTCATATGCAAATACAACAATACTTCCAGCGTACTCAAGGATCACTGTGTGGGCAATTACTAAAGATGGAAGACCAAGAAAATGTAAACAGGTATGCATCCGAAGGGATGAACTGTTGCGGAAAAGATCCAATAGAGGGGAGAATTAAAAAGAGGTTGAGACTCAATACGATAGCCCACATCAGCGTACTAAGTACAGTGGCGAAAAACTGACATTGTTAGCGGAGCCTCGAGTAGAGAATATGTCTGCTGTGGGGAGGAGAAATGTGGAGAAAAAAATCCTATTGTTCTAGAGGAGGCAGCCAAGGAGTGTGACGTGAGAGATTTGGAAGAATATGGATGAAACTGTCTTGTTTGGAAAAACAGCAAACGGGTTTATGGAAGCAGCTTGGTAAAAGCCGAGCAAATTGAAAATATCAACAAATTACAGGCATCATTTTCCACAAAAAGCTCTTTTTAAACCTTCATGGCATAGGTAATTGACAAAGCAACAGTAAATGTATAAATATTTCTCTTGCTTGCATTTGTGAAATTCTTTTACAACAAGCTATATCTATCAATCGGTTAATTCAATTTTCGGCAATAACTGGGCACGGCTTTCCGATCTTTAAGGGCATCAATTAATGTTTATAAATGTAATTAATACGATTAGCACTGGATGAATTTACCGCTTCATTCTGTGGATGGTTGCCAGGATTAGGCAAAGAAAAACGACAACTTCGGTTCAGCATTATCGATTTGCGTTTTCAGCGATTATATACATACTCAAAAACAATCCAGAGAAGTACCATTGGCTAGAAAACAGATACTTTCTGCAAGAAATCATAATTCTGTGTCGATGATATGGATTCGAAAAACTTGCCTTGTAAATTCAAGGTTAAAATGGTTCATCAATCTTTCAAGGTGAAAAGCAGTTGTAAGGTAATCCCTCCACTGAATCCAATTTACAGACGTCTTTACAGCTCTGATCCTGAGTCTAAGCGATGCACAGCGTAAACTTTGCTGGTTATACCATCCCCAGGTCAGTAGTTTGCGCTTGCTAAAACCGAAAGAAAGGACTCGTATCAATTACATGCATTGCTTATTCATTTTCTTGCAATGCCTAAATTATATGCATTGCTGGATTAAAAAGTACCCCTTGCAAATGGTAAAAAAGCTGTAACTATATTTGATAACATGAGAACAGTTTTCTAGCCCCAGCGACACTTTGCAACACCCTCCAGCACTCATTGGTGAGGTGTGGTCTGAAATTGTCCTTGTAATTGCGTATCCAACTGCGGTTCTGCGCAAATTTCATGTTGGGTCATATAATATACAAGGGACTAATCAAGATATACATATGGCAGTTCATTATATTATGATGTGGCAGTGTCAGTGACAATATACAGCTTTCCAAGAAGGCGACATACTTTTCGACAATGTTGCAACATTGATTGACAAAACTGATAAAAGCAAATAACAGTGCGAAGAGGAGAACATAAGCGAAAATAGCTACCTCCGCCGCTGTTTTCAATTCTTGCGCCTTGGTCGCTTGAATTTCGTTTCCAAAAGACTCATGAGCAAGAAAGTCTTCCCATTCTTTAATTCTTTTATCTCTTTCTTCATCTGTTTCTTTCACCTGATAATCAGTAGCACCATCATAGGTTTCTGCGGTGATTTTGTGCCCTCCAAACCATCGATCGTTTAAAGCCTAGATAGGAACGTTAAAAACTTCATTCCCTCTCAACGATTAGAGCATACACAAATGTATGCAGTGCTATTCAAAGTAGGCGATGCTACTTAAATGTAGGCAATGGTATTCAAGTCTAGGCAACGATATTTAAATGTTGCGATGATATTGAACTGTTTGTGATGATATTCAAATATATGCAACGATATTCAAATGCATGCAAAGATATTCAAATACATTTAATTATGTTAGAATGTAATAGAATTCAAAAGTAGAAAATAGCGGTTTTCAGTAATGGTGGTTGCATTGGACACAACTTCAAAATTTTGCAATTTAACGAGAAAGGGCACCTTTCAAAATCATTATCTTAGTTCTTGAAGTGAAAAAGTGACCAAGATACACATTTTTCATAAAAGACACCGGCTCGAAGCCAAGACCCACAATGTTTAGCATTTTTTTAAATTTCTATTGCGTTGTTTGGCCAGTTTATTTTTATTGGGCGGCTATATGACACTAAAATAACAATAACTTAAGTTGATTTATTATGTCAATGACTGCATCACTTACCTTTTTAAATAGCATTTCAATATGGAGAGGACATTTTTAGAAAATTGCTTAGCATTTTGGCAAACACCGCTTGTTATTGCTTATGATAGATGCTTATTATGAAGTTGTTTCATCTTTACCTCAATCTCTATATATTTGTACATATGTTTGTTCTTAAAACAATAGAAGTTAAATTTATAAAATCTAACATGTAGGATTCAATCAGCGAATCTTTGATAAACCAAGCAAAGAGTTTCTATAATGTGAAAAGAAGTACGCACGAGTCTTAAAGATTCGACAGTCTCTTTAAGCAATATCACCAAGAACCGCACCGCAAAGCAGTGCTGAGGTTTTGGCGGACTGTATGCCATCACACAAAGTTGCAGTAATAGTGTAAAGTAAAGAAAGCCACTGACACCTCAAACAGTCAGCTGTAGACCGGTTTTGCCCCATATCAGGGCTCATCAGTAAAGCTAGACTTAATGAGGACCTAAAGCCGCCCTAGCAATGCTTTGCGGTGCGGTTTTTGGTGATATTGCTTTGAAGGGACTGTTGAGTATCTAAGACGCTTGCGTACTTTTTTCACACTTTACTACTTCCTACATGCATTGCCACTGACAGCCTAATTGCTGGCCCTAGGTCAGCATTGGGTCCTCATTCAGTCAAGCTGTGCTGATGAGCCCTGACATGGGGCGAAACCAGTCTACAGTCGACTGTTTGAGGTGTCAGTGGTTTTCTTTACATCACAGTTTCTATAATGGTTATTCCCCTATTTGAGGAGACTTTCCTTCCTTTTACGTAAAACTGATTTCCCAAGGCATGTTCCACAGTGGTTAACACCAGTGGAGAGCATGGTGTTTTCTGACAGTTGTGTCCTGCCGTTGCTATCGATGTAATTTTCATGGCCATTTGTAACGAGAAGTTCAAATGTTCAGCCAATTCGCATATGCATCAAAAATAACGAATAAATCAAAATTCCAAAGTTTTCGGCAGTACAAATTTTGAAAACATTTTACAGCAAGAATTTTCGTCTGAAACTCTTCAGAGTATAGAATAAGGGCAAAAAAGATCAAGAAAGAAAATATATACCAAGTTGCGGTTCGAGAAAGGCCAATCATAACATGCAAAAAACCTAAAGAGTTACCTCAATACAGGCATCGGCCATTTCGGGCTCTTGGAAGAGGACAGAACAAACTCCGTCTGGATGCCTCTGAAAATAATTGAGGATGTTTACAAGAGTGACAAGGATGTTTAATGTATCAATAAGTAGGTAATATGTCCTTCCTGATATTTCAAAATTAAACCAAACATAAATTAGTAGTAAATGTAAATTAGTGAAAAAATTAACAGTAAAATGTTGAATGGGGTATCAAATCAGTCTCATTGGCTGAAGATTGGTATAATCAGTAAAACTAAATATAGAATACTACCCCAACTTGAGAGTTAATCTTCAACACAAAACTATTCCGAAAAGTGCCAACCTCAGAGCAATGATTAAACGATACCTTTAAACACTTAGACCCCGTTTACACTGTGCCGGATAACTGCAGTAACGTGACCTAAATTGTGCACAGAACGCCCAAAATGAACTCATTTCTGGGCAATAAATAACAACTAAATTCCAGCCAACGTAAAAAGACTTTTAATTCTCTCTTCAGAATCATTTGCTTCTCTTTCAGACATAGTCCGAAGATATTGTCGAAACAAATTAGGCAAAGTTTGTTTAAATAATTCGTTCTCTGAAACAAAATGACGCTGAAATAGCAAAGAAAGTGGGGAAAGCTGACAAGGATGTCAGTTTTACGTGGATTGATGAAGATGCTGCATATTTAACAAGAGTATTGCAGCCAAGATGGCGAAAGGTCTAGATTGGGAGACAGTGAAAACTAAATACGAAGAAATAGCCAATCGCTTTCGAGCAAGATACGATGTGGATAGAATTTATCCGTATAAAACCGTTAACACTGTACCACATAGCTATCCGAACTAATTTAATCAACTTTCCTAGGTTAACTAATTTTGTTCGGATAGCCGCTCTCAAATTCGCGTGGAAAGCGTGGGTTTAGTGTAAACGCGACGCCAATCTGAACTAATTTTGATGCGGATAAAATTTATCCGGCACAGTGTAAACGGGTCTTAGAGCAAATATTCATGAAAGTGTTGGGCCAAACAAAAGGAGACATGAAGCAATCAATGATTGTAATGTTTTTTTCATGTTTCAAAACAGGCTCCTTATTTTAGGTCTACAAGCCAAGAGAAAAGCAGTTAAGGACAAACGAGGTGCTTATTCATTAGCAAGAAGACATCTTATAACGTCATCAGCCTGGCTTACGTCAAAAATCAACACTTTCTTAACAGTGCCAAACTTTTCACACTCCGAGGATATTTCTTCACGCAAGTCAATAATAAGTTGTGGCTCTTTCTGGAAAAACAAATAGTTGTAAGAATTAATATATGAGTACCAAAAGGGTGCTAAAAATTAAATATGGTAGTAATAAAAGCATGAAAATGAAAAGTAGCTTTATGAAAGTTACTTCATCTTAAAATCTGACATTAACATCTCAAACAAACAAAAAGCATGCAGAAAAAAAGATCTAAATCGTTAATATGGAAATCAACGACTTGGAGAATGACATTTTTGCAGAAAAACAATGGTGTACGAGCCATTTATCGTGAATCAAAATGCGATTGAAGATTATCGTACGCACAACAGACGTAATAAAGGAATTCATGAAAAGTTGTGAAGTGGAGACAATTGTGATACCTCGAATTCCTTGTCGTTAAACATATGTTTCAGGATAACAATTCGATCAAATTTGCTTCGCTTTGAGTCTCTGTCAACCCAGTCAAGCAATCTATTGGCAAAGAAGTAGCTTTGAATAGTTTGCAACCGTAAAAAGTTTTCTTAAGGTAAACGATTAGGAGAATTGACGTTGAATCGCTGTCTAGAAAGCTGTGACGTTGAATCGCTGTCTAAAAAGCTGTAAAAGGAACAAAAAATATCGTAAGAAATCTTGAGTGGAAAACTTGGGGTACCTTTTAAAATGAAAGCAACCAGCGCTTGATCAAAGTGCAATGGATTAAAAAGTTTGACAAATTAAGGTCCAATTCCATGTTCGGTTTCTTTTCCAAATAATATCAAACATTTTACCTGAGAGATTCAAAAATGAAAACTCCATAGCAATTAAAAGAAGCTACTAACTTTTCTTGTCCAGCTTGTTTCTTTTTCTTTTTTTTCTTTTTTTTTGGTTTTAAAGACGGGTCAAATTTTCCCTTCTGCTGAAATACTGCCTAAAATGTGTTGTAAATTATAAAAGTTATTCAGATTATAGGGCAAGTAGCTATAAAACGTAGTTAAACTCCTATTTTCCCTTTTTGTGTTGCCTTTGAATAGGAACTCTTCGTTATACAGGTGAAACATTTCGATTAACTAAAGCTAATTAGATTTCACCAAATGTTTTCTAATTTGTTGTCAATGTATGACAGATAAGAATGTCTTCTTGATAGCACCTCCAAGATGTGGACGAGAAACTCCCACTGACCAAATGTAATAAGGCAACCAACAACTGAAGAACATCCTTCAAAATTTTGAAGATAATATTCAGATACTGATAACATCTGAGATATAAGACTTCGGCATTAATCATGTAATTTTATTCGGGGCCTTCAGCAGGAAATTTTAATAGAGAAAACTGTAAAGCTTATCAGCTTCATAATTGCACTGGCCAATTAAGTTCGACTGCAAAAACTAGAAACTTTTCTCGCTATTTGCAAACATAGCAAAGTAGTAATGCCATTCCACAGGCAAATAGGTATGACAGTATCATCAGATTCCGTAACAAACAATTTTTTTTCGTACCTGCTCCACGTGTATCGTATGACCTTTGAATTCTGATTCATCTAAAAGTTGCAAAGCCAAAGGAACAGATTCGGCCTACGTTAAATATAAAAACGTCACAATTGCAAGTCTGAAAATACCAGTTTAAAGTGAATGAATAAAGTTAAAAGAGGAGATCCCCAAGCGTTACCTGTTTGCCAAAAAGAAGATCATCGTCCAATCAAAATGCGATAATCATCAAATCAAAATGCGACAATCCTCCAATCAAAATGCGATAATCATTAAATGAAAACGCGATAATCATCAAATCAAAATGCGATAATCATCAAATCAAAATGTGATAATCATCAAATCAAAATGCGTTAATGCAAACAGACTTTTCGTCAGTTATCGCCATCGCTTGTGTGGTGGGTCATGCTTGAAATGCAGCGAACTAAAGGTTATTTGCAGAACCAGCCTTTCAACTCAGTTCACTTGAAAAAGCACTTCAAGGTTCTTATGAGAAGGTAGGGATAAGGTGGCAAATAAAGCTAGAGTTAGACACTAGCAGGTCGGTGAATAACCGAATCCTTTGGAACAAACTGGATGTCAAAAAAAATTAATGATGCTTCAAAGTGTTGGAGGACAGAACTATCGATAAAGTTATTGTTCGCAATGTTCGTTTTCTCCCAATGTAAAAACCAGTAAATCATACGGAATTTCAGCGACCACTGGTTATCAGAAAGATATAGATATTAAGTCAATAATTAAATAAATATTTATAAAATTATGGTGTAGATCAATTGGGAAAATTCACTTACAAAAGTATTTTAAAAAATGGTACGATTTAAAAAAAAGGCAACATAATTATATAACAGGAACATCATAACATCCAATTTCTTTTAACTCATGTTTTCATTGACCGTAAATTAACGCGGGCCGGACAGGAACGTCCTAAGGGTCGAAGGATGCCCAGGTCTGATTGAGAAGAATGAAATAAGTTTACCCGCAAATAGCAGCATCTTCCGTCGCCTTTGTTTTTTCCTTGTTTATCTTTATAAAGTTTTATTTTTAAATTACCTGCAAAAAGTAAAAAAGAGGTAAAGTAAAAAATATAATAATAAAATATAGAGTTGACAAAATATGAAATGTAGATTCTCAACAAAAAAGGAATCTTATTAATCAAGAGAGCGGGCTTCTAAACATTATGCTTAAAGGTACTTATCATTAGATAGCGGGAAGATCTTAAAACACAGTTTATAGTCCGCCACCTTTCATGTTACTTTAAATTGATTGCACTTTCACAGGCCTGGAAAACTGGTGGAAACGCTCTTTTCGTTACGTGGCATTTTCGCAAAGTCAACATGTTGGTACCGATTGAGTGGTTCCGTTAAATAAATGATGAATAATAAATACATTTTTGACATTTTCAATGTTATTTTTGCGTTATGCGTTTCGATCTTGCAGAAATATTCCAACTTTCAATCAACTTCAATAGGGACAAAGAAGACACCGACTTCAAGAATAGAACAATGGACAAATCAAATGAATCATACTTATAAAGGTTAAACTTGTTTAGCAACAACGTGCTCTTATCAATAAAGGACCAGTCTAAGATATACATAAATTTCAGAGAAAATAGTAATATGCATAAGGAAGCTAAAATATTAAAAGTCATAGTTAGAATTTTTACAAAAAAGTCTTGAATCCTAAAATTAAAGTTTCAGTCTCCATTTCATCAGTCAATTCATTGAAGATCTTTGCTTATATCTTTGAAGATTTTATCTGTCAGTTCATTGAAGTTCATCTGTCAATTCATTGAAAGGAAAAAGTTTTTAGGCAAACCATTATTCGTTGTTTTGGCACGAGTTTTGGCGCATCTAGAATTTTGGTGCATGACCGGTGAATACGCTTCAAATGACAAACCATGAGATGATACATATATTAAATAGATGCTGCTGACACTTTGGAGAAAATAGAGAGCAGACAGCTAGCAAATGTGATTCAAAGGAGCAGGTAAAACGTATATATCTTACTTGTATCTTGATCTTCCATTATTATACCACATTTCCCCATCAGTTCTGAAAACTCTTGTTCAGTTATGTCGACTGGAAGTCCTAAAAGGTAGCAAATGCATGGTTTTTTATAATTTTCACTTAGGTTTGAGGGCCGCGTACACGACTGATATCAATGCTTGTTGCTAGGCAAGGGTTATCTAAAAATCGCCAGGAATTTGGCAGAGGGGGAGGGCTATTATCAAAAGTTGACATCAATTTCTGCGTAAAAATGAAGGCCTGATATCTATATTTGCAAATAGCTCCTAATTCAGAAAGCAAAAGTATATAATGAAAGATTTTTGAAATTATGTAATTGCACCAATTTCCCTGTAAGCAAAAGATACATATGGTTCCTTATTGAATTTAAGCAAATGGTCAATAAAATACGAACAACCTTGGATATATGATGCGGAGCGTGTCATAACGGTTTAGTACCACTGGGGTATGTCGTCCAGGAATGCATTTTCCTAAGTCCATAAAGGGCAAATCAAGAAGCTAGCGATAATTTGGAATTATTATTTAATGTCTCCAAATTTAATGTCTGCCAGCTGAGAATTTGACGATTTTCAAACGACTTATAAAAAGCTGGAAAAGACGTATGTGTCAATGTAACGTTTCTGGACATGATCATGGTTTAAGTGTCTTTACAGTGGACGAAGAAAATCTAGTAAATCGTATTGCTCGCTCAAATGAAGCATCCGTAAATACGAGCAAATAATAGATTAATTTTGGGTAAAAATAAATTTTTTAAATTTAACTATCTAGGTAACAGCACAGGGATCAACAAATGTCCAAGTTTTTTTGCACGTTATTTTTTCCTTGAAACTCACATATCGCACAGTTCTCTCTTGTTAAACCTGTTATTCGCGACTTTCGATTTTTGTTCTGTCAATTCAATGTGTAGGAAAACTTCATCGTATATCATTTTCATCTTTAGAGAATCGCTTAAGACACCACTTTGTTCATAATTATAAAGGCAAGCTAAGTAGATTCATAAATGCCATAACTGATTATCGCATTGAGCATTTCTGGAGAAAACGACGCTATTTCTTCAAACAGCATCAGTGGCATTTAGGCCCAGTCTCAAGCAACAATCTAACGTACTTAATGTTTTCTAACTCCTCAGTCTGTATTGTTTTTGCTTCCAGTCAGCAATAATTTAGAATTCATGGAGTTAAAAAGCAATTCATTGAAATACGATTATATATCAATCTTTTCACCTGACATAAGGCAATGAACAATGGGTGTCAATTTAAAGGGGGATGGTATTTATCTTGCCAAAAGATTACAAGGATTGATAAAAGGAGGACGGGGCTTAAAATCTTCTAAAAGTGGTCGACGTTAATTGGGAGTTTCATGGATAGATATTACTGTAAATTACGCGCAAATAATAATGTCAATATCCTCGATGGTTCTTAATGCTTAGAAATAGAATTCTGGCAAAAACCAAAACTCGTACTTAAATCTTTACGTTAAATAGTAGGATCTAAGGCATCAAACCGAACAACAAATAAATGAGAAAAATCAATTTAATCTTACCAGAGACATAAACATTGGGGTTCTTATCCGGGTCAATTTCAAACCATGCTACGAAAAACATTTTGATAAACTTTATTATAGGAACAATGGGATTTATTAAGGTAGAAAGCTGACATTTCTTTAAGTTGCAGTTGCGTATGTTCATCTTTAATACAATTAACTACAAGTTGCAGTGACTACAAGCGAAATTAAAGATGTTTGATAAATAAAAGAAATGCACTTGCTTAACCAAAAAAAAATTGAATTGAGATTGAAGGATTGAGATTGAAGGATATTTAAGCAATATGCTAAGCCGAGGTACAGTCAATCAAGTTTTCAAAAATCTTACTATCTTCCACGATGTAATTGGAAAACGTTTTCGATATATTAAGTACGGGCAGCATTATAACAATTGCTATGTGCTGGTATGACACAAATTTTCAAAACATTTTCAGCTTAAAAACTTTGATAATAAATTAGATTGATGCTATTAAAGGAACAGGCACATTTCAAAATACCTTAATGCACGAAAATAATGCGGTACATTAATTAACACGAATTGAAAAATCTCGCGTTAATTAAAACCCCTTTAATTTCATGTCCGCGTAAATTTCTCATCCTTTATGAAATGTCTAGCGTTAAATAAACGTCCGTAAATTTCATTCCACTTCAATTGTTTATGTTAAGTTTCAAAACTTCTGAAAAAAGCCAGATTTTACAATTAAATGCGGATCATAGAAATCTTCCAAAACGGAAGGGCCGGAATGGGTTCTTTTCATAAGTTCTATTAAATATAAAACATTTTCTCTTCCTTTCTATTGATCATGTTTTAATCAAGGTACAAGGGAAACTAAAAAAACTTTTCATAACATTCGAATGTCCTCATTATCAACTTTTTCTGCCTAAACTTTCACATCTCCGTAATCTATTTAAACTTCCTCAATCCCTAGTACTCTTCAAATCATCAACATACTCTCCCGTCAGGGGATACTCAACCAATTTTTCAGGCTCTTCCCACGTGGCTGATTCCTTAATTTGAATCACTAATTCACCTTGACTTGAAGTTTTTATTTACTTTTCTTGTTTTCCCCGTACTGAATTTGAAATTATTCTAATAAAAAGGTTTTGCTGACATTAAAAATTCGCGTTAATTAACTACTATTTAAATATTTGAATTTTATTGATTCGCGCTAATTACCACACATTTTGAAATCCAATTTCAATATTTGCGTTTATTTGTGATCGCGTTAATTTGTTCAGCGTTATTTTATGTACCACATTATTTTCGTGTAATATGGTAATGTTATCTTCGTCTGTTTGATAAAGGCCCGTCTTGAAGCATCAAAGGACCTCAATATTAAACCACTGAATTTCAAATATCCACTTCAATTTGTGTCTTTTTCACCAAAGAAGGGAGCTTATTAAGAAAGACAAAGATAAGTTGAAGAAAGTAGAGATAATTGTACGAAAGATGTGTACTTTTCCTAATAGAAAACATTATATTGAATTCTCACCAGGTTCCATGGCTTTACGCTTTTGACCTGCTACCTTGTTTTCACTGATTGTCTGAAAGATAAGTAGTCATTGTTGTTCTCAGGTACTGTATTACTTCAACGAGAGGAAATTTAATTTAGAAAATTTATGATCAAGGGGATATACCAAAAGAAAAAATGTTATTAAGGTATAAATTTCAAAAATGTTTGAAATAACTTTCAAGATGCAAAGCTATTGGCCCTTATAGAGCAACAAGACATAAATTAATGTATGCACAAGTCACATAAGAGGAGCATGCATAAGATGAATCTTCACAAATTAGCTTGTCAAATCAATAAAATGATGAGGTCTTTTTCTTGTCAAAGAGCAGCATAGAAAGCAATAAATCTATAAAAGTTATATCTAGCAAATCTATTTATAAAACCTTTCAAGAGACAACACACAGACACCCCATTCACAACCATGCAGTTGTAGGTGTGTGTAATAAATTTCATCATCATCCTAATCTGATTACATCACTACTTTTTCTAATAATTCAGTATCAAAGAACTTTCACATTCAATTTTCTTTTCCATCGATGTCCAATCCTTTCAATCAATGAACATCTCCACACTTTCAGGAACACATAAGAAAGATATTAATGAGTGTCGAAGAGCATTTCTTTATCTTATTCCTTACACTGTTTACCGAGGAAAAGTCAAGAGGATAAGTATATTGAGACAAATAGATGTGACCTGGGGATTTTCATAGCCTTGTGATTACACAGCTGAAAATGAAAAGGGATTTTGATTTTGATATGCTTATTCTTGCAAATTGTTTCTGAAAAAGTATGAATCTTCATAGAATATAAACAATATGTGCTTAAAACCTTGTCTGCAGAATCATTTGCCTCTTCTTGTTTCTTTGCTAGCTCTTCTGGTGGTAATGGCTCTCCAGTCTCAGTAAAGCCGTAGTTTGCTTGATAGGCTGCGATAAAATCCTCATCTACCTGAAATACAGGTGCAAAGATACAAAATGTTGGCTTGATAAGATCTATTCAAGAACATAAGTGACCAGAGCGACAGAACATAACATAAGTGAACAGAACATAAGTGATATCATAGAACACTATCATAGTATGTTATCATAGTAAGTTAGTGTTAAGCACAGCAAAAAGACATTTTTTCAAATTTATCATTAGTTGTACTTTAAATAAACTGTTTTGCACACCTGTTGTATCCTTCCTAAGATTTACATGTTCTAAGATGCTGGTTTCAACTGGTAGTGAATGTTATGCCTTTATAAATTTCAGTTCATATATAATTCACATATATAAATGCACAAAGGAAGCCCCCATTTGTTTTGTGATGCAGGCAAAGACTTCTGTAAAATAAAGCCAAAATACCTGAGTGAAAGGCCGCAAGGCTTTGGCCATTCAGTTTAAAACTTACCGCTCACCAGAGTACAAATGCAATTCCAAATGATTAAATCAAATAAACAGTATCAGAAATATGGTATTTATTTGAATTATTGTCAATTTTAAGAAGGTCTTGGGAAGGATAAAACTTATAAACAAGAGATAGAAGGATAAACAAGAATAATTGGAATTTCATGATTACAACTGCAGCAGGAGGCAGAAACTTTTCTAGCTACTAAAAATTGGTACAATACTTTGGCTAGAAAGAGAATTTAACTGTCAAAGAGGATGGAACTGAATTTGTCTGTATTGATAGAAAGGTGATTGTTGTAAAACAGGCTTTGTAATATGAAAATAGAAACATACGTTTCGCACGTCTTGATTACTTTGCACGTGCGATGGCGTGCGAAGCAAACAGCTTTTTTATCGCTCATTTCTCATTCCTGTTGCCAAGAACTGGGTGCTGCTTTCAAGGTGACCTTTTTTGGTATAAACTGAACAGAAACCAAGGAAATTTTGTAGAAATGTTTTGTTAGATTTCAATGTGAATAAATTAGATGTTAAAAAATTTTCTAGGAAGTAATTATAGGTAGAATCTTTTTATAATAATTTGAAGATATCCAGGCCTGGCCGTGAGCATTTTAACAGGCGCGCGGTACATCGCTCTCCTCGGTAAAGCAAGGCGGTCTCTTGAAAATCATCAATAAAAGTATAGGAATAAACAACATTCTTTAACAGCTGAGTTCACAAAACAAGTCGGCGATTCTCCGACAAAAATAAAACGATAGTTTCCTATAATCACAAATCAACAACATTCAAAATTTGTTCCATTGATGCAGGCTTCAACAGCCGCCTTTGCACTACCCAGGGGCGGATCCAGTGGGGTGCGAAGGGGGCTCGAGCACCCCTCAGATTTGAGAAAAAACTTTTTGGGGATTAAAGCTCATTCTACCGCAATTTTGTTTATTATTATTTAAACCATTTAAATAATACCGGGAAGTATGCACATCTCCTGAAATTGTTATTTCCGCTTCAATGCCCCGTCTCACAACTGTTCAACATTGTTATTTCAGTCCATGCATTGAAGTGTTATGAAACTCCCCCTGGTTGTCCTGTATAGCATTCTACAGACTCGGAAAGCATTGTCTCCTCTTATATCCAGCCACTTCAGGAACCCGTGGCCTGTAAATTATACGAGTTTCTGCACCCGTGGAAGTGAATCTAGCCAATCACGGTGCCAGGTCGAGGGGTTCTAAACTTTGGCGCGAGAACCCATGGATTTCAAAAATCCAAAACATGAAAGAATACCGACAAACCAGGGGGAGTTTCTTCGCTTCAATCTACAGTCAAATGTATAAGTGGTTTTATGACCAGGGGGAGTTGAGCTTGAACAGGGGGAGTTGAGGTTGACCAGGGGGAGTTGAATTATGATACAGCACGCGACGAATGCTTAGGCGCAAATTTGCAATATGTTTTCGTGGATCTTTTGACGATCTTTACCTGATGCTCGATGCTGTAACGGCAGAACTTGTAAACGCTGTGGTTTATATAACAGAACGGTTTCAAGTTTCAACTCCGTGTTTCATGTCTTATTCATAGACCATGAGGTATGATTTATATTCAGAGGATAAAGCTTGCCCGAGCCCTTGTTATTCTTTTTTTAATCATTCAAGAACTACATAAAAAACATCTCAAAAACTTGCCCTTACTATTATTGACCAAAAGGGGTTTCCTTTTTATACCTACTTATATTCCTGCGAATCCTTTTTTCTCTAAGAATTTCAAATACATAAAAATACTCAAAACGCCAGGCCCATAGCGAAACATTCAGGGCCTTCTTTGTTTGGTTTGAATGCTGTGTTAGAATCCCTGTGTTCAACTTTTGCACTGCACTTGCACTGCAAGGGCTTCATTCCACCAGCCACGTTATTTTTTTGGTCAAGCTGATCAAGTTCTTATAAATGGCTGCAAAGAGTCAAAAATTAAATTTTGCTTTGAAAATTTGTGGGCTCGGGCCTTTTGCCACTGCGGGCCATCATATCATCTTTGACTACAGTTTCTATACTTTTGTACCCTAAGTGAATATAAGAGGGGCGAGCTGCAAATTGCGTTCAATTGGCATAAAAGCTGAAACCAAAAATTACTATATAAATCAAGGCATCCAGGCTTTTTAGTTTATGGAAGGCTTTCATTTCATTATGGCTTATTAGCAGGGGTACGGAGTTTGTGCATAGCAACACCCTGGGTTACCAAGCCTTACGTTTTAGAACCCCTCAGAATAATTTCTAGATCCGCCCCTGCTACCTTTACAAAGCCGGTTCAAGAGAATAGAAGCTTTATGTTTAGTGCAAAGTTTGCACCAAACGAACATCACCATCTTCTTTCCATCTATCTCCTCAATTTTTCTTCCAAGAACAGCCCCGTTGTCGTATTTTTTTAAAAGTTCTTAGCCTAACAGTCGATCCCTTCTGGTTACTCGCCATGTTGAAATGATTCGGGTTTCATGTGTTAGGAATTTTCAATTGGCCTTCGAAATTGCATTCTGGTTGAAATGAAACCATTCAAAGATTTTCTACCCAATTTCATTTAAAAATGCTTCGTTTGTTTTCCGCGTGACTTGTTAAGTAGTTATCGAGTTTACAGGAGTAGATGACTTCCCGAGAGATTAAAACCTTTTTTCTAAGTCAAAACATAGGGGATCAAGTTCCTATCAATATTTTAGTTTTACTTCATAAGTCGTCGAGAAATTAAAGGAAGACCAAGGCGGGCAGTTAACGTGTGAACTGACATCGAGGCTAGCGATGAAAAGCTCGCCTCACTGACCCGAGGCGAGCGTGGAGGCGTGCGCGGACGATCGCCCGCCTCAAACGGACAGGTCTGGATCTTCCATTGAAAACAAATTCAATTGCTCGTAAACCCTAACATCTGTCAAGAAATGACCATGCAGCATCACTGACTTCAATATCATCGTTTTCGAAGTCGATATTCATAAAAAATATCTTACCGTTTGCTTGGCGTTCCTTTCATGATAATATGGAATTCAGCGAACAATCGAATGAGAAGGAATGTGTAGGGAAATGACACAAAGGTCGAAATGAACACACTTTCTTTGAGCATAAAAACAAGTTTTTACAGCTCTTAGTCTTGAAAATGGTTATGGTTCGAAAAAAGTTTAAAATAATTAAAACATTACAGTCATCGTCACTTTCTTCGTTTGAGCTTTCTTCAGTATTCCCCTCTTTCTCTACCTTAGGTTTCTTTGATATACCGATGCCATTATCAAGCTTACGCTTTCTTTTCCTCAAAAGATAGAGCTCTGTTGCTTTTTTCAAGATATTTTCTCTTTCTCTGTCAGTCCACATATTATCATTGATTGCAATACGAAGTCGCATCTCCATAACACTGTGTGACAATCGCAGTCTTTTTATTCGACATTAACACCATCCTGAGAATACTGAATGCTCTCTCTACTGAAGAATTTTAGCAAGAGATCCCAATCATTGTCTGTGCCAGAATGCACAGGTTGGGGTACTCGTCTGCCCTGTAACAAGCATATTTTGCCACAGATCTCTTGCTTCTATTCCCAATAATTCCATTCTTTCCTCAACCAATAAATGTCGCCAGCTCCTCTTTGTTTCCTTTCGCCATTATCACCAAAGAACAGAAAAATCAAGTGAACAGTGAAGCCATCTCTTGGGACAAAACTCCCAATCTCGGAGTTTTGAAAGCTAATAAAGCACCATGTGTTGATTGCAGATTACTCCCCCTTGGCACCCCTTGGTTGAAAATCTTTTTTTAGTAGACGATCTTGTCTTAACTACTTTGTGACGGCGTGATTGAATGGGGACTCTGTATGGGAGTACTTTAACAACACCTTAACGATTGAACTGCCTTTGAATTTGGTGACTTTTATTTACCGCTGCTTTAGAAATCTATGAGACATATGCAATTTTTAAAGGGCCACTCCAGCCCAAAATTTTTATTTCAGAACACGATGCAATCAGAGCTCCTGAAAATGAATCTGTTATTATTTTTTTCATATCACTAACCGTTTTGTAGTTATTAGCGTTTGTAAATTGGTCATTGAGTTGAATCATTTTTCAACCGTGTTATCGGAGATCTTCGGAATGACGTCACAAACATTTTCGGCCTCGGTAAGTTCGCGGCAAGTATCATCGGATGTCCAAAGCGTCAACGAGAACCTAGCGAAATGGCAGACAGGGCCTAGCAGCGGCATGTTTGTTAGAAGGCCAGACTTTTATCTGGAATGCTTTTGAAGCAATTTGTATTGACAGGCCAGTTTCTTGATTTTTGAAAGAAGATTCGCGCTTTTTCATCACCTCTACCTTTAGTGCAACAGCTAAAAAATCCATCGTGCAATTAATTCGGGAGGAAAGACCAAAACAAAACCAGTATACCGGGAATGAAAGCTGTATGAATTGATACAACATATTCATTAGGATAAAGAGCTTCATATTAACATGACTTATTAGAAATAAACCAAGACAATTGAGGACATGGACAAGAAAGTATACAAACTTTCAAGACAAGACTAAAAACCTACCATTAGTGATGAGTCAAACAACTTTTTCAAAAATTATAAATTTGTTTTTATACAAAAAAAAGGGATTTGAGATTATATTAATAATTCAACTTGTTAGATATACTTGTGTAAATATAATTTTTGTATTTAACCTTTAGGTTATTAGAGGCCTTGTCAGCTCCTTTAAGCTGTCAGAATTTTAACCTGCTATTTATCAATGAATAATGAATACATGTTTGTATTTAAATACTTAGCTGCTTTGAATAATATATTATAAATATCTATACAATCAGGCCAATGAACTAGCTAGCAATTTGTAATTTCTATTGCACGTGAGAAATGTTCTTATAAAAGTATCATGAAACAATAATCTTTTGCAAAATTTCTAGAAAATACCTATATGTTGTTACAGTTTGAAATAATAGCTGTGGATTTGCAAACTTTATATAGATATGGCCAAATTATCTATAAAATTGAGATAATTTTAAAAAAAAGTCTCCTTTGTAAAAATGTTACTACAAAAACAGAATAATGTGTTGAGGTCTTTGTGGTAACTCTTGCAGGGAATAAGGGGTGAGTTATCACTCCCCCAAAGCCATTAGCCAGATAACAGGATGCATGTAATCTCCAAAATTCGGGAAGCATTCCATTTTGAAAAGCTTGCTGCATTGCCAAGATCAGGATATGTGTTCAGGTTGAAGTTTCCATTTTTGATTTGTTGAATTACTAGTCCATGTTGGCTGGAAGCTTCCACTGAACATCAATCGCAATGAAGGAAAATAAATTGATTTCGACATGAATCGCCCCTTCCGAGCCTCTACCGAGTCATGCAAATTTCAGTGCGAACATATAACAATAGCGCCAAATGTTGAAACAATAGCCCTTTCACACGTCACAAATTACTTTTTCCGAAAAAATTTTTGTCATATTTTTACAGCGATTCTCAACTTTGAGCGTCTATATCTGGAAAACGAGTTAAGCTTTTCAAAAAGAAATTTCACGATAGCTTCTTTTTCTCGACTAACTACCAATTTATGCAAAAATCTCAGAAAAAATTTTTGGGCTAGAGTGGCCCTTAAAGAATTTTTTATGACAAATACTTTGTTTTGTGTTTGTGACAATTTGCATGCCTTGGACAATTTGGGCGTGTGTGAAGGCAAGCGCATGCAATTGCATGCCTAATATTACAAGGACTGCATTAGCATAACTGGAAAATGTGACTACAGGGTCATCTGTGTATATTTTGCATTGCACTTGATACAATTAGGCATGCTGATCAAGACGATCAGGAAAAGTAGAGGCCCAAGATCCCTCCCTTGTGGGACTCCAAAGATAGATATTTAGTAGACATAGTTGAGTTTTTGATAGAGGCCTCTTGAGTTCATTCAGACCTAGCCATAAGACTTTTAGCAGGGAAAGACTTTCAGCAGACCTAGCCATAAGACATTAAAAAGCTCTCCTAGTAACTTCCAGGTGAGCTATATGTAGATAAATAAGAATAGAAACAAAGAAAAAATTTATTTCAAGGAGAGCTATTTTCTTTATTAGTGCTGTTTAGAAGAGCAATGTGTAGCTCCCCTCTAACCTTCAAGGAGAGCCTGCAAGGGCTATGGCTCTCCTCAAATGGCAAAGCCTGTTCATTGCAAAATGAGACCTAAACCAGTCACCAACTGTACCATATAATATTCATTATTGTGCTTGCTAAGCAAATATTGGGATGCTTTGATGTTTGTAACGTCAGTGTAACTTGTATGCTTCCAACAAAATAAAATTCTTGCTTCAGGGAGAAATCATTTGTGTAAGCACAAATTGAACTAAAAGGTCAGAAAAAAATGCATAAAGAATTAAAAGGTCAGAAAGAATCTTTAGTACCTGTAAATCAGTTTTCAAATTTTCTTGTTCTGAAATCTGCCGAAAATGGACAGAGAGCATGTTGTGCCCAAGACCTTAGAGGTTCAATTTCAAGGAGATAGGCTTGCAATCTGAACCAGCAAAGCCTGCGTTTCAAATCTACATTAGCATAACTTGGAGTAGAAAGTCAGACAAGACTTACATACATAAAGCTGTAAAGGCAGGTACGAATATACTATAAATATGATTTACTCCAATTATATGTATGCCTTTATTTGTACTGAGCGAGGACAAAGGGACACCTGTAAAAATAGTAACGTACCTTAGGAAACCAAGCTCTTTTTTCAGCATCAAACTCGTAGACTGTTCCGTCTGTTGGGTCTTGATACGTCTGAGAAACGGCTGTTTTTTGCTGATGCAAATAAAGTTGCCATGGTTCCATTTTGTTCTGTTGGTATTGACTGGAAACTGCCTGATGACCAGCTTGTTTTAATTCTGCTAAGAAATCTTCAGTTAGATCTGAAACTTCAGCACCACTCCGTTTTGCCTGAGATGTTTGGTCTAGGCTAGATGCTGTGATAGGCTTTGTGTTCAGTTCATTGACGAGATCTGTTGTTGTCGAACTGATGTCTACAGTTGAACCATCAACAACACTTTCACGTTTACCTAACTGCTCTTCTGCCACTTCTTCGTCACTTGAATCAGTATCATGTTCACTTTCAACTTCACTCATTTCGATTAAATGTGTTAAAAACCGTTACTCAAAACCAATGGAAGATGGAATCTTTTTTGTACTTCCCTCCACGGTACTCAGTAGACTTACTCCATGAGCCTCTGTTTCGCTACTGCCTCACTTGACGGACGCTACAACAGAGACTCATAATCCAAAGTACTCAAAAACTGGCAACTTCAATTTTGTCTCGTTCTCGATTTCTTTTCAAATATTTTCAAATCCACCCCCCTGATCTGCACATTTGCACAGCTTTTTCATTCGCGTGTAAAGATTTTAGTTTGTTCGTACGTATGGATGGTTTTTTCTTCTTCTTCTCTGGGAATTGCATTTTCTGTGGTCTGGCAATTACAGTGAAGACTTTGCAACAGTAAGTTATCCTTTTTGCAGTATTCTTCTGTAATTTTTTCAAAGAAGTCATGTAGAAAGATTTTTATAATTTATTTCACTTCTTTGCGTGAATTACTGTGCCTTGTGGCTGGCAACAAACACGTGGATAAGTTTGTTAGCTCCATGATGATATCTTAAGTCAAATTAATGGAGATAGATAAGTAACTGAAGGAGAAAGGCTTGGTTCAGGAAAATCAAAAACAAGGGCCGATTTTTTTCAAGGCGTTTATTCTACCGATAAATTTTCCAGACCAGTTCAATTTTGATGTCACTTTCAAGTATAGTAAGATAAGCCAAATTTTGAACTAGGCCTTGTAGCTAGGACCGCGGCAAAAACTAGGATATTAAAATGGATAAAGTTGTGCCTCTTGTTATTGTGAGTAATTTTTTGTTATGTCTATGTTCTAGATGCCAACTCAATGAAGACAGACAATTCTCCCAATAAAGTAAAATTTCATTGTGGACTTTTTCAAGAATATAATATGAACTCATTTATAGTATCATTTATAACTTCAGTTTTGTCAAAGTGACTTTTTGTCTTGACTGTTTATTATGTTGTAGTAAACATGCTTGCATCCAATTGAATTTGGTATATACTAATTATATTCACTGAGTTGTGGTGTTTATTGTCTGAACTTCTCCAATATCAGGGTGCATTCTCCATGTAGGTAGGCCCGAATTTATCTGGACTGGGATTAGAAAAATCCCTTAGGTGTATGAAGGAAAAGTCCTTTTACTCGATCTTTTAAAGTAATTTATCAAATATTTGATGAAAAGTGTTGCTAATTTTTTAAAGTTTTTTTTTAAATTGCTTCTTGACTATAAACTAGCGCCTAATGGCTTCACAAAGGTGAAGTTCAAAATTCACTGGTCAGGTTGTTTTCAACGCTGTCGTCATTTAATTCTTTTCGTCAAGCCAGCGCGATACTTCTGAGAGTGGAGTGTACTAAGGCATATCCTCGGGACAAAAAGTTCATACAAAAATGATACAAAGTGTTTCCATATGCAGTAGAGGGCGAACGCAAAAACGTGTTTTTCATTGTACGCTTTGCAATAGAATTCACTTTCAAAATCTTCGAAAACAGCCAACAGTTTTCTGCCATTTCTCGACAGTGATATTTTGTAACGCTAACAACACGGGGGTTAGGATGTTTTTAAAAAGATACCTCGTTATGAAAGAAATTGAGGTGCCAGCCAATCAGAAAACCGTATTTTGAAAAGCTGCTTTGTGATTGGTAGGACAAAAAGTTGTCCTGAGCGCCAGTTTTTGAGTACTTTGGATTATGAGTCTCTGTTGTAGCGTCCGTCAAGTGAGGCAGTAGCGAAACAGAGGCTCATGGAGTAAGTCTAGGTACTCAGGGCCTAAGTTGTCTCGTACTGAAGGCGAGGCAGGCTCTACTGCAACAACAACAAGGCACAATACGTCTCCAAAATTGTTGTAACACTTGCGGAAAGGAACACTCAAGGTTTTTTAAAAAACCCCTCCAGCCCCCTATTACAATGTTGTTAAAGTTAGCTATTGTGATATCGAAGGTGAAAATTCTGTCACTGAGAGCTGTATTGAGAAAATGAATCGATATTTTACGGGGAAGGGGGTCAAAATTATGGAATCAAAAGACATACTGGGGTCAAACAAGTATGGAAACGATGCTAAGAACGGCGGCTCGCAGAAGCCAAAGGCCTAAGCCGACAGGTTTTTAAAACAGAAGTTAAGCGCTAAGGGGTTTATGGTCAAAAAGTCAGGGAAACATTAGACCGGTGCCTGAGCCTCCTAGCACTACATCCCTGCCAATGATCTGTGCACTACATCCTTGCCCCAGGTACAGATGTGTAAAATTTTCCAGGGTTTGTCTCCTGAACCCTTTGTCTTCATGTTCTACCATGTTTCGCCTTCAATTTTAGAGTTCTGCCTAATTCATCATTAAATTGAGGCAAAATTTTACCAGATCAATATCCAGTCCAGGGCAAAAGATCTACTACCCCAAATAGAAAACATGGAATTTACACCCTTGGTTTTGGAAACAAATATGTCATATCCTCATTCTAATGTTTTAAAGGCTGAATTGTTTATATTTGTTATATATACCTTTGCTATTCTAGCATTGGTTCATATAAGCATGGCCTGTATCATTTAAATTTATCTTCTTTGCTATAGTAACAGTGGTTGCCCTTTCATCCCAAAATTTCTCTCTTTCATCCCAAAATTTCTCTCTTTCATCCCAAAATTTCTGGTAGGTTAGTATTTATCCCTGTCAACCCGGCCTTTCCCGGAGACGCAGGCTCCAGCCCCCGCCCGCGCAAACCCCACGCAAAAAAGTTTTGCGAGGGCTTTTTTCACCCACGCAGTTGTTTATAACTACCCTCTCATTGAATTCTTTATAACAACGTCTCACTCTCTAATGTTTTAACTAATAACCGCTATATATATCAAGGTATTCATAAATAACATCGTGTCAAAGAGATAAATGGTTTTTATAAATATCGTTATAAAAAGGGAATTTTCGTTTCTTTTGACATCAAATGTTAACAAACTATAGTATTACCTGTTACAACTAGCAAAGGAATAGAAAATGGTTGTGTAGGAAAGGAACAACAGATAGCGTAAAATAACAAAAATGAGAATTGTTACACCACACTGTCAAGTATGAAATTTGTGTTACGAATACACTCATTTTTTAAAAGAAGCACGCTATCAGAAACGACAACTGGGCAACTGGGTTGGGATTTGTCAACAACATAGAACGAATCATTCACCCTTCCTGAACTCTCTTGTTACTTTCGATCCGCATTTCTGCTTCCCTTTATGCTTTGAGGTTTATGTATATGTTATTCGCCGACTTTTATCAGATATCTCTTTTGTCATTTTAAGGAGTAGTAATGCACACAAAACAACTGTCTTCTTAAGATAAATCATGTTTACAAGTAGATAGTAATATATTTTTAGTAGATAGTATACTCAGATATAAATAGATAAACAACAAATTCTGCAAGGGCTAAAAAGCCCACGCAGCCAAACCAGCAAGGGTTTTTTTAGCCCGCATGCTTTTTATTCCCGGAGAGGCCTGTTACAGTAACTTATTTAGGTTTATTTCTATTATTTGCCTATAATTTGCATCAAATCAGTAGATATATTTCTTTATCATTGCGATGTCTGCATTTTCCATGTGTAAATACGGCCTACTGAAATTACTTGAGATAAAGAAGATGCACATTTCTGTTCAGGATGTAAAATTATCTCAATCAAGACAACAGCTTCTTGTATATCACATCGATGTGCGTAATCAATGCATCTCACATTTTGCATGGATGCATGAACTCTTACCTTCATGAAGTTTTTATAGCTTTAAATGTGGATTTTACTAAAAAACACCTCGGACGTAGCCTTCTTTCCATAACCTATAACCATGTTTTTTGTTACGGAACGCTTTCGGGACACTTCCACGCTTTGGCATAGAATTTGATTTGGTAATCAAATGTTCATAAAATCTTTGGTTGTCGAAGTTTGGAAGGTTCTCCAAAGACTTCGTCAAACCAACTTTATCATCTGAAAACTTATCGACATCTAAGCCCACTTCTTCAAATTCATCGACATCAATTAGTTTCTCTCAGCTTCTGGTGTCGCTCCATTGACAGCACTGTCAGTAGGACCTGTGTCCCTGCAAGAGTTTTGAAAAAGCTAGGGATGTCCTTTTTCATAAAATCTCCGTGAGTTTCAGTATTTCCAATCATGATTTCGGCATAAATACTTTGATAACATGGCGAAGCAGTGAAAAACAAAGTTAACAAGATGGATAACAACGGTGTGCGTAACTACAACTACCAGAATGCATTGAATTTTTCATTTATTCAAGAATTTTTTTGCATACAAAAAGGGTATTTGGAGGGTACGACCATTGCAAGAATATTGAGCTAAAAAGATAAAAACTATGAAGTAACAGGAAATCCTTATATTACAATCATACAATACATACTAAAAGATGCGCAGAAATAAATTAAAGTGAGGTTTCCACTATCCTGGGTACCACAGCTACAGAATCATGCAATGGAAATGGTATAGGGGAGGAAATACAAAAGAAGATGCAAGGAAAGATGATATTTTGAAACTTTGAAGCCATTGGACCTAATGAGGTTTATTGCAAAATCGGATCAGAGATGCGGTACGAGAAATAATAATTATGATGGTTTCTAAAAAATGAATGGGAGGATTTATGACTTCTGGACGTTTAGTTTTTACATTAACATGGAGAAAATTATTTAAAACGTCACAACCATTGACTTATCCGACAAAAATCATGTGTGTCTGTGTCATTCATATCCCATATATTCAAATGCATAATTACAGCCTTCTTGCAGATCTGTGACTACGACGCTCAAATTAGCAGTTGTTTTGTTACTAACTTTAAGAAACTATAATAACAAGAATCAATATTTTACCTACAAGCTTCTTACTGATGAGATCGTATCAGTTTTGTTCAAAATCGTCAACAATTTTTATAACCAAATGTCAATAATTGAACACAAGATGTATATGATTCAATATAGATAAAATATATTAACCTTATTAAATATTTCATCGTGGTTTTTTTTTCATTTGTATTGGCAGTACTTCAAAGTGTGCTAACACAGTAAAGGCAAATCAAATGTTGCTTGCAGTTGCGTTCCTCTATAGTGACATCGACTAGCTTAACACACGTCACGGGTGTCGACTGCCAATCGATCATCAGGTACATGATTAGTGTGAGTAGCCTTCACCAATCATAATTTCTTTTTAAATATTAAACTAATTCTGTTTGCTAGTCGTTCCCAAGACAGGCAGCGGGTGTGCCTCAGTATTAAAAACCCATTCATCCAGGGAAATCAAGCTATCGTCAGAAAAAAGCAAATAAAGGTATTTCAAAGTCTCAGCCAAGAAAAAACTCTGCTGAACATCATCGTGGTTTACATTCGGATCAGTGACGTCACGAATTCCACTATAGCCAGCACCAATATGACAATGCTTTTGGATTGCCTTTGAAGAGAAAACGAAAATTTAGCCCAACAAAGAATTAAAAGTATTTGCAATTCATCAAAGCTATTTACAGTCAGTTAAGTATCCAGCTTGCAACTAATTTAAAACAGGACAAGAACAGTAAGATTTTATGTATGACAGTAAGATAAAGATGAAGACTTACCTGCGCTGCATCCCAGCCCCATTCTCGGTATTTCGGATCTTTCGTTACTCTCCATAGTACAAAATAGGATTCTATGACTTCTGGCCTCAGAATATAATACTTTTCATTCATACGAAGTGGGATTGCTTCATGAGGCCCTTCAAATCTAAAGGCTTCTGGACCGATTTTGGTGGCTGCAAGCAATGAAAAGTATTCGCATAAAGCCTGAACATGTATGTATTCAGTTAAAGCACGAAACACAACAGGGGCCTGTGTTTAGAAACAAAGACTAGCTGTGAAAAAACAACCATAAAAATAGGGCAGCAAAAAGTTACATCAAGAAAACTGTATACAGTACTTATTCAATTATCTGGTCCTCTCGGGACACAGGATTTCAAGATTGGTGCGGAGAATCTGAAATTCCGGATAATTGAAAACATACGAATAACGGTAAAACCAGCATAAATAAACAGGATGACTGTTGTGAAAGTTTATTTCTAGGCACATATTACAATCTAATGGAACCAATACTCTTAAAATACTCATAAAATATTTAGAATGGAAAGCAAGAAAAACGCTCCCCATATTATGAAAAATGCCGAAAATTTTTCCCAAGGTTTCTACGTTTTTTAAAGACCGGATAATCGACGTCCGGATAAACAGTGGGTCGGATAATTGAATAAGTACTGTATTCAATTTCTCAAAGGGAAACAATGATGCTGCTATATACCTGCCAATATTTATTCAGCAGGGGTAAACTAACAGGTAAATAGCAGTGGCGGGTGGCGGATACCTGGGGGCGAGGGGGAGCGGACACCCCCAATATTTTGGGGGAAAATGTAACGTCATCTTATCAAAACAATTGGTTTAAAAATATTTGACCAAGTGTCTGCCACTACTAAATAGATACAAAAAAGGAAGAATCGAGTAAATAAGCATGAACTATTTACCATGCTATAATGAATTTGTTTTACATTACCTGTCCGTGCATAAGACTCGTGACAAGTCCGTGTGATTTCCTTTCCTAACTCCAGTTGATGTTCTACCAGTTCTTGAGGGGCACCCTTAGACCCTAGAGCAAACATGCCTCCAGCAAAACAAGCCTGCGTGAGAAGTACACAAGGTAAGTAGCTGGTTCGGCAATGACATCGAAAAAAGGAATCACGCAGAAATAGAAACATCAAATGATGAAAATTAGCACCTTGTGCGTTTAGGCTAAAAGTTAATTTGAGAATGGCATTTATCTTTTAGCAAAAATACAAGAAAGCTGATAAAAAGAACAGCTCTTTATTTAAGAATGGGAGATAAGACTGCGTGTGTTGAAATGTTTTCAAATGAAATGTGACTTATCAACGTCAACATTCTCTTTCAAACATTTGCAACATCTTTCAAACATTTAATGTTTCTTTGCAACATTAAAGCTCCATTTGCAAATGCTGAACAATTCAAAAAATAAATCAAGCATAGTAGCCGTTGTATGGTTCAACAATTTATTAAATTCATCTTGAGTGGTAACATTCTACATTAATCTGCCAAGAGCAGCATAGGCTCCGCAGTCCAAAGGCCAACGCATTGGTCACTCAATTAGGGGTGTACCGGATCAGGATTTTAAGAATCCGGCCGGAACCGGATTTACCGGATTTCTTCGTGGAAAATCCGGCCGGATTTTACCGGATAATCTGGCCATTTATGGATTTTTCTGTAATAGAAAGTTTTGAGCCACTTTGCGAAAAAATGTATAGCGAGAAGGTCAAAGAGACCCATTCAGGGTTGCCAAATTGAAATTACAGACGAAGGCTAGAATGGTGAGCAATTTAAGCCAAAATGCTCATAAAAAGGCCAAATCAACAACTTTCTCAAGAATCCATCAAGCAGGCACTGGTTATATTTCTACGTTTGTGCCTGTTAGATAGTTTCTTAACTTAGATAAGAATCTTACTTTTTCCAAAACCCTTTGCTAATATCAAGATAATATTTAGGTTAGGTGATAAAATTTGAAATTTGGTTAACACTTTGTAGTTAAGTACTAATTATTCCATGAATGTAGTTATTACTCATTAATTTTTGACGTTCTGCTGAAAAGGCCAGCAAGGTCAAATTTAAGTAGTGAGCAAAAAAAAAATTTTTCCAGGCAATCTTAATCTAAAAACAAAAATGAAAAATTTGGCCTAAAAAGCCAATCTGGCAACCCTGGACAAAATTTGTGAATTATATCATCCAGTCTTCCTGTTTCGTGATAACGAGCACTTTCATTTCAAATCTGTTTTCAAGGCGCTTGTTTTATTGCCGACCTTGTTTAGTTCTGGAAAATCCAGCAACTGGCCGGATTTCGGAAACAAATCTGGCCGGAACCGGATTTTCAAAAAATCAGCGATCCGGCGCCGGATTATCCGGCCTACCGGTTATCCGGTACATCCCTACACTCAATAGACTTGAAAACATCATTGACAAAGGAGGTGTGTCATGTCGATATGTTGTCAAACGTCAATATGTTGTTATAATGAGAAAATATACTGGATCAAGATCTCTTAATAGCCTCTTGACGTTTGACGACTAAATTTCAATTAAGAAGCAATAAAAAAATAAACGCATTCCTCAATGTGTTTGGCAATTAAATAAAAAAAGAATAGTAGTTAAGAGAAAAATGGAGAGCTTCCCATTTCTGCAAAGACAGAAAGCATTGAAACATTTTTATATCAGTCTTGAAAATGAGAAATGAAAGCTTTACCAAATGTTCCATTTTCTGTTCCAATGACCCATAATTGTAGATGCCAATATATGTCAGCCCAGAATTGGATTTCCGAATCAACGCTGGTTCAATAGCCTGTCAAGTATTAGACAGACAGTGTTAGCTTTGAATTCAAAACTCAGAAGAAAAATCGAAAATTGGTCCAAGTATTGACTGTATAGTCAAGTGATTGTAACCATCAACACTTTCCATAATTAAAACTACTTTCCCAAGGTACTTACTCAAGACCCAGAATCTGGCGTTTGTCATTGGTAACGGTATTATAGAACAAGGTATTATTCTAATCGACACTAATCTTTTAAAAAATTGTTTAAACAGGCGAGTGCCAACAAAATCTTGATGAAGAACTTAAAAATCAAAACACACAAAATACCTTCATAGCTTCATCATACATTTTCCTTGCTGTTAAATCAGTTTTACCAGACATAATCCACGACTTTAAAAGGTACTCATAAAAACTGTCTCCGAGTGCCCCAAGCGATACGTGTTCTGTTAAGATGAAAAAATAGAAAGTTAAGATTTAGGCCTGGTTCAAACGTCGCGCTTCTCATGTGCCGAACCTAATTCGAGAATTAAGTACATGAGGGGCGCGACGTTTGAATCAATTTGGTACGGCAGATTGAGTTAGGAGCGGCAGACTAGCTTGGATCGGCAGAGCTTGCCGAGCTGCACGACTCCAGCACAGCACGGTTTCAAGCGTCGAACTTGTCATGTACCGAACTCAATGCATAATTATATTTAATTTATTTTCCTTCCCAGAATTCATTTCTTTCTTGGAGGGCGCATGTGTCAAACAAATATTTGAGATTGCGCGCCTTAACTAAGATACTTCATGTAACAATCCTAAAATTCATTTGGCGCGACATAATTAAGTTCGATGTTTGAAACGGGAGTCGCGCTGAACATGCTTAAGTGTCGCTCCAAACAGAGTTAGGTTCGGCACATGAGAAGTGCGACGTTTGAACCAGACCTTAGTCTTCCAGTTGTCACAATTAAATCTATTTGTGAAAGGAATGAAAAACTAAACTTGGATTAGAAATCTGTCAAAATTGTCTTAAAAGAGAAGTGTCGAGAGTGACCTAAAAACTGAAAGAATAGATGAAAGGGAACTGGAATAACTTACGCTGTCCCCAGGTTCCTGATCGAGGGTCCATGTAATTAGGATAGAGTCCATTTGGCTTGTCCGATGAACGCATCACTTCACGTATTTTATTAACCTTTGAAATGAGACAGAGCTTGGGATTAATGTGTGCTTACTTACTGGAAATTGTAAAGACTTGTGAAAGGACCCTTTATGCGTCAATTTGCATTTCATTGCGAGTATCTAGAAAAATAAATCAGTTCCGCAACTCTTGACTTTTTTCCCATGAAGATTTATAGCACCTTTTAACATTACTAAATTGATTTCATTACTAAGACTATTTTACACAACGGTAACTAAAGGATAATATCACATCAAGTTACCTTTGTTGCGTAAATAGGATCACCAGTAATTCGCGAGAGATAGGTAAACTCCAAATGCAATGTGCCAAATTCAGCCAGAATAGACTGGCCACCAGAGGCCCATCCATAATTCATTCCTCCACCACTGCAATGAAATTACATCGTGACAACATTATTTATGACTCTAAAACATGTATCAGATCAAACAATAATTTATAACTTGAAACCGAACATCACAACTACAGCCAAACAAACAAAAATCGATGCTTAGACAAAGAGAAAAATCATATTCTGGTAAACAGATCTCGAGTAATTGACTTTCATTCATTTCTGCAGTGATAACATGTGCAATATGCTACAAATATAAAATACGTTTGCAACTTTCAAGACTGTTTAGGTGTTCAATATTTCACAAAAACGTAAACACGCCGATAAAATACCTTTGCAAGTTGAGGAGTCCCCAAGGAATACCAGATGGCGTATTAAAAGCGGGTAAAAGTTTGTTTCCAAGATCCCTTGCCTTAACTTTATAAACCTACAAAAAACGAGACATAAAATATAATGAAATTATAATATAGTTTACTATTCAGTTTTAGGATTGGTATTCCCTTGGTTATAGAGAAAACTGATTTGCGCCGAGCTAAAGAAAACTCAAAAGCAAAGAATACATTAGACATCTTAAGCAATCATAACTCTGGTTTGTGCTTAGAAGGATGACTTTTCATCTACAGTAGAATCCACATCAAAGAAACAACCAACGTAAGGAACATCCCCGCAAGGAACATCCCGGTAAGGAAGATCCCCGTAAGGAACATCCCCGTAAGGAACATCCCCGTAAGGAACATCCCGGTAAGGAACATCCCCGTAAGGAACATCCCCGTAAGGAACATCCCCGTAAGGAACATCCCGGTAAGGAAGATCCCCGTAAGGAACATCCCCGTAAGGAACATCCCCGTAAGGAACATCCCCGTAAGGAGCTTCCCGGCAGAGCAAAATAAACATTGGGTCTTCTGAATCTTCTTCGACCTTCCAAGTAAATCCTCTTCACTAAATGGAACCACATTTTAACAACCTTTATATTTTACAAAACCTTGGATATTGCGAAGCTCAATTCGCACTGCTTAACTACAAATACCCTTTTTGTGCCTAACGATTATCTTTCCTATACAAGGTTGTTGTTATAAATGTAAACTTTAAAACCTACTGCAAAACCAAAAAGAAAGAAAAACAAAAAACCAGCCGATCCCCTCAACATAAAAATGGGATATATGTTCCAAATAATATGCTTTAATATGACGAGTTATATTCAATGGCTTTCTAGTTCTTGAATACAAAGAATCTGCATTATTTCTATAGTATCAAGACAACTGACTTGCCTTATGAATTTCCAAAAAACCTTACCGAATTTGATTAGAATAGAATAGGATACAATAGAATAGAATATTAAAAAATGTTATATATTAATGATATAAATAATATAATAAACTTTTTAATACTGTAGCGATTCAAAATCGATTTTTACATTAGCTTATAATCAAAATTTCGAACATTGTAGATTTATTCTTTTCATCAATTTCCACTGCTTGAAGTAAAGATAAAACCTCGTCCTAAAGCTTTATTGTTATCGCTTTGAAAAATTGCCAGTTACAGAGTGTTCTTTAAAGGAGAACTGACACGCAAAAATAACTTTAGCTTATTCTATGCAAAATTTGTCGCTGACTTCAAATCTGGAAAAAGTTTTCTTCTAAGATTCACCGTTTTTCTGATATTTGCACTTTTATCCGTCAATTACGTCACAGCCAGGACTCGGGAATTTCCCGAAGCGGAAACAAGATTATCGCCAGGGGTTGTTAAAATTCTCGGTTGACGTCACAAGTGACATGTTCACAATGCCGTTGTAAAGGCTTTCACCGCAACGGTGAAAGTACAAATGAAGTTTCATGTTTTATTGAAAATAGTCCGCGGTGAAAAGACAAAAAATTGTCAGGCATCTCATTTATAAGTATAAAAAAGCTAGAAAATCTTAGCTACATGTCTGCTAGGACGCCAATATCCACAGAAAATTTATTTTTTTTGCCATGATATCTTCGAACCAGCATGCTTTGAAACATTGAAAGAACCTCTAAGCTTGTGAAAAAGGAGTCCACTTTGTTTGAAAACTGATACCGTTTCTTCAAAGTTTTTACTTTTATAATTACAAATGTAATCGCAACATGGGGGAGGGGGGGATGAAGCAATAGCCAAAAGACAAACGAAATCTAGTGGAGACGGCGGTAAAAGCGATCCTGCAGCCTGCTTTGGGTACAGAAATATGAATTCAAGAAAAAACCTTGGTTGACGGGAGCTGCGAGTGTGACTAAATAATAATTTCACTGAACTTGATTATCGTATTTTAACAGAGGTTGAGATACTAGGGAATAATCTAGTCTAGAAAAAGACTATCCCCTACCCAAGTCAAAATTGTTTGCAAAAGAAGATAATGCGCCAGTTGATATTCCTATGACAACCAAAAATCATTTTTCTTCGACTAAGAAATCAAGTTCTGTGACTAAGAGCTAAGAGCCTATTTCGTAGATCCAGATTTTTCAACAGCCTTAAAGGTAATTCCCGAAACCCTTCACACCCGGTGAAAATGGCATATAATCCGCACAAGTGAGACTTTCAACCCGCCTTTACTATTTAATACCACGATACAGTTAACGAGTTTGAAACATGGAAAAACAATCATAGAATGCTATATTGATAGTGAATAACTTGCAGTTCCGTTGAGGGCATCATAGGCATTTCAGCGAATTAGGCCATACAGACAAAGCAGTCTGGACAAAGACCCCTCAATCTGAAATGAAATTCTAGTTTTACGATACCTGATCCCATTTAGATTGTAGCAATAGCAATGTTTTTAATAGAAACTCCATATCAGTTTGTACTTCCAGTCTGTTCTTTGTTCATAATATCGTCATTGTTGAGCCATGGAACGACTGTCTGCCCCAAGCGGCAGCGCTGGTTGGTAGCAAAAACTCAGACGGCTGAAATTTTCCGTTTGTTTCGAAATCAGTGTAATAAAACTCGGATTCAGAGTCCCGAACCATTGAAAAAGTCAATTATGTGTCAAAAATGCAAAATTAGCTCCTTTCAGATGCACAAAATAAACATTTGTCCGCAGCATTTTCCTAAAGGTTTCTATAGAGAAACACAATACGTGCTGAGAACATGTCACTTGTGACGTCAAAGATGATCGCCCACTCGTGACGATTTTCGCCTCGAGTCTCAAGTTGTCGGAACAATTGTCGTTTCTCAACTTAAAACGCCTGTATTTCAAAAACGGTAACTGTGATTTAAAAAATTTTTTCGATCCCGAAATTTGCTTGTCACAAACTACTGTTTTAGCCAAACTTATTTTTGCGTGTCAGTTCTCCTTTAAAGAGGCACAAATACAAAAATATTGCCATTGTCAAATAAATTTTTTGGTCATTCTAGTGTGTTATGTGAACATAGAAAACAATGACAAAAAGGCTCAATGTTGTTTGAAATACAGAAAAGAGTCGAATTTAGAGCAAGAACATTGAAGCGAGCAAGGACGCCAGTGCCTGCGAGCACGGATATCGGCGAGCACGGATATCGGCGACGTCGTCTGGAGGCCGATACCGGAAGATTTGAACGTCATTATTGTCACGCTGATAAGTGAAAACAAACAAGTTTGGAACGAGAATGGCAGAGAAAGGAAAAAAGAGGACAATCGTTTTCTTTCTCAGACAAGCTTTCACCTCAGATAAGAGAGGGCTATTGTGCCCCTCTTCATATAAACTAGGGTCAGCCCCCGCAGCTAATTTTCAAGGATAGGATTGGAAACAGAGATCCTTTCACAAATAGATTTTATTGTGACAACTGGAAGACTAAATCTTAACTCTCTCTTTTTTCCCTCTTAACAGAGCACGTATAACTTTCGTTCCCTTTCTCCGCATCCACTAATTCCTTGCCCCCGTAGTTGTCTAAAATACTTTTCCCAGGGCAGATTTATGATCCCCAGGGCAGAAAATCCCCATCGACCGAGACCTTCCATGATTATTTTCGGATATCACATGATCAGTCGATTATTTGTTGATGACCATCTGTCCTTAAAAATACTTAAAAATACAGAGCTTTCATCCAATTTTGCCTTTCTGCCTTATCAATCTACACTGGGGTCACAAAAGTATGGAAACGGTGCTAAAAATTGTGGCTCACAAAAGCAAAGAGCCTAAGCCGACAGGTTTTTAAAACAGAAATTTAGCGCTAAGGGGTTTTTCTAACGAACGCTTGCGGCACAAAATGTTTTGCGTAATTCCAATGGCTTTTGAATGAAAATGAATTTGAAAGATTACCTTACTGTTTTGTGAGTGAAAAGAGGAAACGTTGGACCGGTGCTTCAGAAAATTTATAGAAAATATTCGCGAAGGATTCATAAAAAAATGCCTCAAGGTACAGACAAAACTTAATGAGCATAAGATAATTTAATTAAACTTTAAACTTAATACTTGCACCTTTGTTGAGAATTTAAAAGTATTCCCGAGAAGATCATTTTTGCCGAGATATCAGGATTTGGGTCATTTTGTGATGAAAATAGTTGGCTTGCTAAATAACATAGACGTTTGTGGTGTAGAAATTCTTTTCATTAATTTCAAAAGCATAATAAACGTTGAACGTTTTAGAATAATGTTTTTATTAGGGGTTACCGGATCAGGATTTTCAGAATCCGGCCGTAACCGGATTTACCGGATTTCTTCGTGGAATATCCGGCCGGATTCTACCGGATAATCTGACCATTTATAGAATTTTCAGTAATAAAAAGTTTTGAGCCACTTTGCGAAAAAATGTATAGCGAGAAGATCAAAGAGACCTATTCAGGGTTGCCTGATTGAATTTACAAACGAAGGCTAGACTGGTGAGCAATTTCAGCCAAAATGCTCATAAAAAGGCAAAATCAAAAACTCTCTCAAGAATCCATCGAGCAGGCACTGGTTATATTTCTACGCTTGTGCATGTTAGATAATTTCTTAGCTTTGATAAGAATCTTACTTTTTTCCAAAACCCTTTGCTAATATCAAGATAATATTTAGGTTAGGTGATAAAATTTGAAATTCGGTAAACACTTTGTAGTTAACTACTAATTATTCTATGAATGTAGTAATTACTTATTAATTTTGGACGTCTGCTGAAAAGGCCAACAAGGTAAAATTTAAGTAGTAAGCAAAAAACAATTTTTCCAGGCAATCTAAATCTAAAAACCAAAAATGAAAAATTTGGCCTAAAAAGCCGATCTGGCAACCCTGGACCAAATTTGTGAATTATATCATCCAGTCTTCCTGTTTCGTGATGACGAGCACTTTCATTTCAAATCTGTTTTCAAGGCGGGCGCTTGTTTTATCGTCGATATTTTTTAGTTATGGAAAATCCATTTTTAATCACTGTATGAAGGGAGTCTGACTTGGTTTTCCAAATTTTCTTAGTTATGATTAAAGTTCTGGAAAATCCGGCAACTGGCCGGATTTCGGAAACAAATCCGGCCGGAACCGGATTTTCAAAAAATCAGCGATCCGGCGCCGGATTATCCGGCCTACCGGATATCCGGTACATCCCTAGTTTTTATTTTCATGTGCTTAAATAATGAGCAAATCAGAACTTAAGATAAACAAGTCATTAACATCAAACTTAGAGCAACTCACTTTGTGTCAGTATTGAAACTTTAAAATTAAAGTGCACTGCTAACGTCACTTTCTCAGTTATAATTTCTTTATGAAAAAGAAGCTTTAAGCAGTTTGCTTCAAATTTCAACATTTTACGTTCACGTTTCTTCAATAAAAGGACACTTCGTGGTCACCTTTCCTGAATACTCAGAGAATCTTTTACAGAATTGTTTTGAACAATGCTTCAAAGTTTTGCTGAATTTTCCCACTCAAAACAGCAAACCAATAATTAAATTTTCTTTTAACTGTAAGGCAAAGAAATGGCGAATGCATTTTCCCGCCATAACCTATCGTTTCCAAGCCCCTTCACCTCATAATTCTGATTTTGAAATTTGTCGGCTTAGGCCTGTGGTCACTGTGAGTCGCGATTTTGTCTTACCGTTTCTATACTTTTACTACCCCAGTGTATTCTAAGGTCATTTTCGCTTTTGCTTCAACACAACAAGCTTTTATACAAGCAGCTAAATACACAGGAACTACACAACAGACATTCATCTCCCCAGATAGCTCTAGTTCATTAGTAATGGTTTTGTTTTTTCTCTTTGGAATACCTAAGAGAGCAAGCACACATCGTTCACCTGATGGAAATAAATGCAAGATCAAAAAACAGATCACACAACACCATACCATTTCAGACCCACTACTGTCCGTATACAGCCTTAAACAGCAAACATGTATAGCCCATAAAAAAATTTTTTTATATGAATGCCTAATTTGTATTTTGTATCAAATGAGTTGCAATAGATTTATTTCAACAGTCTCAGAAAGTTTAAAAACCTGTGATAAAAATATGAAATTACCTCATCTTTTGTAAAAGCATACATGCTGAGCAATCCACCAAGGAATCGGATGACTATTTCAAATACAGAGACATAACCACCCTGCAAAAAAAAAACATTCCCAATTTAATAATGCAGTACTACAATTATGGGTAGCATAAGATAATTTTGGACTGGGAAATATAAGCTTAACGTTGTTAAAAAACTTACAGCATTGAATTCCAAGCTCAGTGCTACCCAGTCCCTTCCCTTTTTGTATTCTTCAGTCAGACCCATAATGTAAAGTGTATCTAATGCATCTACAATAGAGGCACCCATAGATGATGAGCCACCAAAGATTCCAGCTGAGTGCCCCGTTTTACTAATTGGTTTTAGTTCATTTTGTCCAAAGGCATATTCTACATAACCATCCCAGGCTGTTTTCATCATCTGCAAGACAAAAATGAAAAAAGTTTTGTTAGTTCCAGTGGCAACAGAGGAAAAGTAAAAGGCCTACCAAAAGTGCCAACAAAGAATGTCAGGCCTAGAAATTTTAGCAGTCAGGGAAATAAGCTATGGCAATCTTCACTTACAGGGTAAAGAAACATATGAAAATTTTTAAATAAGAAGGAGTTGTTGATCATTGGTTTGAAGCACATTTTTATAACAAAACTTGCACAACATTCATCAGATTTGTCCACTGCTATGTACTTCAAATCAATTTTTTTTAGTTGGTGACGCTAAAGAAAGGCCAAAGTGCCTAAAGCTAAGCCCTCACGAGGGAAATGGAGGAGGGATTAGCAAGGTAGAGAGAGAGGAAAGATCAAGCTAATTTACTTTTTGTTTTGAAAAAGGACAGGTTGTAAAAGTCTAAGCTGATTAATTTTTTGTTTTGAAAAAGGACAGGTTGTAAAAGTCTAAGCTGATTCATTTTTTGTTTTGAAACAGGACAGGTTGTAAAAGTCTGGGATACAGACAGAGGGCAGAGCATTCCAAAGTTTACAATATCTACGGAGGAAGGAAGAGTTGGGGATTGAGTATGTGCATTTGGCAAAGAGGCTTGGAAAGGGAGAGCACCGGAAGTGACTGGTATTACAAGCATTTTACAAGGGACCTGTGATTATGTCTCTGATCTCCTGAGAGCAATGGCTATGGTAAAATCTATAAAAAAGCCATATCAGCAACACATAGCTGTCAACTCCTAATCCTGTCAGTTTACTTCGAGGTTGATTGAAAAATCAGAAAATTTCACATGATCAATCTAAATCAAATATGGAGAAAAGAGTTGCATAAAACAAAGAAAACATTGAAAAAGCTGAGGATGTATTTGTTCTCATCCACTTAGCGCAAACACACTGTCATTGGCTATTCTGAGTTTGCAGAAATGCCATGTGAACAAAACTTGATATGATGAGTGCAACTACACATCTGCCTGTTTGCTTGGGATTTCAGCTTTATATTTTTTGGCCTTAACTTTTTAAAACTAGTTTGACCATTCTTTACATTTGGATTCATAGATTTGAACAGATTGAAGTATTCAACCAATGTTTTATCAAGGAAAATAATAGGTCTTACCTGTCCATTTACAGTGACTGTTGATTTTAGATAAGACATTCCCTATATCAACTTCTTCACAAAAATTAAGCATCAAATTTTGTGTGCTGTCTGTCAAGACAATCTGTCAAGAGTCTCGTTTTCTATTCATATGGGATATGAACTGCAAATTATCTATTGGGAGAAGTCTGACTTGGAAGAATAAGTCAGATAATGTCTTTTTCAAAGAAAAACCAAGATTTGCACTTGAGGATATGAGGGAAGGTGTACCACTAGCAACTGTGCTAGCTATCAGCCTTTTTGCAACATTAGCACTATTATCCTAGCACATCTCTAGTTTTTCAATAATCTTGCTTCCAGAAATACAATTTTTCTGTGCAACAAAAATTGCCAAAAAAACAAATCACAACAAACCTGTTTAACAAATGACCTTCTTTTAACAGACTCCAGGTCTTCTGGTTCTCCTCCTCCGGGTGGGAGTGGTACTTCCTTTGCATGAGGTACTTGTTTTAACAATTTTTCCTTAATTTCTTTCTGTTGTGCCTCTTTTTCAGCCTTCTTCTTCTCAATAAACTGCTTCTTCTCCTCTGCAATTTGCTTTCTAATCTCCTCATGGCGGTCCTCAGTCTTTAAAGGGGGGTCAGTGCTTGGGTCTTCATATGGCACAATGTCTGTCACTTTTGTTTTAAAAGGAAAAGAATAAAACATTTCTAAACACTATAGTACTAAGTGTATTGTACAAATATTTATGATTATTGCCAAGTGAGCTGTAAAGGGATTATCTTACCTGGATGGGTATAAAGAAAATACACAATGTACCTTGAAATGTGCTGAAAGTCATTAAAAGCAAACTAACTCAACACAGTACTATGTTCGCATCATCAGTTGTTGAAGTTTGACAGTGAACCAAAAGTTACAAAATCTAGGTCTTTATGGCTTCGAATTTCATGCCCAACAGTCAAAGGGGTTAACGACTATAATTCGTCCCATCATGTTATTCAATCTATGAGGAATTGAAGGCAGAAGATACTGTGCAATGTTTAAATCCTCCTGCAACAACTTTAGCTTTGATATTTCAATTCTGGTTGCAAAAGTCAAGCAATGAAGCAGGTAGTAAATTTGCTCCTCTTTCATGAGCCTAGCCTGTTTGCAAGACCTACTGTTTCAGCCACATTACTGGATTGAATTGTTGAGCAATGTTGCTGCCTAAGGGCCTGATTATATGAGAGAAAACGTCCCGTCCAGTCTTTGTAATATGAAAATAGGCCAAATGTGGCGTTTCGCACGTCTTGACTCCTTTGTGCCTGCAATGGCGTGTGATGCTCTGCAATGTGGACCGCTTTTTCATCTGTTGTTTCTCATTCCTGTTGTCAAGAACTATAGGGTGCTGCTTTCAAGGAGACCATTTGTGTTACAAACTGAACAGAAACCAAGGAAATTGACGGAGAAACTATTCTTATTCTTGTTTAAAGGGCCTTAAAGATGTTAAATTTAATTAGATGATAAATTTTCTAGGAAGTAATTATAGAATCTCTCAGAGCTTTCTTCAGTTTTCTCCTCTTTCTCTATAATCCCGGACAAAGATGTTCAGACAAAATTCAATTTTTGTAATTGTTCACTTTACCTTGCCCCTGTAAATATGAATCCCCCTCCCCCCAACCCCAAAGCAATGTTAGATTTGTAGTTCGTATGGGTATACTTTAACAACACTTTGGAAAACAACAAAACTGTTTTTAAATTTGGCAGCTTTGATTTGATTTTCCGTATTTTGATTTTCAAAATACTTAAAATTTTTATGGAAAAATTTTTATTTTGCATGTGCGATGATTTGTACGCCTTGAACAATTTGGGCGTGTTTGGATGTGTGCGACCGCACGCCTTATATTACAAAGACTGCCGAGATCTCATTCTCGCTGTGAAACCCATTTAACTATCAATTTATGATTATATGAGAGTAACTTCCCGTCCAGGCTAGACAGGATAACTTTTGCAAGCGGGATCCTGTTGTTGATCAAACGTTTATTTTCCATATAACCAGATCACCCCGACAAGACAGGACACTTGCCGGGACATTTCAGCATACATGAGTTTTCCCAAAATGGGTCCCTCTGAAAATGAGCAAGAAAATGTGACCCAGGGTTATGACTGACAAAAACAAAATAAAAAAGATGTTCAGTTGGATGCCATTGGTGATTGATTACGTAATAAGCCATTTAGAAAACTACCGTGCTGTAATGGAGTTCAAAGGCAAAGATTTTGATGGAAATAGGCCAGCTCAATACTCTGCATTACGAGTAGAGATGACAAAAGTTTCTGGTGTTGACCAATTTGGTCCAGAACTATTGCTAACAACTACGCCTGAAGAGTTTGAACAATTATCAGACAAGAAAAGAAAGAAAAGAAAAAGAAAATGAAAGTAAGAGAGGCGAGTATCAAGCAAGGATAAAATTGAATTCTTGAAAAAGTTAAAGACATTCGACAACGTTTTTCTAATGCTGAGTAAAGGGTTCAAGAAGTGGAAATGGAAAAATTGTATTGGAACATTTTGATCCTCTGAAAGCTATTTATGTGGGATTCCATCTGACGTATGTTTGGAATGTGGCGTTGAAACTGATGAAATTATTTCTCTGGGCAGTTGTGGAAATGAGATCACTCAGATTTAGACCATTCTGGATATGAAAATTATGAAGAAATGCCAGAAGATTGCCAAAGTTCTCCACTGTCTGATGAAAGTGATATAACACCTAAAACTGGTAAAAGAAAAGCAATCACACCAATCATACCAGAGCTAGTAGACAACAAAAGAAAACATCTGGAGAAGAAGTTGTCAGCCTCCCAGAGAGATGCTGTGTTATTAAGTGAAGCCAAAAAAGATGGCATGCTCCAACAGGACATGAATGGAGAATTAAAACGCCCCTTCCCCCCACTAGCTTACAGGTCTAGCCTGACCCGACAGGTACCACCTGGCAGGGTTCCCTAGCTCAGGGCTACAAGCCATTGCCAACAGCTAACTCAGCAGGAGACCGGCAGGGAGGGCAGATGAGCTATGACTCCAGGGATCAATGGCTTCGGGTGGAAGAACTCCTGGAAAGAGGGATAGTGTCCCTTTAAAAACACAGTGTAGAAGTGGTTCTGGGGGCCCATCTCTACTATTGGCCCTTAGTTTTATCTATGACCATGACAACAAACCAAAACTCATATTTTCGGATAGTTGGAGGGTCATGGTAGCCTACCTTCTGATAGAAGATGATACCTGATGATGAAAGAAGATGCTACCCCCAGGCGTGAATTAATAAACACAATATAAAGGTCCAATGAGACATTCACAGATGCTATGAAAAGTGTAGGGGAGTCTATGAAGCTTCTGAGCCAAAGTATAGCAAATTCCATGGAAGCATTGTCTTCCACCAGCACAGCCTATGTTTTATCCAAATTCAGATTTAATAGGGAATATGTTGCAACAGAGGCCAGTAATAGAGTATTATAACTATCAACAGCCACACACTTCTGCACCAATTTACAATGAAAGGAATGTTAAGGCTGCCTCTGCTATGAATATGACAGGCAGAGAGGAAAGCACTCCACCATATCAAGAACAATTTTAATTCGAATGAAACTGGAGACTGATGAATTTGAAAAAGCCACTCTCTGTTTAAAAATTGATCCTAAAGATTGTTTACTTCATGACAGTATATTCTGAGAAGACACACATTTGTTATGTTAAAGGGAAACCATGGTATGGGCAGATATGGCTTCGCCAGTGGCTATAAATGATCTGGCAAACAGTATTTCATGTACTCAGTTATAACTTCTCTGATTAATTCTCCTTCATCAGTGTCACATGAATAAATTGAATCGGCTTTGTTAGCTTGGCAATCATCCTTTTTATGAATTTCAGTCATGTGTGCTTTGACCAAGTCTTCTTTGATGCTCAGATTGGATATTTCACAGAAATTGTGAAGCACAAAACATGCATAAATAACTGTTGGTACATGAATCAGTTTTATGTCAGTTGGCTTTGATATGATAGCCCAACGAGATTTAGGCTGACCAAAGGCACATTCAATCTGATTTCTGGCATCTCTTAACATGTTATTAAACATTACCTAGTCCTTTGTCCTGCAGGTTGAATACTCTTTTAAGAAATATGGTGTGAGTGGATAAGCAGGATCCCCAATAAGATAGTTAAGGACTTTTGATCAACCAGGAAGCAGGGTATGATAGGTAATTGAGATTTTGCTGGAGAACATATTTTGGCAAACTTTTGAATTTGCATAGATCTTTGCATCATGCAAAGATACAGGCCATTGACAATCAACATCCATAAATATCCCTTTGCAATTACAAACTGCCTGATCTGATAAAGAAAAGAAGTGTTTGTAATTATAATAATTATGTGAAGATTCTGATGGGCGAATTATTGGAATATGGGTTCCATCAATTGACCCCAATGCTTGGGGCATTTCGAATTTTATTTCCATTCAAGTAACTGTCTTTTTTATTTCTTCTTCAATTTTTGGCAAATACAGGAGTTTTGGACCAAGTTTTTCTTTAATGGCATCACATTTAATGCCAAATGTATTTGCTGTCATCCAAATGGATCCAGTATCTTTCAAATAGTACAAACATACAACAATCCTTTTGCGGCATCCAGTTTCGTATGATTTGGAAAAGTTTTATCAGGAGAAACATATGGTCTCAGCATTTCAACCAGTTCATACAATTTCTCTTTAGTTAAATGAAAGCTTTTTACTCATTTCTGATCGTCATGCTTACCATTTAAAATATTTTGCCAGAATTCATCGTAACTGTCAATTTTGTACCAAACTGATCTTGGCCTATGTTACCAATGTTTTAGTCTCCTTGCTCCTAGCTTGCGAAAAAAATGGTTCTTTTTTGCATCGATAATTCGTCATTGGTGTGTAACAAATGTTTTTACACACTGTTGCAGTAGTATGGTCAAAGATACTAAAGCAAAATATTGAGAAACGATCGTGTTTATTAGTATCTTCTTCAATAAGCTCAACTCAAATTTTGGCGCCAAAACATGCGCTTCTCCCGTCTGGCTGGGACGTTTCTCTCATATAATCATAAACTGATATTTGAAAGGGTTTCACTGTGAGAATGAGATCTCTGCAAATGCCCTGTCCCGGCTGGACCTGAGTAGGGTCTGCAAATCAGTAAACAAAAGCCTGTTTTGAATCATGTGAGGTGATGGTTCTGTGTTTTCATTTAACTATTTGTGATTAGCCACAGCATGCTCCTTTAGTAAGTGTTTTAGACCTACTCTGTTCTACTGTTCTTAGCTTTTGGAGAATTAACATGCACACAAGTCAATATTCTGAACAAATTCACAAGATCCACACATTTCTTTCTCTGCTTCGATATAGACATCTCTGTCCATGACTTGATCACAAATTTAACTTTAATCTTACAGGCAAATGTTTGAAGATTCAAAATGCTGATGGCAGGAGCAAGCTTTTGCTCACTGGCTTTGCATGCTAAAGAACCCATATTGTTCAATAATTCATTCAATTTTTTCATACTAAGAGACAAAGTTGATGGTGGCAATTAGACAGAAGTTCTTTGATGTGTACATCAAATTCTTAAAGTCATTGACACCATCAGTTAATTTGTGTTTTTGCCAGTCTACAGAGTAAAGCTGATTTTGACAAGCTTTGGGTGCATCAACAGCCCTGGAATTTATTAACTTTCCAGCAGACATATACAACTAATAAGGTTAATTTTTTAGGTGTCTTCCAATTACCTATCTAAATTGAACATTTTGTCAAAGATTCCATTGGAGGATAAGAAAAATAGTGGGGAACTATACAAGGTACAACATCAAAAAATAAAAAATAACATCACTCTCCAAAACCAGCACTTGTTTAACCTTACAGTAAATTTCTAGTTTCAAAGCAAAACTTCAATAGCACCCGGAGAGCATAGAAAGGCGAAAGGTGACACCATTTGCGAAAATGATGTTGTTGTTCAAGACCAGCTACGTGAAATGTGAATTATTGTTACCGTTATTTGCCTTTGATAAGAGAACCGTAATGCCAAAGAGGGAGGTTTAGTAACTAGGCAAGCCTGGAAATCTTTATTTCTAAACAAAGCCCTGCAAGAATGAATGGCAAAGTGTCGGATGTTCTACTTTATCCACAAATTAACGTAGTTGCAACCAAACATTGGTATGTTGAGCACAGTATGGCCTATCCAAGCTATTTCTGGGCCTACTACGTGAAGTGCACCACAATATATTATAAGACATCAAGTGATTTTTTGTACACAGGGTAATATTAAGGCAAAAGGTCTTAAAGAATCATATCCTTACATTTTGCCTCTGATGGCCTTGGAAGCTGCCCTGCAATATCTTCGGGTCCGTGTTTATTTATTGTAACCGTCGTTGGTGGACTCCAAACAAGTGCATAATTTGATAAGTATGTATCACGTAGCTCCGGAACAAAAAATAGAGCGCCACAACAAATGGTCATGAATACTAGAAAAACCATGCAAAGTAAACATTTTTCCTTTTTCCTCATGGTTAATCTGGATGTTAATGGATTTATTCTAAACAATCTACTTGCCATCCCAACATCCCGTGAATAAAGATGTGAATAAAGCGAAGCCTCCGTTCCAATCGGCTTTGACGAGTTGAAGAAACATTGCACATGCGTATTGATTCATCGACACGACATGCAAAATACGTCATCAAAAGAAGCTTTTTTCATAAAAAAAGTTCTGCTGCGCCAGTTCAGATCAATTCAGTTCAGTTCATTTTAAAAATCCTTAATACAAACCTTTTAAAATCACAAAAGATAAACAAGGTCACAAAAGATAAAATAAATTACAAAGAATGAGAGAAATAATGTAAAAAGTTTAGATAATTTTACAAAAACCAAGGCGATTTGAGCACAGGATTTGCTTAAAGGAGGAGCTTTCTCAGTAGATAGACTAATCGAAAAGAGAGCACCCCTTGTAGTAAAATCTATTAATTGAGTATTTACACCACTGGCTGCTCCGGAGGAATCTATAGGACCAACGAAAACAACCGCCACACAACCTCTGCTCCCTCTGAAAAGAAAATAACTGCCCGAAAGCCATGCCCATCCATCCCACACCTGAACCATATTGCAGGATGTTTTCTTGAGACATGAAATATCATTTTTGGAGTCTTGTCGGGTATCATAGTGATGAACTGATGCCAAAGTTTCAAAAAAATTGTAAAATCATGTTAACAGATTCATAAACCAGCTTTAACTCAAACAAATAATTTGTTTAAGAATTTTCAAATCAGAGAATATTGGCGTAGATGGAGGCGAAAAACTCTTGAAGGCAATAGCTCTAACAACTTTCTTCTACAGAAGATAGATTGGCTTTGTATGCACTTCATGAGTCAGACCCCAGACAATGGCTGGAGAAATGAGGAAGGAGGTTGGTTAAAACACTAGTAAGTAAAAGATGCCTTAATTTGAAAAAAATACCATAAGTTCTTGACAACTTCTTGGTAAGTTCGCTTAAATGATATTTTCAACTTCAAATTCATCCAAGAGGAGACCAAGGAAATGGAAATATTTAGTCTGTTTCACATACTGATTACCAATTTTTATATTAATACTGTCATTCAAAGGGTTTAGAGCTGAGTGAAAAAAGACAAAGTTTGTTTTATTTACATTCAAGGCAAGTTTATTAGCATCTAGCCATTTTTTGACATGTTTAAGCTCCTTGTAGACCACTATTTGAAGAGTATTTAGACTGTCTGATTCAAATTAGATATTTGTATCATCAGCAAAGAGAAAGAAAGATAGCTCAGAAGATGAACTGCGAAGACCATTTATGTAAATTAGGAACTTGAAATTTACAGAAGGCAGCCCTTCTTGAATAAAGGGATGACCTTGGCTTGTCTCAGTTTTTCAGGAAATATACCAGACTGGAAAGACTCATTAATGATTTGAGAGAGGGGGGAGGAAATTTGAGGCGAAAGAACTTTTAATAACTTGATAAGGTATGCTATTCGGACCCATTGATTTGCCGATTTTAAACAAATTTATTACATCTGATATTTCATGTGAGGCTGCAGGAGATATGAAAAAAGACTGTGAATTTTTATTCAGATAATCTAAGGGAGACTTTTGGGACCTGGGTATTCTCTTTCTAACAACATCAACTACATTTGCGAAAAAATTATTGCAAATATTAACAATAGATGCTGAATCAATTGTTAGGTTACCAATTGTCAGTGACTTAGAACTCACTGTCAACATCTGTATCATTAAGTTTCTTAATAAGATTTACATGGGAGTTTTTAATGCTAATAATGGACTTTATTCCATTCCATAAGAGCTTCATATTATGGGGGGGGGGATGGGGGGTGGCTAGCCGAGGGCCAGCTAAACCTTCGCGACCCTATGTTATATAACTAAAGGTAACTTTGGTCTGTTGCTCCACTGAGTTTTATATGCTTAACAATAATGCATGAACATTTAAAGGATTATAGCTTTGTAAAGTTGATTGGTAAAATTTTCTTGGGATGTTATATAATGGACATGGAAAGGAAAAGCCTAGTCGCTCGCACAAATCTTCCTTCTTTGATCTTACATATCTCTCGACTTTAAACCTCAATTTTACAGGGGTATAGGGTGATGTGACAACCCCGATTCTTCATGGTCGGTAAATATTCAGTTGGTCCATAAAATTCTTGGTTGGTCGTCAAAGCCTCCTGTCGGTAGATTAAATAGCACTTCTTCATGATCTCTTTACCTTGATCAACCTAAGTAAAAATGTTCCGCTACTCTGGAGAAGCCAGTGACACAATGAGAGAATTAGCTGCACAAATAAATGCAAATTTGCCAGATGAGCTGGGCCTCATAGAAGCAATTATGTTGAAGAATCTCTGTGCTTACGATACAAAGACGACACAGTCTTCACTGCAGACTCCGAACAAGGCCTCAAAAATCTCCTTCAGACAAACAGCATGGACTCTCCTTAAGTGCAAGTAAGACGGAATAAGTGGTTGTGTCAGAGCAAACTGTCCCACCACAATGCAACAATATCACGGGCGATGACGACCACCAACAAGTCAACCAGTTCAGGTATCTCGGGTTCACAAAGAAGCAGATGGAAGATGCGTTACAGAGATTAGAGAAAGAACAGCCATGTCAAAAGCAACACTCAACTGGATGCTGCCACTTTTAAACAATAGAAACATCACCATAAAACCAAGTTGAGAATGCCCAAGGTCAAGGAATTACCGGTGTTGTTACTTGCTGTACGGGCGTGAATGTTGGAACTGCGACAAAGCGTCAGTAGAAGAGTTAGAGGCAACTGAAACGTGGCTTAATATCAGTTGGAAAAGAATCAACATGGAGAAGAAGTTCTTCGAGGGGCTGGCATGAAAAGAACATTCTTGAATACTATCAGAAATAGATAAATAGAGCATATAGCGAGGAAGCCTTCGATAGAACATTAACTAACGGGGTAGGGTGTGGGTGAAAGATGACATACACGGAAATCTGTGAAGCTGTTCATCAACCAAGATGTTACATCAGCCAAGCTAATCTAAAAGAACAACATGGAAGGCCATGTCTGTTCAATATCTAACAGTTGAACAGAGAGAGGGAGAGTGAGAAAGAGAGAGAGAGAAATAGGCACAGTCTCCGTGGTACCAGCACTTTTATAACTCTCTTTTAATACTGTAATGAAAAACTTTATCACTTTCTGTTTACGTTGTGGTTCATTTATAGAGAGACGTTTCCTAGATAAAAGCTCGTGCGTTGTGTCAATCGGATATAAAATCGCTGTGTCATGATGCTCATCTAAATATCCTCTGCGTCGTTCTTGCTGTTCTCCAGGTAAACTGCAAAAACTGTTACTCAGTTTATAAGCAGATTCCCAACAATGTCGTATTATGATTACGCACTATGTTGCGAAATAGCACACATAAATATTTGCGAAATGTTTTTCGTTACCGTGGGAACATTGGCTTGAAATAGAACTGTCATTTTTGCAACCTTTACAATGATATCGGAAATTCGATTTGGAATAATCTAAACCGTTGCAAGAGGCTTTTATCCAACAACCCTCAGTGGCATCCAATGCCCTTTAGAAAATCCTCCAATCGCCTTTTCTTTTATTGCAACATTTTAAATCGCGTATAACAATAAGGTGCCATCTAAACAGAATATCACTTAACGATTCAAATCTATGCAAACACCATGTTATAATCAAGAAAGACTAACGGTCCAAGAACAGATCCTTGCGCTACGTCTGTAAGAAAAGCCGTCAATCCAGGGCATTCCCATTTCACAAAGACACTTTTCTGTCTATTGTTTCAGAAATCAGATAGAAACAACTGCAATTCAGTTTGTGAAGAAAATGATATCCATAATGTGTCAAGTGATTCTGCCAAGTTTAACGTTTTGCTTATTGCTGTCAATTGGGTAATAATAGAACCTTTAAGTTTAAAACCTAAAACATTCGTAAGACCTGGTGCATTGAGGTTAAATTCATGATAAAGAAGAGGGTTAAAAAGGTACATAAGTTCAGTATTTACTCAATGGGTAGAAATTACTGAACGCACAAAATAATCCTCTCTTCCTTCCTGCTTTAATAAAACATTGGAAAAAAATTAATCTGTAACTTTTATAAAAATCTTGCAAATTTTCTCTTTTAAGGTTACGGTAAACGTTTTGAACACGAAAATTGGTTTTTCCTTCCTAAAGGCCAAACGGCTCAAGGAATCTGGATAAACTATATATCATTCGATGCACAAGATTATGGCGTATCTAGCCAGATAAATGTATTGGCAAATAATGTTAAATGTTATTTTCCATGCGAATTTACTGGTCAAAAAGTGTACCACCTTCAAAAGCTATTGTGTACCCTTGCGTTTGAGGTAACAAAATCTGACTTAGACCAGCAGGATGTGCAGGTCCTAAGCTACCAAAGTGTGTCTCAGATTTTTTAAATTTCTCCTCTTCTTGAAACTATACCCTGTCAAAAGTTGGCAAATAATTTTTCCACCCTCCCGCAGCTGTATTTGGGTATAAAAGACGGACCAGAGAAAAAAAAAATTTTGAGACACACTTTGTTTGCCCAACGTTTACCCTGGCCGTGTGCAAATTTTTGAGCCATTCGATTGGTTCCTTGGGTACATAATAGCTTTTTCGTACCTTCATGTAGAGGAATTTCGAGTCCGGAGAAAACGGGATTTTACTGATCGCACTTGCAAGATACACTCGTAAACCACAGTGTAATCCGGGTCAAGTCACTTGAAGATTTAAGATCAATAAGCCTGGTTAAATAAACACGGCCGTACATTGGATATATGGATGTGCCATGCGATATTGTAAATGAGACATGCGACCACAACCGCAAAGCAACGATAATCGGCTTAACAGGTCAAGAGATTTTCAGGCCTCAACTAAAAGTTTTGATAAAGAAATTATGAAAACCTTCGTTTACATGGGATTTTTTCTACTTTAAAAATTTCTGTTTGTTTCAAATTTGGTATCATTGTGTGCCTTGAAAGTTCGGCTACTTGAATGTGAAAAAATCGAAAAAATGATGTTTTCATCCAGAAAACGTTTACCGTAACCTTAACCGTAAATGGAAATGAAAGCTCAATTTTATTTCTTTTGGCACAGCAACTCCCCTAACAGTTTGACTTTTTGCGTCCACCAAGGCTATTATCAAGGATCGACTCAAGTCATTATTGAAATACCACTCATAGAAACAAAAATAACATGATTATATGGTTTCTGATTTTTGTCTGGTGGATCTCTCAAAATTCTATTCAATTCAAGCTAACAAATTAAAAATCACATTTTTCAATCAACGTCGCAGTTCAGACTGATATATTACAATAAGCATGCATTCTTCAAAGAAATTAATTTCCTCTTTAAAAGTTTACTCAGTCGAATCTTCTTGCTGCTCACTGTGTCTTCTTCCTGGAAAAGGTAGTAACTTTTGTGAACAATAACATAATCATTCTTGGCTAAATCTAGAAGCAGTAAATATACCTAGAGGTAAATCTAGAGGTAGTTTATAAATAGATACAAAATAAAAACATAATACATAACATGAAACACAGCAAATGAATTTCACGTGCAAACAGTCATTTCTTCAAACTGAAGGCAATCTAAGAAGTATTACCTTGGCGACGACCAAGTACAGCAAGCATTCGTAGCATGAATGAAGCAGGTACTGTTATGGTATCACGGGTCTCTTCCAGCATTTTTTCATTTCGACTTATGATCTATAAGAAATTGTAGGTTCGTGCATAATGAATTGTGAAATATCTCTATTTGCCGAGGAACAGGCAGTGTGTAAACATTTTGGCGGTTAATAGATCCCTCAAAAACATCGTTGTTGACAGATTTCCGATAAGCAACAAATCTTCCAGGGCAGTTGTTTCTATTCAGTACCTATTCAGTCTATTCAATCATTCAGTACACAAAGTCGTCAGTAATCACAAACACATTAATCATATACGGTCTAAAGCTCATTCATAAATAATATTTTTAGTTTGTTTAATGTTGTATTATGCCTTTTTATACCCTATATATAAATGAACATTCAAAAAAGGTTCCATTAGGTCACATCTACCCAGCAGAAGATCGCCATGGAACAAAAATTTTTCCAAAATGGTACCCATAATTCCGCACATAATTTTAAAAACCGGTGCTCATAATTCCACACTTTTTAGTAAAAATGTACCCCTAAATAGTGGCACGTCCCCGTACGTCAAACCTGTTAAGTTACCCCCCCCCCTTCTCCTAAAGAGAACAAATAGAAGTGTTGCAGTGAAAAATGCTTCCCTGTCTACAGGAACTTGAAGTGACCGAGCGAGCTTCAATCAGCCTTGTTCCTAAAACTTTCTATAGCTCTAGCCGTAGTTCGGGTTTCGTATTTCTCGTGACGGAGCACTTTTGTTACAAACGAATTTTTCTCTACATGCCGTGTTGATGAAAGTGTGTCATAACGAGGGTAAACTTGAAGCAAAAATGGTCTGCTTATTCATGATTAAAAGGTGTTTTTCATTAAACGAGGTGGTAAAGCGTACTCTATAACTTCAACATTGTTCCTATGGGGAGAGGGGGTGGCTGAATCAACGACAATCGTTCTGATCACACACACATTGTAGCGAAGGGGGGGTTACCCAAAACGTTTTTTATTCGAAACTATGGAGACAAGGATGCAATCTTGTTGTAAGATGTAGGACGTTCACAAGCTTGAAGAGCAACTTTTCTCTACAACAGTTCATTGAGGATAGATTTTAAACCTACTTGTATGAAGAGAGTTGCTGAATGAATTTTGCTAATAAAAACGTCATCAAATTATTCATGACCTTTTGAAGGATCCTTTAGAAATAAATATTCTCTCTACGCTCTCTAGAAAAAGAAGTTGTAACAAGAAGCGTAGAAAGAAAGAAAGGTGGGTAATACTCCTTTCAAGCACTAAGGGAGTGCATTGATATACAAACCTCATCAATGTTCATCAGAATATTAGGCTCTGTTGACAACGGTGCCCATACTTTGATATCGTAGTCAATACCACTAGTTGCTAAAACTGCAATGGAAAATATACTCTAAATTGATTAAGTATTCGTAAATATGTGTACTGAGAGTCAGGTAGACGTTTTCGATTGACTAGCTTGCCAAAGCATAGGCGTCAAATCTTGATTGGCTGCGAAAGGAATCGCCAAATCCATAATAACTGCTGAAGAAAGGGTGTTAAACCCGTACGTATTCTGTAAAATTAATTATCAGTTTTTAGCATCCACTCGTATTCGTAAGTTTCTGCCGTTGAGTACAATACACATTCTCTTTTTTTATGACACTTATAAACAGCAGTAATGATAACAATATTGATGTACCCTATCTTAGAAATTCTCTTTGCCTCTTAACTGTCTTGAATATGTCTGTAAGCGGCTGAAGTCAAAAACATAGAGCCAATCAAAAGCACCATTCTTCCTCTCACATTACTTTGATCCATAAAGAGATAAAAATTGCAGCTTAACGTTGGTCACTACCCGATAATTATGCTTAGAGAAGTGTCCGAGTGGGAAATGTGCTTTACAATGATGTTTTCCCACTTTTCTGCTGTATTAAAAATCGCAATCGCATCAATTCAAAGTCAGACAGTGATCGCACCATAAGCTTAAAACAACGTACAATTTCAACTCACCTGGATCAAATGGATGAGGTTGTACACAATTAACTACGTGTTGATCTCCTTCTAAAACTGCAACAAGACTTCCATTGAACCGGTCCCAAATGAAAACTCTTCCACAATCACTTCCACTCAAAACAAAGCTGCTGCCCCAGAAACTGGCCTCCTTGATCTGTAATTAAAGGATAGCAAAGACTTTAAGTAAATCAACAAAATTTGTCAAATTAGTTTGAAATTCACACAAGGAATGAAATGGTTCCCAGCACACATGGCAGCTACCCAATCCTCAACAACGTGCAAATGAAATAAATTGACTGCAGACGTATTTGCAGAAAATCGCATTAATTTTAAGGCGTTCACACTAATCAAATATTCATATGATTGGACGACGAATGGTTGCAGGACCAATCACATTGAGTCTAGTTATTTACGATTTGAGCTTCAGGTGATGGTTTATTAACGCGTAATGGTAAGTAAGAGGGCATATTCATCGACTGGCAGCAAAAATAATAAAGAGAAAACAACAATCAACTGCTTGCTGAGGTGGAATCGAACAAAGACTGAAAATTCAAAACGAGCTCATGATTGAAATACAGCAACTTTTTATATCAACAGTCAAAACTGAAACTTTTGAATCAATTTCATGTCGATGACCCTGTTCTGACCTTCATGCACCCTGAAATAACTGCATAATTCATTGAACAAATGTGCCTTATACTTGGCTTAATAAACTGTGTTTTTATAGGATTCGAGCTAGAACATCCCTACAGGCTTCCCTAATATAAAACAGAAGAAGGAAAAAATTGCAGGCTGCAGCCTAAAATCTCTCCTAGATAAAAAGTTTTCAGAATCATAGAAAAGGCACCAGGTGACATTTTACTTATTTAAAACTGTTTAAAAATGAAAGGTGTTTTAAATAATGCTAGTTTTATAATCGTTCCTACAAAGAATCAGAAAAATTAATAATAACGCGATTTATATTTCTCAGTCTTTTGAAAAATAGCCCTCACGGTAGTATGATTATCATCAGAAATGCTTGCACATCGAAACTTCACTCATCAGCATAGAAGTGAACGTCCAAAACAAGAAAGATAGCCTGGTGCATTTTGAACAGTGCCATATACCGATCTAATTCAATACTAATTAGTATCATTTTGTTACGAGTCTGATCTTTCACGTAAATCTGTAGAAATAAGTACGATTACTACATGACTTCTGAACATGCATTCCAATCCTTGAATTTAAAACCAATCAGTGTCAGTAATACTTATGCTAGCTTGACAAATGGACACCCAACTTGCTCAATAATATGGCAACGCATAGAAAATGGCATGAAAATGCACAAATATTACCATTACGAGTCATGCTAAAAACTTTTAAATGCATAAAGTAAACGTCATTTGCTAAAAATGTAAAAAAGCATAAAAAACGAGAAATGCATTATCAGCAAAGTAAGAATACATAGGCTGTAACGTGCTGAGACACATGCAACATTGTCAAAATGCAAGCGAAGAGCCGTTTAGAACGGTCACGTACAATGTTGTATCAAGTGTCTCAAAACAAAAATGCAGGCAAATTAGCATCCAAATGATACACACATACATACCATTGTACGCACATTCCTGTGGCCTCTGAAGCACATGAGCTCATGTACCTTTAGAGAATTGGGATCTTGATAACCTTTAGCTGCAGAAAGATCAACATTTCCTCTTGATGTTCGAAAAAAACGCTGAATTCTGGTGGCTGCATCAATCCTTTCTTCATTAGAGCAAGTTTCTGACTCTGTTGCCAATGCAAAGCCACCATTAACATCCGCTTCATTATTATTTTCCCTGTCGAATTTGACAGAACGTTCGGTCCGGCTTTCTACATTGGCGTCATCACTGCGGCTGTTCTTTTGCCTCCCGTTATCTTCAATCGGAAGATCACGTTGACAGGAATCATCAATCCTATGCGTGCAATGTTGGTTTACAATCGGTACTTTAGTCGAAAATTCAGAAGAGCTTGATGCAGAATTGTGTTGGCCATGGCCAACGGGGTAAGAAACACTTTCAAGTTCCTGATTATTTTTAAAAGAATCATTTCTAGATGAATCTGTCATTGACTGCATTGGTGCTTTGTCAGTGATGCAATCATTACATGCTTCACAATCACCTGCATTTGAATTAGTCATAGCGTCTTCCTTCAATCGGTCATTGTCAGCTGAGATTATGTCATTTTCATTGGTTTTTGCATGGTCTGTACATGGTTTGCAAGTGAAACTTTCTTTCGTTTTACTTTTCAAACGACACTGGCAACATATTAAGGCTTGGCAATTTGAGCAATTATTTAAATCACTATCCTCACTAACAGATTTAGCATCAAAACAAGTACAGCATTGACAGCAGCGAGAAATATGCGACGAATCTGGCAAATTGTCATCGATCGTTGGCTGCTGAAAAGTGCTGTCAATGGTCAACGACGAGCCTGCACGCAGATGGTCCGCTGCATGATTATTTGAACCAACTTCTATATCATGGTTTTCCTCAACGATATCTTCTCTCACCGAGTCTGACACCAACGGTCTGTCATTTGCCGACTCGCCATCATCTGTTTCTTGCCTACGGGCTGGATTCATGCCATCGTGTAAAGCATCCTCAAGCCATCGACTAAATACACCCGAAATCCTCTGCATTAGCGAATCTAGAATGAATAGGAGTCAGCAGGCTAAATTTAAATCAAACTGGCTCAAAGTGTGCAAAATGGGTAGAAAGTGATCCGAAGAACAACCAACACAGGAAGCGCAATTGCCGTTGAACTCTATAACGAGAAAGGACACAATTTATCCGAAGTGTTCACTTGAACGATAGCGAAATAGCCAAACTAAAATAATACTATACGGGATTGAATACATATGATACATGGCTAAATGACTTGTGCCTTGCAGACGAAGTCAAACTCATAGCCGAAAATGCAGAAGAAACCATGCTGCACAAGATGTGAATCAGGAATGAAACGTGCCAAATAAAGATTAATACTAGCAAATAAACATTACCTTTTTAGCTAATTAGTGTGATTCTGTAGATCCTACTATATAAAAAGATCATAGATTCTTTATCAAAACAAAAGGAGCTTCTTTTTTTATACACAGTCTAAAAAAGTACATTATACAAGAACAAGATTACAAAGACGATGCAAATGGGATGGCTACCCATTGACCTTAACACAAAACAATACAGTAACACCAAAGGCAATACCAAAATCTTGTTTAGTCCGTGCGGATAGCTGGTTCGATCAAAAGACAAAGAGGCTACAACTTGAAAAGAAGATAAAATTTGGACAAGATTTTGGTGTGGTCTTTAGTGCTGATTCTACACTTCTATACATTTAATGCTAAAAGATAAATAGAGAAGGATGAAATGTTAGATAAATTAAACAATTGTGGTATTTTCTGGAGCTTCTTACATGAGCACATAATCTTTTTTAAATTTTCCATAAGGACTCTAAATTACCTAAAGAAAGCAAAATTGAAATCACAAACTACACTCTTTTTTTATAAGAACAATTTTATAAGAACACGAGCCTCAAAACTGGTCAAAAGTTAAGAATAAATTAAGAACAAGCTGAGGCTGAGCTTCTGCAAAATGCAATTTTAAACAACGTTTTTTCTCAATATCGAGGATTTTTGGCGATGTGTGGGGGCTATTTCGGTGAATATTCAAATTTGTCAGCAAATTAAGGCTATCTCACTCACTTTGTTGGCAAATGAGGCCTAAAGACCTCCTTAGAGCGAAAAAGCTAGCCTGAACATATATTTACTGGTTCTTATAAAGAAAGAGTGTATCAGCGATTTCTAAGATCTGCGTTGACAATAAATTTCCTGTTCCAGTAAGTCACCAGGCCTATTCCTTGCAAAGGCAGAAAAACTCTCCCAGCAGCTACAGCAGCTTCTAGAAATCGTACTTCTACACTTAAATTAAATGTTGTTTGTAATATTGTAAAAGATAATGGGCAATCTTGGCCTGGATGTCTTACAAGCAAAAAACACCCAGGGTATTCGGGTAAACCCACTTTCTCATTCTTGTTAGCTCTCTATTGCGAGACATATTTACAAAAGTCTCTCTCCAACGTGGTGAAGAGAACTAAAGATTTTTCAGAACGCAAATTGTGTAGAAAAATTTTAATTAAAAGGGCACAAGAGAAATTAAAATTTCATACTTGGATCACGTGACTGGATTTGCTCCTCATCTTCAGGTCTTGAAGACGGACCTGTATCTGACCAGTCACCACGCAGTCGTAGTCGTTTAATTGGCGGTAGGCGACTCAGTGGCGCGCTCTGACAGTCATCCTTAATGGCAGACGAAGCGTATGAGCCAGACTCGTCACACGATTTCGTGTTTTGATGATTAATTGAAAACAGGTAAACGTAATCACTGCAGTAGCTGACTAACAAGTTTTCTCCACTCTCACTGTAAATGATGAAAAGCAAACAGTCCATTCTTTGGCTGAATAATAGTTCAAAGCAGTTTCACATTCTAATATATATTCAGGGCTGACTTCTAAGGGGGGAGTGGGCTCAGGGGGGCCGAGCCCCCTTGTTAAAGTTGTTCTCGAATAAAGGGGGAGGGCCAAGCCCCCCAAACAAATTTGCATTAGTTGTGCTTTCTAAAATCCCTCCGTTAGCCTTAAAAATCTAAATATGCCTTACTTGAAAACATCTTAACGCAGAGTGCGCATCAATTGTTAATTCTCTTATCTGTAGCATTTTTTTCGAGTTGTTTCATATTGTGATAAATCCTGTTTCCGGTCTCCCCGATGCTGAATCGCATTCGAGGCCGTCCTATAAAGAACCATATGTAACTATCAATGTTTCCGTCGAGGCTGCGAGCCCTCGTTTCATTGCTTCCTGTTTTTTTTTCAAAACTCGATTGAAATTCTTGTTCATTGGGTTCTTGTAGCAGACAGTTATCATTGAATCGAAATTGTTCAAGAAACAGTCTTTGAATCGAAAGTGTTCATAGCGGTTGGACGAAAATTGTTGATATATAGCTTACAGAATAGTGGATTAATAATTGTTCTTCAAGTCAGTTTATAGTCTGATAATAATTTATACTATAGCTTATACTATAGTCAGTTTATAGCATTGGCACCCGAGAGAAAAAAGAGAGTTATTAAGTCAAAGGAGGACATGAATTCTCTTGAGCTGATGTTTACGATATAACTCTCACAAACTAAATATAAATGTTCTATTCTAGTTTTATTATGATGTTATCTTGCAATTTTTATGGTTATTCAGACATTTGTCATTGTTTTCTACACGGTTTGGTTTGCTTAAGCACTGGTTATCATATTTAAATCGATGGAAATATGGGCGTGGTCAGAAAAAAACTACACCCCTTTCATGACGTTGCCCCTAGAGCCCCACTTTTTAGAAATCACCACTGCATTTATTCAACAGCTTAGAACATTTAACATAGATTAGTGAAGAACATGTTGAGTGAAATCATAGCAATATGCAGATTGCAGGGCCCGAGAAGATTTGCTCTGTTCTCCTTCCAATAAAAACATATGGTTTATGAACCATATCTATTTCTTCGGTGTACACAAAAATTGTTCATGGAACTGGCATTTTAATTAAATGGAAAGCAAACGGAATGCCTTAGTGTTTCATTTGTTAAAGTACCTTAATTCTTAATGTCCAGGCTCTGAATTCATCAACGCTGGTAAATTTTAACTCACTTGCTGTCCGCAGAATTCACTCTGATTTTTAGGAATATGGTCTGTTGATCAAGCAATAAATTTTCACCTACTGTTGACTGGGTTTTTGTATTTTCACTGAACGGTGCATCACCCTTACGATTTCCTGGTGTTAAATAAAATAACTACGACCAGTAAAATGTGGAATTTGGTAGATTCTTAGGCCAAGTAATTATTAGATTCAGGTTGCACAAGTTGCAACTTCAAATCATTTGGTGATTTGAAAGGCAATGACCTATCTATAAGGGCCTATCTATCAGTAATTCGGTAAAGGTTCTCCTTTTTTATTCTTTGGGTTGTTGTCCTAAAAACTGATAACTCATATTACTGAACATAAAAACTAGATACCAAAAAATCATAAAAGGCCGAACTTTAGTGAAAACTTCAGACCACTTATCTAATTGCACTTCTATTTGAATGGTGATTTGAAAGTTACAAACCTTTAAAAATAGGAAGAACAGGAAGAATCACGAGGAATAATCACTGATTGTGCTGATGGTACTGGTGAAAATTAATTTATCATTAATTACATATTCTTATTCAAGCGATTGATTATGTCTTAAATACGTCATCTTGAGATGACGAAAAGTCAGACAAAATGCAAATCAAATTTAAATCTGAGGATGGCATGTCAATCCGCCGAGATTACTCATGAAGTAAGAGAAATAATTTTGCCTGCACAAGAAAAGTGGCAAAAGTCGGAAACAAATACAAAATCAATGATCTTTTGAATGACCAGCATACAGTAGGTTCAAGAAAGTCAATATAAACTTACTCATACTGCAATGACGTCACACGACAAGAAGACTTCTGCAACGCTTTCGGTTTAAATCGAGCAAGAAGCCCTGACTTTGAACTCCTGCTTTGGCTTGAATCACTACTTTCTTTGCTGGAGGCAATGTAGCGTATGTCATATATCCGTACATAACTATCCTCGCACCCAATTCCAAGCTGATGAGGAGCCAAAGGATTCACACTCATTGATGTTATTGCACTTTGCCGTTCAACAAGAATATCCTGCGAAACAAAAATGAATTACGTCACCATTGTGCTTAATCAAAAGAATAATTAAGACATGTCATTGATTAACTCTGTATAAGTGATAGGATATAAAGCAAAGAATGTCATAGTGTATGTTACTATTATCAATTAACATTTGTACAATTAACATGTATAAAGAAGTCAAAGAATGAAAGTACATACATAAATAGATCTTATCAAGCGCTTTTTAACTCGAACCATCAATATCAAGCGAAAAACAAATCTTGTGATCCTGTCTCACAAACGGCCATTATTAAAACTTTCCAAAACATGTCTACCCCATCCACATCAGACATTATATCTATTAGATCGACTTGGAATTAGGTTCGGAAAGACAGTGATGCTAGACTCTTTTCGGCAACAGTACAAATTCCAAACTTACGTCTTTGCATTCTTGACAATAGCAGTTTGATTTTACGCGGAGATCGAAATGCCGCACTGTACCATCTTCACCACAGGAAAGAAAGCTATTTGGATTGCCTGGAATGACAGACACCTAAAAAACAGGCCATCTCTAATTGACAAATGGTTTATAAGCATCTTCATAGCCATATTTTCTTGAAAAGCATTCTTTTTAGGAGATACTAACATTGCAAAGTAATAAGAACACTTCACTTTGCATTTATTTAACTGAAATAAAACTTTCAAGAATCAACACAAACAAGTGACTTTTTGAACTTTCTGCTGGTGGTGAAAAGTTGTCTACAGTAAATTATGAAATTGCATTCATAATAACATAGACATTGCATCAGTTCGCTATATATATGCACACGTTCATTTGAATACTAAACAATGCGAAAGAGCATTTTGAGGAGAAACAGGCAATTCATCCATATAATAAGCAATGGTTTAAACAGAAAATTCTAAACATGAAAAAATTAGGAATCAACTCCCAACACAAAGAAAACAGAGTGTTCAGAAAAACCCAACTGAATTATGCTAAATGATGGGTGGTGAATTATGATAACTGATTCTACCTCATAGGTGGTGCCAGCATGGCAGTTGAAATAGTTATGACCATAATACATGTCAATGCCTAGCTCATTGTAATGTATCATTCCACTGCCACAGCAAGATACAATCTGTTGTGATATAAAAATTATGACGTCAATGTCTTCCTTGTTAACTGCAAATACGTGTTACAAGACATTAGACAACCTATTGTTTGCTTGCTATGCTGTAATCAATGCAAATAGGTTATCATGCTGTTTATGCTAAGCATGTATGTTGTTTTGCACACGGTTATATGACATAACATTTCTTAGGGTAAAAATAGTTTGAATTGCTGACGATGGAAGAACTTTGAACCACTATGTAATGCCATATTTCCAGGACAATTTATGATGTAATGTTGCCACAATTACAGCCAAGTATTTATCAAGTAGATGACATGATTTGCGATACTTTTTGTTTAGCTTTTCCCTATTTATAGTTTATTCCTCTCTATTATGTTATACTAATGATGACTCTATCTAGAGTTGAAACGTTTGTTTATTTAACTGGATTTGTAATTATTTAACCAGAATGTCCTAACATTTTTAATATAAATTCATGGATTTTCTTACTAGATTGTCAATCTACACAATTTCACAGATTTTGTCAAATATGGGACTGAAGTCATTTGATCATTGATTTTATCAATGAATTCAAGTCAATAGAAGAAAACCACTTGTCAGAATCTTTTTGTGCCTCCCAAAGACAGAATCTATGTTCTAAATGAATGTAGGATAAATGTAAAAGAATGTAAAAAAAGGAAAACCTGAATGTAGGATCAAAAAAGCAACAGTTGGATAAAAGTGCAACATTATATATTTCAAATAATTAAAAAGAATCATGATTGCCTACTTACTTTTTTGTCTGATGTTAAAGGCAAAAATTTTGCACTGAATATATTTGCCTGGTGGCCAGATCGTATTGATTCCAGAAGCTAGAAATTAAGTAAAAAAGAAATACTTAACACAATATTTTTTGTAAAAAAAGAATCATTTTTGTCATCGTAAAAAATGACTTTTGTTTGTTGAAAAGGTATCAACTTGCCTAGTGCCTACAGGTTTTGCTTAAGAAAAATTATAAAAATTCACTTACTGATGAGAGAAAAGAAAACAACTCTTAGAAATATAACAATAGAGCCCTTCTAACCTGGATCTTTTTATCATCGAAAAATAAGGAACCACAATACTTGGAATGAATTTTACACAGCCAAAAGCCAGCCATCCTGTTTTTTCCATGCAATTTACTTGAAAAGTCAATCCGTAGTTCCATGCAATTTACCCATGTCTACTGTCCCTCCAGTGAATTAGAAAACGTTATGCTACTATAGTATTCAAACTTCTCCACTTATCAAAAATTCTTTACATTGACCAAATAGTGTGATATTTGATGCAATAAAGGAGAGCTCTAATTTTTACTAGCTCATACTTTGGGTGCAAATATTAAAAGAATAAAGACACATTCTTTTCGTTCTGAAATCCTTAAATATGTTATCTGGTATTGTTCTTAAATCACAATATAGCATTCTTATATCACAATTTTAATGAAAATATGAAACAGTTAATTTAATGATTCAGGAACACATTCCTGTTGTCATTTGCGATGCGCTCATTGAACACAATTATTCTCAATTGTGCCGCTTAATTAGTGTAGTTGTTGGTGCTTTTCTGCCCCTCAATTTTTAGAGGACAACTCAAAATCAAGGGTCTGTCAAAAAACCATAAGTTCAAAGTTGAAAAAGGCCAAATTGACCAAATTTTCAGCTCAGGACAAATCTATTTTTATAGGCTAAATGAGTTTCAAGAAGGTTAATTTCTGAAAATTTGGCCAAGTTATCAAATAAAAAGGCCAAGTTATCAAACCCTGATTGAGTCAGCTGCCACATCTCATTTGTTCAAAATTGCCAATGAAGATATTACTTATAATGATGAGGTGTAATAGTCTGTAGGAATCTTTATCAGTAAGAAGAGCTATTAGAATAATTGCTATTTCAAAAAGCAGGTGTGAAATGGGTTTTTGACTCTGTTCAACTACATGAAATATTGACAGCTGTTAAATTGATTGAAAATATTTTTTCAGAGCAATTTGATTACATTTTTCAAACAAAGAGTTTGAGATCTTACACACTTGTAGAGATTTCCCTGAGCTGATTTTTCAAGAAAAGTGTAACTTTTATTACAAAGTCATATAATATATATATAATCTTTATTGCATCATCCTTGTACTGATTACAAGCATTTTAGTGCATGCTTGAGATGACTTTTGATAGAGTGGCAATTTTCATGGGCTTTAGTTTCAGCCCTACAATGAACTTCACAAATCTTAATTTTCACTCACTCTGTTCTTTGCAACATGATAAACTTTCAGACTACAATCGTCAGAGCCAGATAAAACTGTGTCACCGCTATCATTCCAACATATTGTATTAACCTGCCAGGAAGAAACTTATTTTTGCAAATGATTATATTAGTTAATATAATGAAACTGTTTGGAAAACAAGGTAGGTTAGTTACGAAATAGTGAACACTGGAGAACAGGGCAATTGTTTAAAATTGAGGCCAAAATATGTAGGCTTTGGGTGCACAATTTTCTTATAGCATTCATAAAAATTCAATGATTCTGAGCCAGAATATTCTCATAAATAACCACTAAATAACAGAGTATACCAGGATATTTTGAACAGCACTAACTGCAAAATAATCACTTTTTCTTAACAAACCATCAATACTAACAACATCTTGAGGAGTGGTCACATTGAGAGAAAGACCAGGACACTGCTTCATAAGTGCAGCTTCTTGGTGTCCTATAAAACTACCATTGGAGGCTAGGTACAAAAACATCATCAACATCAGAAAAATTAAAGACAAAATTCAAACATTTTCATCCTCTGCAATAAGACCAGGATAATTTTTTGAATGCTTTCAGATACATACACATCCAGTGTGTCCAGCTAAAACTCTCCACTTTGTTAGCCTTTGAATGAAATGCTTGCTTCCTGAAAAATTCATTCATTTAAAATAATTTTGTTAGAAATTCATTAAATGTACAAAGAAGCATTTTAACCATTGAAAAATCCAAACCCATCATTAGCAGCTCAAAAGTTTGATAGACAGGTAAAGTGGCCTTGATAAATTATTTTCATCGAAAGAATAGAAAAAGGAAGGTTGCCTTTGTAAGTATTGCAAATAATCCCCCACCATAGTGGACAAAATTCTAATGATTCATACACATGGCATGTGTAACATATCTGAGGTGTACTTACTACAAGTACACACATGTAAATTAATACATTTTTACTTTATGCAATGGCAATAACTTGACTGAAAGACAGGTAAATAAGTATGGATGGATGGATGGATGGATGGATGGATGGATGGATGGATGGATGGATGGATGGATGGATGGATGGATGGATGGATGGATGGATGGATGGATGGATGGATTGATGGATGGATGGATGGATGGATGGATGGATGGATGGATGGATGGATGGATGGATGGATGGATGGATGGATGGATGGATGGATGGATGGATGGATGGATGGATGGATGAATGGATGGATGGATGGATGGATGGATGGATGGATGGATGGATGGATGGATGGATGGATGGATGGATGGATGGATGGATGGATGGATGGATGGATGGATGGATGGCTACATACTAGCTTTTTGTCTCTACTTATAAATAATACAGTATATGCAACCTAGTCCAAATAAGTAAGTTTCATTAATTCATACGATCGAGTCATAACGGTTCAATCAATTCATACACAAAACTATACAACAAAAATTACTGTACATGATTGAATTTAAGATTGACTGATTAAGGAGGAGCTTCCTTTATAGGTAAACTAATCGAGACAGCCCCCCTCCCCCCCCCATAAAAAACTAAGAACCAAAGATTATTTTAAAAACAAAGACAGTACATATAACCAAGAACCAGATGAACCTCAATGAGATAGATCATATGTGTTTAATTAAAGTTTAGTTTTGTAAATAAGAATCGAGGAGGTTACTTTTCGATTTTGGACGAAAAACCACAGTAGAGCTAACAACGCGTGTGTTATCAGAGTACTGAATTGTTTGTAGATCATAAGTGGTAGTATTTTTAATAGACTTAAAATTATTTTATTTTCAACAACCAATAAGCTTTAAAAACTGAAGCACTTCTAGCCACTCACTGGTGCAAGTCAGAGACAATAAACAACGGTATAAACTAGACAACAAATAAGCAACTCCAATTATGATATAACCTCTGGCAGCATTGATAAATGAACTCGGGGTTTTGCTACCAAGCTGTCGCTCATGAATTTTGGAATAAACTCCACTAGCCTCAGGTCTTGGCATTTCAATTAGGATAGCTGAATAACTTTTTGCTTTAGCTTGATGGATAGTAGTCTCAGCAGCATTTTAATTTGGAGCCACATAAAGCTTTCCTTTTTCTTGTTTTGTTTTGCTAAAAATAATAAAACATAAAATCAGTTGGGCCAAAGAGAGGCTAGCATTAGTAGGGCGTCACCTTCCACGGGTTTTAGGGAGGCAGGGGTTATAGGGACTGGAACCCCAAAGTGCCTTTTTGCTCTTGCAGGGTTTTTCATTTCGAGCCAAAGTTTCTATTACCTTTTCTCTCAATAGAAGTGTAACGAAGGGGGTATCGTAAATCCTCAAATTAGTTCCTACATCTGTAAAAGGCCCCCTAAAATTTCCCGGTGCGCCTTTGCTTCAACTGTATGTTTTAAAGAACTTTAGAACTTTCAAAAGAAAATTAATATTTACACAGAACTAAAAGTAATTACAACTATCAATTGACTAGCTAGCTAGAGGGTACCAAGTATATTGGCGTGATTGGCGTTTTTACGATGCGTGAATTCGTGAAACAAATTTTATTATGCGTGAATGCGTGAATAGACATTGGCGCGTGACCTGTGAATTAGCATTTTTCATGGCCCGATTGCGTGAAAATGATTGCTGCAAGCGAATTTCGAAATGGAGTGCTTGCTCTATTACCAGAAGAAAGTCTTGGCTTCCTGTACCAGATCAGATAAATATGGTATTTGATTATTATCAACCTTTCTCACAATGGAAAACTATTCCTAGCATATTGTCATTTTACCATATTTATTATGCTTTTAACTTGTATGTAACTTCAATGTTCTGTTTAATTAGATAAAAATACGTCACCTTCCCAAAAGCTCATTAGAGTTATTTACTTGTGTCCGTCAGCACTTACTTGTTACCTTTGATGTAACTTTCCACAGGGGCGGATCTAGACGCTCGCACCGTTCGCACATGCGACAGTCAAACTTTTAAAATTATACTAAGAATCTGTCTCGAGAGAGGTTTTTGCTGAACAACAACTTTTTCGCTTATTGGCAAATTTCTCCTTTGTGTTTTGATTCTATTTACTCGGGAATTATGCTTCAGTTATATTTGACAACTGAACACCGTGCAGGAGCAGGAAGATCCAAGGTCTGAATCATGCATGATTTAAACCTGGCCATAAACAGAAGCAAAATCTTAAACACAATCTCTAATTCTATCTCGATCTTGATTCAATCTGATTAAAATCTCAAAGCATCCTGACTAAAAAACAACAGGGTACCAATGTAGTTAGATTAGGGTATTTCGGTGCACAGTATGATTAGTAGCACATTCGCACCGATTCGCACAGCTTTTGTTTCAAAATATTTAGCCAATCAAATTGCTAGATAGTGCGAACTTCGGTGCACAGTATGTTTTTTAGTAAGGTCGCACCACTGGGCTAAGATTAATCCGTCCTCATTGCGTGTATTGTGCAGTTTTGAGCTTATTTATGCCTGGCATGGGCAAGTTTTTCACTGGAGAAAAGGAATTTTGTGTTATGGAGTCGGCTGGCTACATGTAAAACGAATACGTTAAACCTGGTAATTTGGAAGACAAAGGTCGCTAGATTTTCAGAGTAACATTCGACACGGGATGTTTTCAAGTTTCGATGTTCATTACCTCCTCCATGGATCGAGGGCCTACTAATGTTAATAAATGCACTGGACTGGGGTGATAATCAGTGGGCGATACCTGCGATTTGGCTCTGGCGAAGAAATAATGTTCAGGACGTTGGCAGAGAAAAATTTCCACTTAGACAAAACTTTCAAAGTGAATCTTTTCAATGTGGATTTTCAGTTCTTTATCAGCTTTCAGATATTTCCGGGTAATGTTTACTTGCTTGGGTATTCCCCTGAATTCGAAGGGGTTTCTTCGGAGTAAAATACATGTTTACACGCTGATTTGGTTTAGCTATTAAAAAATACTAGTTATTAATGCAGGTTTTATGAATATTTGTGTAAATTTGTTCTATTTGGTTAGTTCTGAAAATTCATTGCAATGATGTTTTTTATTTTTTCGCGTGGCCTGGTTTGTCATCGTATACTATAAACAAATCGAAAAAGACGACTCGAATTTTTGCCTGACTATGAAAGGAAAACCGTCAATACGCTTTCTTGCTTTACGCTTGGCTAAGAAACAACACAAATGATTCTGTAGTATCAATTGAAAACTCAGATAAGGAATAAACAACAGTTTGGCCACGTTCTAAATAAAAGCCAATTTAATGTGCGTGTCGACTGCTCAAATGAGAAGGGAGCGAATATCCTTAAAAACCAAAGGGTGTGGTCACGAATGATATTTCCGACCACACCCTTGTGTGCGACAGTCAGAATATTTTCTAGGTCCGCCCCTGACTTTCCACAATCTAACTCTATCTTAATGGTTTTTTTAAACGCTGCATCTTTATTCAAATTTGAAATTAATTGCTGAAAATATATATACGAAATGAAATAAAAATGAACATGAAATGAGAGAATGGGCGGCAGCAAATGGTGCGGCAGTAAGGCAGCGCACTTTCAAGTAAAAAACGACAATGGAACGGTAAGAAACATGTTACCTACCACATCAGCCTCTTGTAATGGAAATAGAAAGGAACCCTGATGTAATCTAGCAAGACGACGATGCTTGTTGCTGAAGATCAAGAAGATGTTATGGTGTTATGGGAGCTGTTGATCAAGGTCTAATTGGTCAAGAAGACAAAGTTGATGGGGACAGTTAAAGCTAGAGCATTGGTGTCGTGGAAGGGTGGTGGCCCAGGTTGGCTCAGCTCCCGGGTGAAACTTCAGCGAGTATTCTTGGGATGTGATGGTGAAATTCAATTTCCAATACCGTGAAAGCGTGATTTGCAATTATTTAATGCTAAATTGCATGATTCACAATGCGTGGTACCCCTGCGTGGTACCCCCAGCACGATAATGCATGGTACCCCCGGCTAGAAGAACAATTCACTAATTATTTATTATATCACAACTGATATCTCGGTACAAGAGGTCGACCGATTACACTATTGACAAGCCATTACTGATAACAACATAATTGTAACTTGTAAATGGCTTTGATAAAAGCAAACATTTAGTAAACTAAAGCTTTTCGTCTGACACTCTTCAGAGTTCAAAACGTCAGAACATAGATCGGAAACTCTACGCTAAGAAATATATATACTCAGTTATGGAACGAAATAGGCCAATCAGAAACACGAGCACATGACTGTAAAGGTTGATCAATCAGTGCCGCTTGCCTATTTCAATGTTATCAGTGGAGTCCTAAGGTGAAAACGAACTCCTCTTGTCTACACAGTAGCGGTTTTTTCGTGCTTATGTAGATAGATTCTAAAACTGCTAGGTGGAACGACGATCGGGCTTTACCAATAATCCGAAACATGTCGCCATTATAGTTTTTTGCACAATCTGGGTTTTCTAGCAAATGCTGCCCGATAGCAGAATCGCAGGTTTTAGTTGTAATTTAAGATTTGCAAGACCGAGGTGGCTGTTCTCTTTGGGGATGGGTTTTGTTTCTAATATTAGATGGAACATGTTGTTTTATCCTATCCTCCAATCTTTGGGTGGTGCGTCCTACGTAGCTAGAATCACACTGGCACGTAAATTCATATACAACAGAACTTTTTTTTGTGGCAGGAACGCAGTCCTTTTGAATGGACGGAAGGGCCTTTTTCGTACTATAAACAACACGTGGGTTGACCGCGAAGAAACAATTTTTTATGGCCTGTTTTATTTGGCTTTCAAAACGTAGAGAGCTGTTACCGATCCAGGGTAGTTTTAGATAGACCGGGCACTTTTGAGGACCAAATTTTACGTCAGCCGAGAAATTTCCTATCTTCTCCTTAATGTAAACCGAAATAACATCTTCTGGATAGCCGTTCTCCAGAAAAATCTTAGTTAGTTTTTCAAGTTCCGAGTCGAGTTTAGACTTGGAACAAATCATCAGTGCCCTATGTGTAAGCGTTTTGATGAGGCTGATTTTTCTTTGTTTTGGGCAAAACGAACTCCATCGAAAATGTGGGTTTACGGTATACACTAGTGAGAAATCCAGTGTCAGATTTTTCAACCAAAACATCCAGAAATGGCAAGGAGTTATTTTCTTCCTTTTCAAATGTAAAATGTAGGGCTGTGTGAAGGCCATTAAGGCGTTTTAGGAAAGTATCACACTCAGCCTCTGTTTTGAAAATAGTAAGTATGTCATCCACATACCGAAAATAGACACCTGGCTTTTGGTCGCAGTCAAACAAACGCTCTTCATGAAAGCCAACCATTAGAACTTCTCGTGTTCCTGCTGGTTCTTTTGACAGAGTAGACCTCAAAAAATACAAGATTAGTGAGGTTTCCAATTCTTCATTTCAATATATAACCTCTAAGCGAATCTATTTATCAACATAACCAACAACTCAACCAAACTATACGAAATTACTCAGCCTGCACGCAAAGCAGTTCGTGATTAGTCCTATGGGTTTAGTTCTTATTGAAACACGCAAAAGAAAGGATTAGTATAATTATGCTCAAATGATTAGTAAATACATCTGTTGCTACGTATTAATGCACACAGTTAATTATAAGAATATAAGCTTAAATACCAAAACAAATAAACAGCTAAACAATAAAAAATGCACTGTGGAATTCCACAACATACCCCCCTCCTTGATCCATTAGGGATCAAGCACAAGCCTGGATTTCCATTGTGCATCCCTAGCTGCCGCACGCTGGGGGCGCAAGAGTCGGGTTCCCCCTTCTTTCTGCTTTTCAACACAAATTTTCTCTCCAATCTCGTTTCTTTCACATTCTGTCATTTCCATTCCGTTTTCAACATTTGTACCTGTAATTTCAAGAGGATATAATTTTGGCAATGGTCTTGATAAAATTTGTGGCTTACCCTTACTGGTTACCCGTACTGATGCTCCTCTTACCTGTCCATCTCTCCCCATGATGAGATCTTTGATTACTCCAAGCTTCCATTGCCCTCGTTTCATTTTCTCCTCGTGGACTTGCACAATGTCTCCTTTTGCAATTTTATTTTCAGCTTGATTTTTTAGTTGATGGTGTTCTCTGAGATCAACCAAATATTCATGTCTCCATCTGTTCCAAAAATGGTTCAGCTTCTTACTAAG